ACTTGATATTTGGTTCTATATCATCTTCTTCATCATCTTCATCATTCTTTCCTCTTGTTCATGTTCAACATAAAATGATAAGAAGTTCATGATGATTAGGAAATATAAGAAGATAAGAGGGGAATCGAATGTCATCCTCATCTTTTTTTTCACCTTCATTATCATCAAACTGTTATTCATCATTATCATCTTGTTAACTGTAATTCACTGATAATAACTTCATCACAATATCAATTTCAAAATGTCTCAAGAGACTGAAAGGTTCATCTGAATGTTCATTTCAAAGTGCAACTTGACAAAAGTTGAAATGATTAAAAGTTGAACAAAATAAGAAAGTGACAAAATTAGTTCAATTTCAAAGATTTAATCAACAATTGAATGATTAATGGAAACTATTCAATCCAAAGTGTGAACCAATTGGAGTTGAAATTTCAAGTTTTTCCACTGAGCATGAAAAACTTGAGATAATCAATTTGAATCGGTAAAGCTCTTCATTTTCATGAAAAATTTTTTACAAAATTCAGCGAAAAATGAATGAAAAAAGTAAACAAAAATGAATACAAAGTGTTCAAAGCTTTTCATGCAAGATAAAGTTGAAATCATTGAAATCAAAGTGAAAATGGGCGACAAAAAAGTGATCTAAAATATGGAAACATTAATCTTGATTTATAACAAATTGATTATCAACTGGAAACAATTAACTTGACATACTTATTATACAATTTTTGGTCTATTGAATGTTCAAAAGGCAGACCAATCATTACAATAATGTTGCATCAATTACATCAATTACCTCAATTGGAGCAACAAAATGGTCAACAATAAAAAAACAAACAATGAAAGTGAAAAAAAGTGAAAAATGAATAAAAAGTGTAATCAATATAAACTAATATCACCTATATATTAATATTGAAACGGGAAAACAAAGATGAATGTTGATTGAAATGAGTGTAATGAATAGAATGAGGAAGAAAAGGTTGATGAAAGGAATGATGATGAGGATGAAAAAGTTGTGAACAAAAGAGCAAGTTATTGGGTAAGGCGTGATGATCAAGATGAGGATCATTTTCAATCAAAATTATTATTATAGGAGCAATATTGCTTTCATCATTCCTCTTCGCTCCTCATCTTTGTTATCATCTCAAAGCTCAAATGGCAAGTAATCGAACATTTAACTTGGCCATTTTTTTATCTTTCCCTTCATTTCTCTCTCCTCTTCATCCTCATCATTTCCATCTTCTTTCATCTTCTTTTCCTTCTCCCTTTTACTATGGAGATGAGGCGAGATAAAAAAAAGTTATACTGCATCACTTGGTCTTTTCAACAATTACAATTAATCGCACAAAATTAACTTTCATCCGTGTTTCCTTCAACCTTAACAATCATTCATCACATGAAATGCATTTTGCGTTGAATCATTTTTTAGCCAAAATCAAAGGCAAACATCAACTTGATTGTTACCTCGTACTGATCATCAACCCAAACATCATCGCCATCATCGCTATCAGTTTCATTATCATGGACAAGGATTCAATGAAAGCAACAATTTATTACCAAGCTAGTCAATTGACATTTACCTTTAATCATCATTTAATCATTAAGTTAAATCACTTTTCATCAACTCAAATGTTGTAACAAACAGACACACTTTTAGTATTTTTGTTTTCAGCGATTTTTCTTCTTCTTCAAGGAAATCTTTTCCTTGTTTGCCTGCTTTTCTGGTTACCTTTAAGTCTTGGTGAAATTGAAGATGAAAAACAGGTAAAACTCATGTTGAGTTGTATAGACAAGTTTATCATGAACATTATTAGTTTCAATTGATGGACACATAAATCTTGTCCTATCTGATTCAAGATATGGATCCATCATCACTGAACATTACATTTTAAGCTTACAAAATATTCCCTAAACTTAACCTTCAATGACCAAACCTAAATCTTGAGTTAACAAATGGTTAACTTTGTAAATTAAACTGAATGATAATCATCGTCAAAATCATCAGAATCTTCATCCCTTTACTTTTAAAGAAAGTTAAAAGTAAAATGAAATGATGAATAAAAAGAAATATCAAGTGAAATCGATAAACCTTTGATAGGTTCAGATAACATATCAACATTTGAATGAAACAATGGATAAACATTTGGAGTTTGATGAAAGTTGAAAGACAACAGTTAAAGCATGCAAATATATCAGATTAACAGTTTAATTAAAGTGAATGAAAGATGAAAACATTTGTTATTTAATGTCTTTTTGTACATTTGTTTTCATCTCTTAAGGTCTTTTTATTCATCTCAATAGGATCATCATTATCATCATTGAGAGATTCATTCTCATCATTATCTTTCCTCTTGTTTGATATTTTGACGGCCATTTTTACCCAAATATTTCAAATTCTTTTGGGTCTCTTTTTGCTTGCTTACAAAACTAAACCATTTCCCATCAAATACTGTTTTTGGTAATTCTGATGTCGCTCGTTTCCATAGAGATTTTTCATCTTCATCACCAGAATCAGTAAGATTAAAGTGAGAGAAGAAGAGAGAGAAAGATGAAAACATTTTCAAGGTGAAGATGAACAAATGAAACTGAGTAACTCAAGTATCAAAATTTTCATTCTTTTCATTTGCAAAAATAATTTTCATCATTCAGCTGAAATGTAAATCAATGATCAGTATGATTAAGATTGAACATCTAGGATAATGACCTCTTTAAATGTAACAAAAAAGGCAATTTAGCAAATAGCAAACTCTTTAAAGTTTTCAAGGAAGTATCAAATGTACAAAACTATTATACCATTCTCATCATCTTCATCATCTTCATCGTCTTTAACATCCCTTGTTCATCTTAATATTTTTTGTCTTTCACTTTGTTTCCTCTTTTTTTTCATTTCTAGTAACAATACTTGCAAAGGTCAACTCAACTTGATGAACCTTTATGCGTCTTTAAAGGTCTGTAAAGTGCCCAGCAGTCTAGCATGTCCAGTAACTGATGATGATGATGATGACCAAATGACAAGTTTTTAATTGCCTTTTAAAACACATCCTTTACAGGTTAATTGTTTAGAACTGTTTACATCGCCATAAACTCAATTACAGTAAACAATAAAGAGTTTTGTTTAAAATCAATTTAACAAGTTAAAAGCAGCAATAAAAACTCGAGAATATAGAGGAAATTTAAAGTGGCAAATTTTCACTCAAAACCAACATAATAAAGATGATAATCATGATTAAGATCAAGAGGATTAAGATGATGAAAATAATGGGAGTGAAGGAGGAGATGGATAACAAATTAGATTCAAAAGATTCAAAGTTACATCAAGATTGACAATATTGTTTACTAAGGTGTCAACATATCATCACTTGGCCACCCAAGTCAAAGTTTATCAATTCATCCAGCTTTATCCTCTTCATCCTCATCCTCAGTTCCTCTTTATCCTCTTCCCAAGACAGCAGTTCAACATCATCCTTTCATCTGTAGCTGTACATGTGAAGCAAATGACACAACTTAACAAGTAACGAAAAACGTTAATCATTGATCAACATAAATTAACGCAGTTGGTTCGAAGACTAGTTTTTTTCAAATCATTTCCCATTAAACAATTTAACCAATTAAGGATCATTTAATTGTCAACTCAATAAGAGTTACAGTTTTAACTGAAATCTTTAAGTGAAAATCAAGTTTCAAAATGAAGCTAAATAACGTTTTTCAACATTTCAACAATTTAAATTGTCAATAAAGCAAGTAATCAATAAATTGTGCAAAAATTTAAAGGCAAAACAAATGGCAAAATGAGTTTTCAAAGTAACAAACTTGAACAATATTGAAAAACATTGAAAAATGTTAATCACACAAAATAATAGTCGCAACAGTAATCACAATAATAATCATAATAATAGTAAGTGTTGTGGTTAAATGACTTTTGCTTAAAATTTTGATAGTTACTGTTGAGAAGATTAAAATTAATCCAGTAAACAGTAAAGTATTTGATTAACAAAGAGATTTGCTTTCATCCTCATCACCTATTATCATTATCACTTTCACTCATCATCGCCACCCATCATCATCCTCATCATCTTGTTGTTTGTGCATTTAAGCTTTAATCCATGAAATCGATTAACTGTCAGTTGATTGATCTTAATAAATAACCATAAATAAATGATATTCATTCAAGCTAAAGCAATAAATGATTATACCAACAATAATATTAATAATATTCATCATATTATCCAGTAACTTTTAATTTAACTTCAACACAACAATAAATGTTAGTGAGGTAAGGATGATGATGATGATAGGGATCAAGTTGGAGTGAAAGACAAGGAAGAGGAATCAAGACAAATATATTTATAAAAAAATAACAATTCCTGGTGACCTTGATATGTGATGCTAAATATCAATATGAAAAGGACTTAAACGCAATTCAATAGGAATTAATCTGATTCAAAGTCACTTTTGTATGTAACTAAGCTTAATCATTGGCGTAAAGCAACAAGGGAATCACTTACATCATCTATAAAGCTAACTTCATTTTTCCTCCTTCACTTTTTTTTCAATGGCTATAATAGTATAAAGTAAATATTTTTTAGCTTTTTTACGCTCTTCTCCTCTTCCAATTTTACTCTTCACTTGATTACAATTGCGATTTGATTCGCCTTCGAGATTCACAAACAATTAGACAATTTTACTCATTCTTTACCATCTTTGTTAGGTAATGTTTAATCACAGGTTAAACAACAAAATAACATTTTCTGGCCATTTTGGTATGTTGCTTATGGTTAGGTCTCAATGGGAATCACAAGTTTACATTTATTTTATTGCCTTTCAAGTTTCATCTAATATTTTAAGCTGTCTTTTTAGGAAATTACTCAAGTTCAAGATGTAAATGTTCATGTAAAGAGTTGAACTTGAAGAGAAATGGAAAATTTTACAATAAATTGAAACTGAGTAAGAGGTGAAAGGTTTGAAAGGAAAAAAAGCTAAAAATGAAAGCGGATTATATTTACCTTTAACAGTGGATTTGCCATCAAATAAAGCCAATGATCTATCAAAATGATCTTGTATGGCTCTGGAACAGTCTTTATAATAAGTGTAAATGACACAATCTTTCCTTATCTGATGGATTCCTGTCAACTCTTCAGCTATCGTTAAATAGGAATCTCCTGGTGATTCAGATGAGTGATTTGATGAGCAACCAGGTGTACTTGGTCCAGGTTGACTTGAAGTTAATGTAGACTGTTGTGTTTGTTGTTGGCTTCCTACGTGTTGAGGTTGGTGTTGATGTTGTTGAGGTTGTTGAGGTTGTTGAGGTTGAGATTGTTGTTGGTTTGTTGTTGTTGTCGTAGACGATGATGAGGATGATGATGATGATGTTGTTGATCCAGCTGAGGAAGACGATGAAGTTGATGATGATGAACCTGATGTTGCCGATGAAGGTGGCCCTGATTCATCAACAGAATTATTTGATCCATTATTAGTATCGTACGTTGAATCGTACGGATGTTTGATACTTTGCAACAGTAACATCGAAAAGGCTTTGTGAAAATCATCATTTCAATGATAATCCCACAAAGGTTTGCCCATTTACTTGTTCAACTATAATCTCTTTCTCTCTCTCTTTCTCTCTCCTTTCCCTTTCTCGCCAGTCTTTCTCTGTTTTCCTCTCTCTTAACCTCTCTTTCTATGTCTCTCTGTCTCTCTGTACTTGTCTCTGTCGCTTTTTTTCTCTTTTCTTTTTTCTGTCTATTTACCTCTCTTTTCGCCACTTGTAAGGCGGAGAAACCAGGCGGGAGTTGAATTGTTTTCCCCTTTTTAATCTTCATCTTCTTCATCATCTTCTTTTCGCTTTCTTTTCTCTTTCTTCTGCTTTCTTCTTCTTTCATTATCATCACATTATCAGCTTTTTTTGTCTCATTGAATCATCTTGAACTCATGCGCCATCAAAACATTTATCATTTCTTAAGGTGGAGCAAATTTCATTATAAACCTCCTTGAAATCATTTTTAGCTCTCCTTATTTTCAGCCTTATCTGACCAATTGTGAGACTTTCCTATCTTTTGGTCAACATTTCAATTTTTAATCATAATCTATCTCCATTTCGGATTCGTGAACTTTTTCACCAGTGAAATGAAAAAATCATGCTGTCAATATCCATGAAATAATTTGCACATTTTAAAAATTTTCAACACAAACACAAAATTAAATTATAACTTCACTGTTTAAGCATGAAAATATCACCATTTAACACATTAAATTATCCTTTTAATCAGTATCTAATTATTAGCAACTGTTGGTTGATATAATCAATGTAACTACAGTAATTCAGTTCCAAGATTTATCCTATTGTTAATTTATTGATATTGATTTGATTTGATTTGTATTTTTTCACCTTACAGAAATGGAAATATCGATCTCTCAAAAGATCCTACTCGATCCTACTCCAAATAGATATCTTAATAGAGTACTGATTAATGGTACTAACGGTCATAACGGTCATGTCATGACCATTTAAAGGATTGGTTAATACCATTTAAATCCCGAAAAATGCTAAGAAATATTAAGAAGTCAACGAAAGCTAAATAATAATAAATCACTTTCCACCCTTAAAACTGAAGCTACTTACAATAAAATTATAAGAACTGATACTCAAATCACAATCGAACTGTTTTCTCTGTGATTAATAACAAAGTTTTTGTTGAAAATAATAGATAATTAAACAAATTAAATCGATGCCATTGTTTATTTTGGAATCGAATGAAATTTCCATCGAATAATAAAACGAGTGTCAAATAGCGAAAGTAAAAAACAGGTCAAGTTTTCCAACGCAAGTTTCGTTTTACTTTTGATTAAAGATATTTCGTTGAACAAATGTGTAAAGTCCTTTGGTTTGTGGCTCCATCTATAGTTCTTGAAACCCAACATATCAGAAAGATTAAACTAGCAAATAAAGATGCAAATTAAACTAATTGTGATTTGGTTAGCTAGAATCAGATATGATTGGATTATATTTTATTAATCTGAATCATCTGTAAAACCAGAACAGCTCATCTATTCATTCCACGAATAAATTACATTCATAAAGCAAAAGGTATAAACTGTATTCGAACCCAGTAATTGCGAAAATTTTAGATTTTAGGACTCAACACTTGACGGATTGATTGGCTTGGCGCAACGAATGATTGCGGTTGAAAGCTAATATAAAATTGAAAATCAGAAGTTCATTTGTGACTGAATTTCTGTTTGAAGTAGAATTCATTGTTTGTGAATTATCTTTTGAATTCTTAATCAGACTAACTTTTCTTTCAATTACAGATTTTATTTACAGATTGATTTTAAACTCATGTAACGTAATGATAAATCATGATTTATTTTGAAATTATTTTCTCTATTTTAATTGTCTTAATTTTTGGTTCAAAATGGCGTCTAATGTTTGAAAAAAAGAAACTCAAAATTTTCAAGAATGGAATTAATTTAATTTTAGAATAAATAGACAAAAAGTTTCGTTATTTTATGTACAAAAAAGTATGTATAATGATGAGTTGATTTGATATCGTTTTTAGTTCCTTTGGTTTAGAGATGAATGGTGAAAATAGAGTAAATAAACGGTTTCTTTAATTTAGTCAGTTGATGATTTTTGCATCCATTTCAAACAATGGACTCGTTAATGAAATAAAGTCGATTCAATTGCGTGTTTATGTTATTATTTACATTTTGGTAATCATGGAGACTTGATTCTGCAGGGAAATAGAAAAAGAAAAAGACCAAAAAAATTAATTAGCATTAATATTGAATGAAAAACAAAATCAAATTTACCTTCAGCGTCAAAACTGTCAGAGTAGTCGACTTCATAGTCACTTGTTGGCGGAGTATCCATTATTGGAATACTCATATCATAATATTCAGGGTAATGCGGACCATTTGAAATATCCTCCAGTTCTTTGACTAAATCAGAGAAAGTCGGTCTTTCCCATGAATTGTACCTCCAGCATCTTCTCATTAATTTGTATACTTGATTAGGGCACTTTGGTGGCTGTTCTAGTCTATGGCCTTCTCTCAGCCAAGTGTAAAGGCTACTTTGATCAATATCTTGATATGGTAATAATCCGAGAGTGTAAATTTCCCAAAGAAGTACGCCAAAAGACCAGACATCACTGGCACTAGAATAAACTTGATCAATCGCTTCAGGAGCCATCCATCGCAATGGTATCACACCTTTGGTCGTTTTCCGGTAATAGTCAACAGATTGAAGATTACGAGCCAAACCAAAATCAGCAATTTTCATTACATTATCCTCAGCAACCAAAATGTTACGAGCAGCAAGATCACGATGAACACATCTTCTGGATGCCAAATAATCCATCCCTTGAGCAATCTGAAATGAAGTATCGTAAATAATACATAATTAGAGATAGCCAACTAAATTTAGAGACGGATAAAAATAAATTAAAATGGTAACAAACCTGGAGTGCAAATGAAAGAAAATCTTGAGGATAAAGTTGCTTATCATTGTCAAAATTAACTGAATCAGGTCTATGAGATCGAAGGAAATCACGCAAGTTACCATTAGTTGCATATTCCACGATTACATAAAGAGGTCCTAAATAAACAAACAAAATTAAGGTTTAGATAAATTGTGTGTAAGGTTTGTAGTTTTTCACCTAAATGGGCAAAAAGGGAAGCTTTAAGATGCAATACAAATTACAGAATTTGCTTATTTATTTTTTGTTTGTTTTCTCACTCTCTTATGTTCACTCTCTTCTCTCTTTAGTGTTTCTCATTCATCTTTAAACTTGAAAATGAAATGGCTTATGTTATGTGTAAATCGTTATGTAATGAATATTCACCGTTTCGAGTACAACATCCAATTAGATTGATTATGTTTAAATGTTTGCCGATCCGTTTCATAACTTCCATCTCTGAGACAAGATCAGCCATATCAGAGTCATTAGATGGATCTTTCAGCATTTTAACAGCAACGGTCATAATGGGCTCTTTATTTTTACCAACACCGCATAACTCTCCTTTATAAACAGTACCAAAGTTTCCTTGTCCAACAGGCTTATGTAACTTCAGTCTGTATTTAGAAATGATTAATAATTAGAATAAATAATGATAACAATAAATAAAAAAACATCAATCAAAAGAATGAATAACTCAAATGATTCTGGCCTCACACACATTTACCTAAATTGTTGACTTTTAAAAATTTTTCAACATTGCGAAAAGCACAATCTAAGCATAACAAAAACATCTTCATATCTATTTTCATTCATTTTTAATACATTTATATCTGTGTTTTGTTTTTTTCTGTTCAAGTCTAACCAATCCAAGTATCAGGTTTCATGGAGCTTATGGTATTTTTGTTTTTGTCACTACAGTAAAGAGTGAAACATTTGAGCTAAGACAAAAAAGTTTAAAAGCTAAAATAATTTTTTCTGTCAGAATTCAATTCTAGAGACTTTTAATTCAAGACTTTATCCATAGTTAAGCAAGCTTACAAGCTAGATTTTTTGTTCTTTTTTCAAAAATTTATTCTAATCACTTGATTTAGCAGGAATAATTGAGCAAAGATGTTTAGTAAATAATAAGAAAAAGACAAACCTTTCTCGTGAGATTTCCCATTTTTGGTCAACTGGAAGCTCATATTCAACTACTGTGCTCATATACTTCTCCACGGGTAGGTCAGAAGTATTCAAAGGAGCTTCTTCAATTTTGACCAAAGGAGCCTTCAAAGAATCACTGGAATCAGCAGGTTCTTCTAAAGTTATTTTTCTCTTGATCCTTAGAATTCGGTTCTCTTTTAAAGTCTTTAATCGACTGGCTCGTGTTTTAATAAGGCAAAATACTAAACAAATCATAACTGTTGACGCTATGATAATAAGTAAAGCTCCAGCATAGATTATTTGTTCACCAGACACGCCAGCTTCAGTCAAGATATCTTTGGGTGACTCTGGGAATGAGAATAAGCGATTTCAATGAATAAAATGGTTCTCCAATTGTTAGGGTAAAAAATCGTTATTAAACTGTTTGACTTAAGGTCATAACGGGTCATCAATAATGTTGACCGATGCGCCTGGGTGAATACTTAGAAGAATAAGCAAACAAAGCTTAAGCTTGATTCAAATGTCCAGAAAAAAAATACCAGAAGACAAGACAAATCAAGCAGAGGTTAAAACAGTTGAACACTAAAACTGTTGATGGTTAAGAAGAAAAATAAAGGAAGCAACAAGATAGTCTTGAAGATGGTTTTAGCCGACAACGGGATCTAGTTCGCAGTAATAATGAAGCTAAAAACCAGTGGTCGTTGTGTTTAGTCTTGCTAGTTTCTACTTCTGTTTTTCCCTTCGTCTTGAGCTTGCCCTTGCTCTATTTTATTTTCTCAAAGCATTAAAACTTCTACGCCTCCCTCCTCCACAGTCCTGTCTCTTGTTTCTTTTCATCATCTCCAAGGATGTATTCTTCTTCTCAGTAGCTGTTAGTTCATTTTCACTTGCTGCTAAGATGGTTTTGGTATTTTCATAAAAAACTCTTTCTATAATTCATCTTTTTTGGTGTCTTTCTCCTCATCATCTTGTCTTCTTATATTTTCTTTTGCTTAACTAACACTACAGGGGGTATCCTATATAGTCAAGGGATGCGGGCTTGTGAGGGTGAAATAAAGGGATGAAAATATGGAGATGGTCTAACCTTTGCGGACTGTGAGAAATAAATTAACTGAACGGAAGCCAAACCGATTTCGGGCAACATATGAATACCATCCTTGGGCTTCTTGTGTCACATTTTCCAGGATCAAGTCACCAGTTCCTTTCTCCTGTGAAGAAGAAAAAAGAAAGAAAAACATTGTTAAAAGAAAATGGACATTTTAAGAGTCGTCATTTAACACATTCTTAAGAGCTTGTGCAAATCTTACGTCAAACTGTTCAATTTTTAACATTGAATAGGATAAGAATAAAAAATTAACTTACCATTATGATGGTTTCATTGATAGGCTCACTCAGGTTGTGAACTAACCCTTTCACCCAAAATTTTTCATCTTCACCATAGGAACTACAATGAAATGATACATTAGCTCCAACGAAAACCGAAGGGTTATTTGGCCAACATGTTTTAATTCTTGGTGGAAGAGCTGTAAACATAAGAAAATAAATATGAAAAAATATTGAAATTTGCAGTCAAGGATAGTTTATGCATGTAACTTTTATACTTACGCTCATTAACGGTGACATTAAACAGTCTTTCACTGTTTCCCAGGACATTTTCCACAAGGCACTTATATATTCCAGAATCTTTCATGGTTACATTTGGAAGGAAAAAGAGGTAGGTTGCTCCATCAACACCCTGTAAATGAAAAAAACATATCCATTAGATAAAAATTATAGATTTAAAAACAATGTTGACTTACCTCCAACTCTTCACTCCATGTTTCACCTTCCTTTTTATACCAAAAGGTGAGTTCCATGGCATCTGATTTGGCTTCACAAGATAGTTCCAAATCATCACCAGCGTATACAGTACGCTGAGAAATATCATCATTTTTAACATGAGGTTGAGTAATCCATGCCACTAAAGAGATTACACAAAAAACAAAAGACACAGTAAGCATGGTTAGTAAAAAGAGTAAATTGAAATAATAAACTAGATAATCAAACTTACCAGAAATGTTTAATTGAAACCACAATGAATCATTACCAATATCATTAACTGCAAGGCAAGAATAGTTACCAGCATCATTTGGCCTGAGACGTTCAATTTCAATTGAGTATTTTTTGAACTTGATCTGTTAAAACAAAAATATTTATCTTGTGATGAGATCAAAAGGGCAAAATAAAATATGATTTTTCAATGTTTACAGTTTGGTTGCTTCTACAAGCTTCTATTCGATTTTGGTTAAGTTGTCAACATATTTTTCCAAAAGATGAGCAAACGATATCAGATTGATACATTACTCACATTGGCTAGCAAAATATTAAAACATAACCCCAGCAAACATTTAGAAAACAAATAAACAAATAAACAAATGATCTGCAATTAATAAACAGAGAAATTAATTCAACTTACATCTAAGTCATCATCTTCAGGAGACAACAGCTTGCCATCTTTAAACCAAGTGATATTGGGACATGGATTTCCACTTGGTCTACAACTTAATTTGATTCCTTCTCCAGCAAATTTATGAATATGTGAATTGTGATTTTTTTTACCAATAACAGGAGCTATATTAAGTCACAGTAAACAATAATTATAGAATTATCATGAATTAGAAGATACAACTTTATGATGAACTTTAACACAAACACAATAGAAAACACTGAATGAAGCTCACCTGATGGAAGAAGATTTTTATCAACTATGCACTTAGGTCGACATTGGACGAGATTAAGATAGAAAACAACAAAAATAGTGGAAAATATCAAATAATTATACAGATTATACATTGTTTATGTATATAAATATTAATAATAGTTGGAGTTATTGTTATTAGTTATTGTTTAGATCATGATTGTTGAGAAGCAAATAAGACATCTAATCAATGGATGAAACTGATAAATCCAGGCAAAGGCACAAAACACAGAGGAACTCTTTTAGCCAATCATTTAACTCAATAATAGATTATACAGTTACAATTGGTCATATTGATAAGCAAACGATAACAACAATTCCTTAGAGATCACTAAATGTAATAATTTAATCAGAGGGACACAGAAAGACACAGGTCCAAGTAGATAAGAAGCTCATAAGAGACATGAAGACAACACATCTGATTAAGAGGATATCAGAGGAAGCATTTGATAAGGTGAATAGTTTGCATTAAGGCACAAGACATTGATGTTTATCAAACAAGATATGCAAAGGATTTCAAATTATATCATAAGATTAGATGAAGCAACATTTAATGGTGTGTATTTTTGCAAATAAAGTTCATTGCGAGTAAAAATTGGACTTGGTTTTAAAAAAAGATTCGACTAAAAAGAAGATGAGAACAAGTTAAACTTAAACTAACAACGCACGAGCGTATTTCATCCACAGTTTCCTCTTTTTTGGCTCCCTTTCTCATCTTCTTCTTTATCCTCATCTTTCTCTCTTTTTTTCTCAACATCATTCGACACTGTCTTCATCATCTTCATCTTCTTTCATCTTTTTCTTTTCCTTTCCTCTTTTTTCCTCGCTTTCTTCGTTGCTCTGTCGTCTAACATCTCTTCATCTTTCTCTTTCATCCTCATCACTTTTATCTCACACTTTTGTTCCTTTCTTTGCTGAATAAAAATAATTGCCAAATAAATTGATTATCATGATCTAGCTCACTTAAGCCATTATCAGAGTAAGCTATAACATCCTAGAATCATGGCCAAGAATCTAAATCTCGATCCAGTATCCATTGAATTGCCAGTTGAATTGTCATTTGAATTGCTTTTTGAGTTGCTATTTGAATCGGTGTTTGAATTTTCGTCTAAATTGTCATTTCCATTCTCCTCTGCGAGTTCATCATTAGCTTGATTCGTGTGTTTACGCTTCCTGAGTAACTTTATTTTTTCCGTTAGCTTTGTTTTTTGTTGCATTCATATTTTATAAGGAATCTCAAGATGGGTTAAACGAAGCAAAGAAGAGCATCAAGTCAAGGCCAAGATGTTGAAGAAGATGATGAAGATGAAAGATATGGAAGTCGGAAGAAGATGCTGATGATGATCATCATTGATGGGAGCGGAAACAGAGGAGACATTTAGGTGCATTGAAGTGTGCCTAGAAAAACATTTGATCTTTACCAGAGACTTTTAAATGTACAGCCATTATTATTTGAATTGAAGTCACCATTAGAAAGGTCGTTAAAGTGACTGAAAAAGACACATTCACAGTCAAATTTACGAAGTTCGGGAAAACGGAAATGTACTTGGGACTACTGTAACATCTCACAGATACACATTCTCAGCTCATCATTCACATCTTCCTCTTCTGCGTCTTCTGCGTCTTCCTTCATCCTGATGAAGACGATGGTAATTTGCTTTCTCATTTCGCCCACTTCTTTCCTTTCCATTGGGCTATGTCTTTCATCTTTTTTGTTTCTCTCCACATCTTGGACTATCTCATGTTCACAAGGTAGGAGGATGAAAATAAAATGTGGTGATCATCAAGACAGACCAAGATGAAAGACGATGAACAAGTCTAGATAAAAACTGCCTACACCCCATGGTTTCCGGTGAGAGTGTGTCACAACTGAATATTCATCTTCCTTTTTCAACTAACTGCTCTTTTTGCCAATATGGTTGGACATAAAGACTTTAACCAACAAAGTCTGTTAATCTAAAAACACAAAGATGGTCAACATCAGCTAATGGCATTGATAAACATACTTGTATAAGAAACAGCTGAAGATGATCGTTCACAATATATTTGCTAAATAAACAAATTCAATAAGATTCAGAGAAAATAATTATAAAACAATTAATTTAACTTGCATTTTATAAAACAATATTATACAATTTAATTTTGGTTAACCCTTTAGTGGGTCTTGCATAAAAACTATAAGAGTTGCAGTTAAAATAACGCAGTGTTGGGTTAACTTGTGATCGGAAAATTGTAGCTATTTGTCCGATTTAATTTCTGTTATTTTAGACTCAACCTAAGGCTCAATTTATGGCTGCTTTCCAGACATTTTAATTTTTTATATATTTTGATTATCATTAATTAATTGAACACAATTTAGCTGATTTGTGATAAATTACAGCTTTTTGTACTCTAATCTTAATATACAAATATTTCTATTATCTTTTGATGTGTTTATTATCTTACTGCAGTTATTTAATCTTACAACGGAAATAAGATTGAAGTGATAATTATTTCCATCATGATTGGCTTATATCTAATCATATTTATCATCTAATCTTCAAGTCCAGAGATATGGGTTTCTCCAAGGAATCAAACACTAATGAAAAGATCCAGAAATTTCAATGTTACCAATAGATTGATACATCTTATGTCCATGACTTATGTCTAAAAGGTGATTGCTTGAACCAGTGGACCGACTATGGTTCATGGTGAAGTAATGTCATGAATATTAACTCTTGATTTTCAATATTGGAGTAATCTTTCAACAATGTTCAATCAAATGACTGTCATTCCTGATTTGCTTGGCCAATACTCAATGAAGAGCCAGCGTCCCATTAAAAGTCAATATGTTGAAATTTGATCCAATACTAATTTGGTTAGCGGTGTTGATGATGAGGAAGATCCGTCCATCAACAAAAATTGCTGCAAGTGCAGTTGTCACAAGTAAGATTAAATCAAGTACTTATGGCTCTTGACCTAGCTTAAGTCAAAGGTTAAGGTATGACTTGAAATTAATGATTGATTGTTGTTATTCCGTTTGTCGATCATTTCTCTTTTTATTCACTAGGATCGGTTATTTTGGTGCACATCAATAAGGCTTTCATCAAAAAATTGTCAAAAGATTATTGGAAAATCAATGAGAACAGGAAATTTGGAAAATATGGTTTCCATTGATTTATGTGATTTTTGGTGTTACAAAGAATCCTTTACCTCTATCATGTATGGATGGAGTCAAAGAAATGAATTCAACTGAAGTCATGTTAATGATTGGAAAAGATGTGTCTAGAAGATCATTAACAATGATCAGGAATGAAGAGAAGAGGAAAAAATAATTGAAAAATCAGTCAAAGAACTCATGATTCTTTTGATTTATTTTCAATTCAGTCTTTTAGTTACATCTGATTGACACAACATTCAATATATTTATTTATCTAACATGAATTCAATTAATTTACCCTTGTCATTTAGGATTTGATTATAATTTTCATCTTTTCCAGCCTTTGCAACAACTTTGCGTATTTACTTTAAATTGTATCTAAATTTAGTTCCACAGACTTTTTGCTACACAAAACCAACTCCATGGTAATTCACCAACAATCAAATCATTTGATTGATTTAAAGTGGTATACAATGTTTATTTCATTTGTTGATTAATTTTGGGCTAATAATTATTTACAATTTTGCTTCATTTCTTTCACAGAAACAATATGGTTCGAGACATGAGAAGCCAACTCTTTGAAGGATTTTTCAATTTTTTGGGTTAATTTTCTAATTATTTTGGTTTCGTGTTTATTATGGTTACCATTACGTATATCATGAGCTGTTCAATTATTCAATGAACCATGTTTTCACTGAAAACTCATCTTTTCCTATCAAGTTTCACCAAGAAGCCAACCAAGGCCGCAAATCAATGTTAAATTCAATGTTTACAAATACAAGGAATGGATAGAAAAGTTGCAGAAAATTTATTACATGATTTAAAATAACATTTATTTATCATTAAATAAATTGTTGTACAAGTTAATATTTCAATGAAATGCTTGCTTCCCTCTGTTTTATATCGCCAAAGTATTTGATAATTAATGTTTCGTTAATTAGCATTCATGGTGATTGTGAATCATTAACACCATCATATGACAATTCATTGTTTCAATCAACAAGTTACAATGTTCAATGTAACCAGATTCACGTTAACAGTTAATTGCTTTGTTTATATGGCTCTTTGAACGGTTACTTGTTTAACACATTAAGCGATATATCATATTGAAATATATTTGATTGAATCAGGCAAAACAGCTTTTCTTTGATCAATCAGCTGCTGATAATTTAATAATCAGCTTCAAATGTTTCTTCTTCTAACCCATTCAAAGTAGGCAAAAATGTAACCAGAATATTGAAATAAGCTGAAAATACTTCGATAGAGATTCCATGTTCTTTGCTTTGTTTACATCATTTGAGATTATCCTGATCAAATGTTAGGCAATTTAAGTTTACCTAAATATCCAAAGGAAATCTGACCATTTTAAGCATCTAAATCTCTTGAAAATTGAACAGAATTGAAATCTTAAAAGTATCTCAACATGAAAAGTAATCCAGATTGGATTGTACGGTAAAAGTATTGCTTGCCATTCACTGGTTATGCCATGATATAACCACTGCTATCAGTGATTAGTGCATAAAATTAACTGTTTATTATGTTAATTAATTTAAATCTCGATTAGATTATTTTAAAGTGTTTTCTCATTCAAAAAAATCTTTAGTTAACAGAATCTCATTTTACTAATCTTGCTGTTAACTGTTAAGCTTTAAATCTTTTCAAGGCTAATCTAAATTTAACTCAACTCAACAATTCAACAACCGCAATATTTGAACCAACTAAAAATATTGAATTGTAACAATTAGTTGGAAGGTTGATGATCAGTGATCACAATGACTATCAAAAATGTACTTCAATTTACCTCAAAATCAATCCATATTGATGGTTGAATTGAATTTATTATTTTCTTGATTAGCTTCTTATGTTTCTGGTTTCAGAACATGAACAACTCAATCTCAATGATAATTTCATATCAACCAATACTCACATCATCGATCTAGAACATCGAAACGTTGAATTACAATTTGCTTCATCATAAAGGCTTACCTGTTTCGTTAAACCGCATTCATTGTGATTTAACAGAAATATTGATCAAATTATTCATTAAAGCCTTCAATTTTTATATTTTTAATATAATCTATCTTATAATTCAGAAAAATCGCAATTTTTGTAAATTTTACGACTTTTTTATAACTTACAGTAACGGTGTTTTTATCCGTCTCAGGTCAAGTTAACTATACGAGGGTAACAATCAATGGATCGCTCTAATATTAGGCTAATTGTTGGTGTTTTATGCAATTTAAGATAAAACCAAAAAACGGACCAAAATTATCGGACAGCGAATTTGGAAAAAATGGAAATAGATGAATGAATCTTTTTCTTATTTACATTCACTGTATTGTCGGCGTTAATAAACATGTGTTTTGTGTATCGACTGCTGACTGAATGTTTCTTGAGCCTTAGAGACTGACTTTAAAGACCACATTCGTATCTTGAATTTGAGTGTGTACCATGGTCTTATTAATGGAAAAGTATCAATTTTAACATAACTGGATGTTGCTAACTTGCCAACAAATTGGTATGCGGAACCATGTAATCACTGATCAACCAAAAGCTTTAACATTTTATTGAGTTTAAACTTTTTCGGCGCCACTAAACCTTAAATCGAGCGCTTTTTGCGACTGCAGTGCTATCTATTGTTGATGAATGGCAACAACTTATGTCATCATTCATTGTGCCAAAAGTTTTGTATTTTAGATATGATTTTAAACCAAAATGACGAACAAGGAAACAAATGCTGACCTTTATAACAAACAATATATTTTATAATAAACCTAGTAAATAAACAAGTAACCTAGCATGTTTGAAGTGAAACGTGAAGTAAATGAGACTGAATAACCCTGTATAAGGGAAAATTGTTGAAAAGTCAAAGTTACATTTCTCGAGTATGTAATTTAAAACCAGTATCAACTCAATTAAATTCATGACATTATAATGATAGTCGTTTGAAAGATCTCATGCATTTTTCTCATTAAAGAATTTTGGAAATAAGCTCGAGAAAAAATTAAACGCTATTGCTGTAAAAGCAAGTTGATTTTGCCAGCAACAATCGGTTTCGCTAATTTTTTCACGTGTTAATCGCAAACAACTCATTCAACTGTGTATTGTTATGGATTGAAACGAGTACAGTTTGTATTCAGAGAAACTGTTTCACATGTTTCAATATTTCAATGTTTTCAAAGAAAAAATAATTCACATTTTAACCAGTGCAAAGAAGAAGATTCAATAGAAAAGGCTTCATCAAAGTTTTAATTCAAGTTCAAGCATTTAATATGGCAGTTCCAAGTATGAGTTTTGAAATCAACAAATCAACTGGTAAAATAAATATGACGAGATGATCGTGATTCGAGTTTTTTTTGGTTTTATCAATGTACTAATGAATCCTTAAATACCACAGCTCGATCCAGTTCTTATTAAATTTCAATCTTTTTATTATTAAAACTACTATTACAAAACTGTTCAGTAAGTCAGGGGTTTAATAAATCATTGTCTCTGCACTATTGTTATCATTGAAAAGGGTGGATACAGATAGTTAGGGTAGCAAAAATAGCAATAAACGGTTAATTACATGACGAGATAAATTGAATTGTTTATTATTAAGCTAATAGAAAATGACTATTTACTGATTCGATTTATAATCACTGTTGGTGTTAATCTTTTCAATGGAACTAACGATACTTGAGTAAACAATTAGCTTAACTAATAGATTACGCAAAAAGGTACCGGATAGGGAGACATGGCATGGTTCTGATTTTTTACAAAATACTGAAAAGACTGTGAAGTGTACACACAGAGTGAACGCTTGTTAATACAAAAAGAAACACAAATCAAACAAAAACTGTCAATCGTAACAATGATGAACACAACTTGTTCAACAATGATGATAGCACCATTGAAAATCAAGTGTCACGCTGTATTGCTCTGATATCTTCTTTAAATAACATGTTTTTCGCTCATTTAGTCAACAATAGTACCTTAAAATGGTGTAACTAAATACATCTAAGTGTTGGGTGATCGCTGAAAATGCTTGATGAAAAGTACACTTAAGACTTTTATACTGGCCGAGAACAGGGCACAATAAATTTATTGTGTTCTTTCATTTTCCTTTTGTGAAATCAAGTCGATTCAGTTCAAGCATTCCAGCCCAGTCATATGAAAATGAACAACTTTCAAGATGAAATTTAGATCACCGGTTTCTATTGATTCCTAGTCAATTTTGATATTCAACCTGAAAAGATAAAATAAGTCAATCATCAGTATTTCTTGAAATAGACTAACATTTGCTTGAAGAGCTGAATTATTTAATGGCTAAAAAGTGTATCCATAAGCATAAAACACTTCAGAATAAACGACGAAAATTTAGATAAAACATTAGAGAAACACATTTAGATGCAAGTTGGAATAAGATAGAGGAAAAGCTCCAATAACTCCGAACAGGTGGAAAACTTGTTTTATATACTCATCATAAATGACAGGATTGAACAATTAACAATTTAAGCATTGAAGGATGGGTGGTTCACAACTTTACTGTTTAATATACAGTCAGTTCATTAGAATCTAGACTTATTTAGATTTTTATGAATATCTTACTAGTTAAATATTTTAGTAATGAACAAATCGTATTAAAATCATGAGAGGAGCCAATGAGATTTAAAAAATTATCACAAAAATTATTAAAAAAATCAGAACCTTGTGATAAATAAAAGCTGGTTAACATGTGAGGCGCGATTTCTTTTGAGTTAGTTATTTTAACTAAATTTGCTGTGATTTTAGCTTTAATGCTATTTCACGATATTTTTAGGGAGAAAAAAAGAGAGTTGTGAGAATAATTTTTGTAGTTTTTGATCATCTGCTGAATGAGATAAACTGCTGGTGATATTCATCTTCATGGTTTAGGTTGGGATGAGTTTAGTTAAAATTTATTGTCATATTGTTTTTGTGATCCATTTCTCATCCTCTAACTATTTATTTGCTGTGTCCTTAAATTAATTGTCTTCTAAAATTATGCTGCAATGCGAAAGAAGACTTTTTATTTAATAGGATCAATTTCATGTCTTTGCTGGATTGTCATAGTGTGTTACCTATTTGTTCACAAACCACCAGGAAAGGTAAGCTTGATTTATTTCTATACCACTATTGACAATTATTGATAATGGCTCTAATAATTATGTGTAAATTTTTGCTTGTAATTCAGGCCCTTATTTCAACTGAACTGATTCCAGTTTAATTGAATCTTGCAATACTTTTTTTTCGACTCTTCTACTATTTTTTGTTACTGTTGATTAATTTGTTACTTTTTTGCTTTCTCTCTTTGATCACTATTATATACAGATTATAAAATTGAAAGATGTCAACTATCAAGTTGAGCAATTGGAAAAAGATCTCAAAGGACAACTCAATTCAAATAAAATCCTGATAAATAATTTACGAAGCTTAAAGAGGAAACTGTCTGGTACCGGTAAAGAGATTAAAAGCTATAGTTATGATGATACCATAGCTGTACTTTTATTTTCTTGTAACCGTGTCACCGTTCGTCGCAATCTTGACCAATTGCTCAAATATCGTCCTGATGCTACCAGTTTTCCAATTATTGTTAGTCAAGATTGTGGCCATGAACCTACACGTAAAGTTTTACAAAGCTACGGTGATCAGATAACCCTTATTCGTCATCCAGATTTAAGTGATATTCCTCTAGTAGGGAAAGAGAAAAAATTCAAAGGCTATTACAAAATCGCTCGCCATTATGCTTGGGCATTAAATCAGACATTTAATGTTTTCAACTACAACACTGTTATTATCGTGGAAGATGATCTGGATATTGCTCCAGATTTTTTTGAATATTTTCGAGCTACTTATCAAATCCTAGCTAGTGATCCCACTTTATGGTGCGTTTCAGCCTGGAATGATAATGGTAAAGAGGGCTTGATCGCTGATAACTCAGGTAATAATCAAAATTAGTTTATCTAACTTATTGTTCTTGATGAATCCATTTGTGTCAGTATGTTTGATTATATCTAGAAACAACAATGCACCAGGATATTAAAGAGGATAGGTTAAGCTAATCATTATTTTTTGCCAACACTAATTGTCATTTTACAATGTGTGATATTTCCTTCACACAATCAGTTATGATCATAGACAGAATATCAGACAATCTAAAATTGTATTTTTTAGACTTATCGATCCTTAATTAATGATAAATTTTAAATGAACAACAGATGAAAAATGACTGTAAAGTGACAGAGATACGGAACGGTGAACACTAACCAATAACCATCGAGACAAAATAGGCATTCTTATCAAGGCTTCTCTCGATTATCCAATAATTATCAGTACCTTTATTACTTGCTGCTTGAACTTTTATTTTCGTTCGTTGTAAAAGTCTTATTCTCACTTTTTGTTGTAAAAAATTCAATTAAATTAGTTTTCCCTCACCCAAACATTAATCGATCCACACCTTATTGATTGTTTTCATTTCACTTTAATTTTGTTTCAATTTTTTCTTGTATTTCTCTCTGTCAATGTTTCCAAACTAACTGGAATACTGTAACTACTATTCAGCTGACACATTATATAGATCAGATTTTTTTCCTGGCCTTGGCTGGATGATGACAAAAAATGTTTGGCTTGAGATTGCTGATAAATGGCCTAAAGCGTAAGTACTTTTTTAAGAATCATTTCGAGTACAAGACATGAGATTCACCCTTTTAAGGATTAATAACTATATGAGTTGGATCAATGATTCCAAATGAACTGTTCATTTTTTAACCTTAAACTTATTTGTCTGACTAATCATCTTTTTTCTCATCTAAATCTAAATCACTTGAAAGATTTTGGGATGATTGGATAAGGCAGCCTGCTCAAAGAAAGGAACGCGCTTGCATCAGACCAGAAGTTTCCCGAACCAAGACATTTGGTAAAGTTGGAGTGAGCAATGGACTTTTCTTCGAAAAACATCTTAAATTCATCAAACTAAATGAACAATTCGTGCCTTTCACAAAATACAATTTGACTTACCTACTAAAAGATAATTACGATGATTGGTTTATTAAGACAGTTTACGGAAGTCCTTCAGTTACTGTTCAGGACTTAGCAAGTGGCCGATTAGATGGGAATGGACCTGTTCGTTTAACCTATCGTTCAAAGGTTAACTTCAAGACTATTGCCAAAGCTTTCAGACTCATGGATGATTTTAAGTCTGGTGTCCCCAGAACAGGTTACCGTGGAGTCGTCCCATTCATGTTTAGAAACCGACGAGTTTACCTTGCTCCTCCTCCTGATTGGAAAGGTTATGATACCAGCTAACAAGTTAATGATTATAGCTATTGATTCAACATTCCTGATTTCCGAAATGACTTGGTAATAAATCATACTGACGCTGCCAAAACACTGTTGTTTCAATAAAATTTCGGACAACATCTTCTGCAGTTCATGGCATCTTCCAAGCTGGAGCCTTTGCTTTCGAACTTGTTTCTTTTGTTTAAATGCAAATAACAGCCAACCATTATTAGTGAACTTTTTTAAATATCATTACAATTAAGAAAGATTTGAGTGAGCTTTGGTGCTTGTAAAGCTGTATTAACATTCGTTATGACAGTATTGCTGAATTTTACTCAAACTGGAGCCTGTTCTTGGAAAAGAAATCTCATCTTCGTCAAACCACATTATAATCAACTCCATCAACCTGATCAACCCTATTTCAATCATCATAACTATCATAAAATATCATAAAGCATCATCAACATCAAATATTCCGATAAATTTGTTACTTTTTCTCAATGTATAATGTAAAATGGTTAATAGTCAATTCCTGCAGCCTAACAACATTCATTAACTAATAACTGACTCGACAGTGAAATTATACCTTTAAAAATTTGTGTAATCAAGTGAAGGCGAGATGTGTACAGTTGCCTGTTTGTCCTTTTTACTTGATCATCACCAAAACGAGTAACTCATCACCACCATTCATTTTATTTTGTAAACATGCTCTACATACACATCAAAATCTAGTCTTATTCATGGTCAACCAGGGGATTAATTAAAAAAAAATGAAACAGAAATTCCAATTATGCTCGACTGAAAGACACTCTGTTGTCTAGCAAAGAGTCTAAAACTTATAGATCCATGTAAATAACTATCGACAATTTTAAAGGTTTTATCCGTTTGGATTCAAGTTCCAGCAGTCAGCTAATCAAAAAGCAGATGATTTACCGGATTGGGTATTGATAAATAAAAACTACAAACAATATAAAAATGTGTATAATCCACTGATATTTAAACTAAATTTACTTGCTTGTTTTGTTAATTATTTTACAAGGAAAAATTATAAATTTAGTGAGCAACAACCAGATTGGCAAAGTAAAAATAATAAAAGATAATCTAATTTTTTGGATAACCTTTCATAGTCTTATTGTAAATCTCAATCGCTTCCTCAATCAACATAATAAAGCTCCTTGAATACAAAAAGTCATGATAACAATGGTAAAGCCTGAATGAAGGTAAAATAACGGTTAGGTAAGGATAGGGTTCATCTCTGACTATAAAAATAGAGCATTATAGCAATAATTTATGATTCCTAGTCACAATATTTTACTTATCATGATTATCAAAATGATAATTGTTCAATAAAGACATTTGATTAGAAAGACATTTTCATTTAAACGTTTAACTAAATGTAAATTGCTGTCAGTCACTGAAGATGTTTCAATATTAAAGAGTAGTCATGAAATTGAAACCTAAAAGCATTAAAAGTCAATTCAACTGCCAGAGTTTATTATTTAAATTACCAATAGGTTAACTGCTCTAATGTATCTATTGAAGTCGAGTAATTTCATGATATCATTCAAAATTATTGTTATAACCAGAAGACAAAGTGTTGAGAGGAAAGTAAAAGTGAGTGAAAAATTGAATGTTGGTCAATAAATAGATGAACACAGTTATTATTCATAGACATAAATAACTAAAGGTCAATACAATGAGTTGGTAATGATAATGGACAATGGTTAGTTGGGTGAAGTTGATAACCTTCAGTTTGAACGATTAGAATCAAACCAGGTTCTAACCAAATGATTAAACGATTCTTCAATTGCAATATTATCCTTGGCGCTAACATCAAAATATCTCATTCGTAAATGTTTGGCCCATTGGCGAGCTTCTTCCTCATCGACTGCTCTTTGCTCAGTTAAATCAGTTTTATTGCCCAAAATGACACCAATGATACCCAATGTATTGGTAATGTTGTTGTTGTGGGTTGATGTTGACGGATTGTCTAAATGTCTATCAAATTTTCTCAAATAATCAGACAGAATTGATTGTAAATGGTAAAAGGATTCTTCTCGAGTCACATCGAACACACCGATAACCAATGAAACATTGTTGGCCCACAAAGATCGAACCAGATCGGAATAAATGGAGCGACCAGAAAAGTCATAAAAGTAAATATCAATTGAACACAATTCTTCTCGCGATTCAACCAATTTAATCGACTTTGAAACAATGTTGACTCCTTTGGTCATGTTGTATCGTCTACTGAAAGGAACTGGATAACCAAGAAGACAATTAAGAATTGCTGTTTTACCAATGGCTTTATCACCAACAACAATTGCTTTACACCGAGAAACATTGCTCATGGTTGAAGCACTGGTCACTTACAATATAAAATATTTCTCAAGTAAATGTCGATTAGATGAGTTTGGTGAAATTGGGTAAAATTAAGAAATTATAACGAGTTTAAAATGAAATTAATTTACACATTTGAATACAGAAAATTGATTACAATGAGAACGAATTTCATTTCACAAGTTCAATGTTTGTTTCGATTGTTACTCCAGAATCTATGGGTTACCATCATTATCATGTAATTTACCTCAACCTTTACCTTTTTCCTAGAATGAGAATCAATTCAAACTATGTTACCTGGAGACCAGCAATGAAACCGGCCTCCATTGAGAGTCTTACAAGGGAAGTATCTCAGGTGTCTCAGCGATTTCCGGTCGAGACTATGTTCATTCGATAGAGCATAAAAAACTAGCGATAGGGTTTGTCGGCTTTAGATAGAAAACTTTCGGGTCACGAGAAAATTGAGGTCAAAACCCGTTTTCTTGCAAAAAATGCAAAGTTTCCCCAAATTTTTTTCGAACTTTGATCCATTTACCAGGGTGTTCAGCTCTGAAAAAATCATTGGAAATATTTAAAACGCTATAAAATGTCTGAATTTACAAATTTATTTGATTTTTCTGATTTTAATTGGAATCATCATCAATTTACTCTTATTTTGAGTTTCTTCGTGATTCGCAGACATGTACCTGTACTTCCCTTGTTAGTATACAATGTACTTAGAATTTACAATTTCATTTCATCCAGTGATTTCTTACTCTGTTTTGACTTTTAGTTAAATATTCACTTGAATATATTGAAATTATTGATTGGTGGCTTTAAAAAACTAACCCAATGTTGATAATTTGAGGATTGTAATTTGAAAATTATAACTCCATTACAATCATTATCAAATATAAATAGGGTTTAGAGAATAAAAGATTCACCAGAATCAGTAAAATCTGCTGTTCGCTAGTTAACCTTTTGTTGTGTTGCTGCAAAAAAATTCATCATTTGTAATTGTAGCAAATTGTTTGACTAATTGATGTTACAAACAAGGATCAGTTAAAAGTTAGAATCATTCATTTAATGTAAACAACATTCTGTCAATCATTTCAAAACCATGAGAAAACGTGAAACTAATTGAAGTAATTTCAGCGTTTATTTTAGGCTAAATTGTTAACATTGACAGCCAACTGAATAACAAATGAATTAAAATAAACTTCAATAATTACAGACCATTAAAGAGTTGAAATTACCTAAGGTTGACCTAAAATTGTTAATGTTAGACTATATCAGGTTTTGTATTTCATTGAGTCTTTAATTTATAGAGAGATAAATTAGTATTCTATTTCATTAATTCATTTAAATATTGTTCAAAGTTGATTTTTAAATTTACGTTTCAGGATTTGAACATAATTTGGAATTAATATTTCACCAATTTTTCATTTTGCACATGATTAATACTTGTTAGTTGCTTTGCTTTCACTTTCCCAGACAAATACAACCAAATCAATCGTGAGAACAGACATTACAAAAAATCGAATGAAACAAATTGCATTAGAAAAGTTGTACTTTTAAATGTTCATTACGGTAAAAAGAGTTTGAATTCAGTTTCAAAAAAGAATGAAATTTTCTGAAAAAAAGAAACTCACCTTAACATTAGTATTAACTCCTGGCAAATCATTGATAGCAAAAACGAGTGAATCCATTGTGAATTTGAATGAAGAAAACATAAAAAGGGTGAAAAAGGATAGGAGGTTTAAGTCAAACTGACCCAAGTCAATATTTTTAAAACTGATGAATCCAGAGATTTAAAACACAATTAATTTCAAAAAATATTCATCCACTGATCATTGTCTAGAATACGTTCTATTTCAATTGAAGACTTTACTGTAACAAATTGTAACGATTGATTTCAATCACAACACTATGAAAAAGTCATCTACGTAATGTAATGGTTTAACTTAATATGACTTTGGTTTGAAATTAATATGACGTGAAATGCAAGAAAATATGTTTTGGCTTTAATCAAATTTCAAGTTTTTTATTTTATACAATTAATATGCAACTAAGGCAAGATAAGCTTACAAGTTACAGTTTTAGAAAGCGCAAATTTATCATCTTTAAGCTGCAAATCTGCTAAAAGTTGAAGTTGATCAGACCAATCCATTATTTGGACTTTTACAATAATACAGCGACAAAATTATGATACATTAGATACATTAACATGATTTATATTTTTGTGTTCTTGGGTTTTACCATGCCAAGTCTTTTAAATTGATTAATTTAACTTCGTCAAGATTGGCAACTCAATGAATAATTAACATTGATATCTACTTTACGAAGTATGAGGTATGAATAGGCAGAAAGTGAATATGAAGATTTATGGTGGAGTCGAGAAAAATATGGGTTTTGAGTCCAAGATTATTGAGCATCAGATGATCATCATTAAGCGATAACTTGAAACAATTGCAGAATCATCAACTCGTTTTACTTGCAACTAATTGTACATACAGGCAACAGGAAAAGACAAGTCCAAAAATTTGAATCAATGAAAATCCGAAAGCAACTGAGCCCAGTAAAAGCGTGTGATCTGATGCTACCTTAGATATCTTGGAAATACATCCCTGAAAATAGATGTTTGATGGATGACGCCTTTTACCGCATTGATAATCGGAAATGGCTGTTTTACAACACGAATCGGGTACAGGGTTATCTTTATCGTAATCTTCAAAGCTTACCAAACCACAGCATTTAAACTCTTTCTCAAGGATTCTGAAAACATCAGGATGGTCTCGAACGACTTTACTGGCGTCTCCAAGGTTTTCTGTAATTGATCGATTAAATTCTTGGGTGTAGCCTTCTTCGCCGTTTCCAGTTCCATAAACAGAGAAAAGAGCAAAAATGCTAATGCAAAGTTGAATGGTAAAAAGTAATAACAGAGCAAAGATGAAAGAACATAATGCAAATGACGGGAATGTATCAGTTTTCCTGGATGTCACCGGAGTCCTGTGATGAGAAGAAAAATAAATAGAAAATGTTTATGCATAAAGATTAGATAATTTGTTTAAAAAGTATTAGCATAAAAATGTAAACAGACTATTAAACATGAAAGTTAATGATGTGAAGCAGGGAAAATGATCTTGGTAATTATTTTCTGCATAAGTGTGATTTTTTAATGTTTGCTAGACGGTCGTATAAAAAAATTGATGCATACCTTGTTGTTGAATCATGGTGTGAGGTTAATGCAATTTCATCCAAATCATTGTTGATTCCGACACTTTCAACGTCTTGCTCACGTCGTTTAATTGAGTAATAACAGTTGAGAAAAATGTTGACGATTGCTATGAGGCAAACAAGAAAACCACAAAGAATTAACTTGTAATGGATGAGATTCAATGGATGACTTTTGGAGAGAAGAGACCTGATGACTGGTAAATGAAGATCTTGTTCACCTTCAAATGGAGGGTGTTCATAAAGGATTACAATAGCAAGAATTATCAAGCCACTGAAAAAAAGGATGAAGTTGAAGACACTGAGAATGAAAGCTATGAAAGATGTAGATAAGCCACAACAATTTGATTCATAAGCTGATCGTTGTATTTGATTGTGATCTGCATAATGTGCTGGAGATGAAGAAAGGTATCCATAGTTGGCCATAATGGAAAACGAAAACAACTTTTATATAAGGTTTTTTTGAAACAAATGATGGACGGATAAATAACTTGTAGAGAATAAATAATCTTCGGTATAACTTAATTACATGGATGAGAGGAAGCAAAGTTGAGTAAAATCCAATGTTGAAAAGGACGGCATTTATTGAATGTGAACAATGGGATAAATTTGATCCATGGTTTCAATCAAATAACAACTCGAGTTGAACATAGTAAAAATGTAATTTATAAGTTGTAAATATGGTTTGATGATTTATATCATTTATTTAGGCCATTCCAAGACTGAACAGATTTCGATGTTGTAATCAAAGGAAGTGAAACAAGTAGGATTATCATTTGATGATAGGGAAACATAAGCAGATCATCAGAAGAAAGAAGTGAAATGAAGAAAGTATTACCAGAGTACATTAAAGTTGAGAAGCAAAAACAGCAAAAAAAAGAGTTTAGGAGTGTAAATACTGGATTGTACAGGGTTACCAAAGACAAAGAATTTTGTTTCTTTAGATAGAACAAAAAATTGACTGAACTAATAGCAGTCAAAACTGATAGCATATGGAGTATTTACGCACACTTGATTACCATTATAACATGACAAGGTGCGATGTTTTCATCATTATCATCTGCAGTATAAACACAAACATTGCAATTGACGAATGCGTACAAATTGTATAGCCTTCACAACTATACCAGGATCACAAACCTCCAAGTCATAGCTAAATTTGTTTGGACGATTGCCATGATGTCAATTTGTGTTGAAACACCAAATAAAATCACCAACTAATTACAATTAAACACTTTTTCCTAATAACAATAAGCTCAAGAAGTATTTGAAGAAATATTATAATAAAAATTGAAAAATACAAAAATGTAAGCAACACCGCCATCTATCGCCATCACTATCACCATTAAAGATACCATTTTCCGAAGAAGCAACAAAAATTTGCTTCATCTCTGTTTGTTTAATAGCAAACGTTTTAATTAGTGATTTAATTCAGTGTTTTAATATTATTAAGGATTTTTTTAAAACTGTGTTCAACTGATACAACCTGCAAGTGATAATCTGATCAAAAATGAATTCAGCTTCAGTGAAACAAGTTACTGTTACCCATCCTGGAGGGAGTAAAGCTAAACCAACTGCAGGTAAAAAGAAGCACTCTTTGCAAGCTGACCATTTAGATGCTGAGAAAAGATTACAGCAATGCAAAGAGGAAGGCTCAAAGCGACTCGATCTCACAAAATGCAGTATCACAACTCTACCTGGGTCCATCAAGGAATTAACTCACCTTACTGAGCTTTACCTTTACCAGAACAAATTGACAAATTTACCCCACGAGATTGGTTGTCTTGTTAACCTTGAGAAATTAGCTGTTAATGAAAATATTTTGGTTGGATTGCCCGACTCCCTTGTCGATTTAAAACGGATCAAAGTTCTTGATTTGAGACACAACAAACTCAATGAGATTCCTCCAGTTGTTTATCAATTGACTTCATTATCTATTTTGCATCTACGATATAATAGGATAAAAGTGGTTGCTGAGGAAATCGCTAATTTAACCAATTTAACCATCTTGAGTCTTCGGGAGAACAAAATAAGAGAATTACCTGCTGGCATTGGCCGTTTGGTTAATTTAGCAACCCTAGATGCATCAAATAATCACCTTGAACGTTTGCCACCTGAAATTGGTGACTGCACTCAGCTAAATAACCTTGATGTTCAACATAATGAGCTTGCCGATATTCCAGCCACCATTGGTTTTCTAGTGAATTTAACCAGATTAGAATTGAGATATAACAGACTGCAGTCGATTCCAGAATCTCTTAGCAATTGTGTACAAATCACAGAATTTAATATTGAAAATAATGCTCTGTCGTCTCTACCTGATGGCCTCTTGTCTAGTCTGTCAAATTTGACAAGTCTAACCCTTTCTCGGAATCAGTTTTCTTCTTATCCTGCTGGCGGTCCATCTCAATTCTGTAATGTTGATTCGATCAACATGGAGCACAATAGAATTAATCGCATACCTTATGGAATTTTTTCAAAAGCTAAAAATTTGACAAAATTGAATATGAAAGACAATCAATTGACTGCACTTCCTCTTGATATTGGTACCTGGGAAAATATGGTTGAATTAAATCTAGGAACTAATCAATTATCAAATTTACCTGATGATATTGGACGTTTGGAAAACCTTGAAGTTCTCATATTGAGTAATAATACCCTTAAAAAATTACCCTCGACAATAGGACGTCTCAATAGTCTCAAGGTTTTGGATTTGGAAGAGAATAAACTAGAATTGCTTCCCAATGAAATTGGCTCGTTACGTGAATTAAGGAAATTGATATTACAAAGTAATCAGTTGCAAATGTTACCAAGAGCAATTGGACGGCTTTTTAATCTTGAATATTTAAGTGTAGGAGAAAACAATCTGACTTCTATTCCTGTTGAAATCGGTACGTTGGAAAAGTTGGAGACTCTTTATATTAATGATAATCGAAATTTACACAATTTACCCTATGACCTGGCTCTTTGCTCAAGCTTACAAATCATGAGCATCGAGAATTGTCCTCTCTCCGAGATACCTGCTGAAATAGTCAATGGTGGCCCATCACATGTAATCCAATATTTAAGGATGAAAGGCCCATACCGTTCCATGTGAAAGAAGACACAAATTATCTTAAAATGTTTATAAATTTGGTTTCATGCCAATCCACTTTCCTTGTTATTATAGCCATTCCTAAAGCCATCAACCTTTTCTCTCTCACATACACATTTTGAAACAACACAACAAACAAGACACACATTTCACACAAAAATCGCTCATTTGTTGCCAAAATGATCAGTCTTCTTGACAACTTTTAGCCAATTTATTCATCTTTTTTTGTAAACAGTAATCTTCATTGTTATTAATCTATTTTGGTTCTCTCATCCATCCAAAAAAAATGTTAAATCTTGGACCTTCCGATTAATGATTGCTGACGATCGAACCATCATAGACGCTATTAAGCTGAAGAAGAATTGGATCGAGCTGTGGTATTCACAGATTCATAAGTCTATTGATAAAACAGAAAAAAAAAACTCGATTCACGATCATCTCCTTATATTTATTTTACCAGTCGATTTGTTGATTTTAAACCTCAAACTTGGACCTGCCATATTCAATGTCTGAACTTGAATTAAAACTTTGATTGAAGCTTTCTCAAACATTCGAAGTCTTTCTTTATTTTTCGCAATATTTCTGACATTCGAAGCACTCTATGACTCCAAATCATACATTTATGTTCATAATATTGTGTATAGGACGTCAATAATTTAATTTTACTAATTACGAACTTAGTAAAAATTCAATTCCAATCACAGCGGAAGGGTGAAAATAAAAATCGTGAAATATAAAGTTAAATGGCTATGTATAGTAGGTTATAAATATATGTTACTTTGGCTTTTTACTGTCGGGACTTTTGCCTCCTTTGCCTTTCAATAATTTTGCCCTCATACTCGCTGTTTTAGATTCCATCTTGTGTTTTAAAGGCTCGTCTTCTTTAACTTTATCTGCTTTATGTTCGACGTCAGCAAAATTTGTATTATCCTCTGAATTTTCATTTAAATGCAAATTTTGATTTAGATCTAGAACAAAGCAATCGTTCAATGGATCAGCTTCAGCTTCAATGCTGTTCAAATTCTGTTGCGAAGCTTTCTTGACCAAATCCTTTTGAAGCTTATCCTGGGTTATTTTTTTAATCTTTGCAAGAATCTCTGATATTTAAAAAGAAAATTATTTCCATTAAGAAGTTAAAGATTTAATTTAATTTGAATAAACATACTATCTTCCTCCTTTTCGTCTGGTACTGTTAAAATGTCCCATATTTTGTGAGCTTGCTTTGGATGGTTTTCATTAGATGTCGGAAAATATACTTCAACAGATGCAGATCTTTCAACTTTTTTATCCTTAGAGTTGGGTTCGTCTTCCTTGGTTTTAGTCGGTAAATTGATTGTGTGACGTCGATTCTTCGGTTCTTTATCGTCATTTTTATCTTTTGAACTCATGTTATAATATTAGAGCTCATGAATTAGATCAAAAGTAATCGAAGAAAGTAATAGTGAACCATCACGTAAATAAATATTATCTTACACACCAAATAAATAAAATGATATAAAATTAACAATTTGGCTCTTCACATTGGATACTAAATTTTCTCAGTGAGCTCAATTTTGAAGATTACAATTATTTCTCACAATTTGCCACTCAAAATATCTTAAAATCATGGTTGGTTATAAAGGCCTGATGAAATTTGAAAATTTGATCTTTTGATGGTTGGTGAAATAAATCAGTCAAATATTATTTTAAACTTGCATAACAGGTTTTTTTATTTTTGATTCGAGTTTATTCGTGCTTGCGAAGCCAGTTCCGCCTCTCTGGAGAATTATTATGTCCTTTTCTTTGAGTGGTTTACCATTAGTTGGATCAATCATGTCTTTCCGTATTATTCTTTCAATACAATCCAGTGTTACAACATTACCCCTGTGAAATAATAAAATTTAATTTGATGAATCTGGGATGGTCAATTAATCACGAAGAATATAAAACTTACGATGTTTTTAAGACAGCACATGGAACCGAGTTGTTCAAAATATCTCTCGTCACTGGACATAAATATCTTTCCTAGAAAGTGATCAGAAACGCATTGATTCAAATTATTAGAAGTGTCTCAAATTCATGCGAAGATTGAAAATATTGTATAACTGATTGTACTTGTCAGTTTATCTAACGATTATATTGAATGCTGGTATTTCCGCAAGAATTTCAATGTGAGTCGCATTTCATGAAAATTTTTCAGTTCACCAAGCGATTGTCTAATGCCTCAAATTCGAGGTTTTAATCAAAAACATTCATTCAGATAGAATATTCAGTATCAATAATAATTAATCAACTAACCTGCTTAGCGATCAGTTGCTCTCGAGTTAAGCTTGGGTCTACTGGAGTAAAATTTACTGGAATAAGATCTTTGGCCTTCAATGGTTTACCACTCATTGGACATCTAATCGTTGTATCTGGTGCCTTAAGTGGATCTTTACTTTCATCTTTAGGAGTCAGTGATGGAATCCAGAAGCTAGGTAATTTTTTCTCGAGTCCTTTAGCCATATTAGAAACTGACTTTTCACTTGATGGTCCAGGCTTAGAAATATCATTCGATGTTGAACTACCGTTTAGAGTTGAAGGATTGATTAATCCTCTCTCCATGTTTGAAAATTTTTCTGCTTTGGTTTGCTCCTCAGCTTCAGCAAGTTCAGCCATTTCCATTTCATGTTTCTTCTTATCTTTTTCATATTGTTTCAATTTCCTTGCAATTTCAGCTTTTTTGTGAATTATATATTCTAAAACCGCTTCTTTGTCAAATAGGAAGCCTTCAGGTCTACATAAAATAATAATGAAAATTAGAATAGATTGATTTGTAAACAACGTACCAACTTACGTAACAACTGGATAACGACATGGCTGAAGGGTCAGACAGCAAGCATCAAAGTCACCAACAGAATCTTTAGCTAATCGTTCCTTGATTGTTCCATAGCCACTGTTCTGTGTATCCCTTTGTCTTTCATGATAAGTATAACAAGCAGATGCTGTATTGTTTCTTGCGTGTCGAGTCATTCCAGCTTTCTATCTGTTTTTTTATCTATCTTTCTATTTCACACTGACCAGTAGATGATCAGAACCAGTAGTTTACTTATCTCACTGTAAAATGTTGTAATTATCAGAAGGGGCCAAAACTCCGATGAATTGTTGATGTATCAGATAAACTAAAATGAGGAACAGAAATGACGCTGAAACTAGCAACCAAAAGAAAATAATGTGATCATGCATTTGTGAAACTCATTCAAGATGGTTTAAAATTAATTAATGTCACTGATTGATACAGAATTGGCCTAGAAAATTTAAAAACAAACTCAGTTAGATACAGGTTGTAAAGAAAGTTTTGCCAAAACTGTTTTGACAAGTAAGGCCAGCCCACTTCATTGCGCAGAGATCCTTTTTGGTTTGTGTACTAGAGATACGTCGGTTACAGGCTAGTTTGGTTAGTATAACCAGTAACTGTGGTTCTTTCACCCCCAGTTACAAATAACCGGTTACTTGCTGGTTACAAATTTCTTACCGCCAAATTCAAAAATAAAAAGTTTGATTTTTCATCTTTTATCAGCGCCATCTATTAATGTATTTAGAAATCTATTGTTTACTTTCTTTTCAAATTTCCCTCTCAATGTGACCAGCAAGTAACCGGTTATTTTGTAACCGGTTATAGTAACTGGTTATAGTAAACATACTTGGTTACTTTTCTCCCCCACTAACCAAGTAACCGGTTACCAGTAAACAACTGGTCTCTATTGTGTACAGTAAAGTACCAGATAATGACAGTAACTTGAAATAGCTTATTCGTACTATTCGCCGAGCAGTGAATTAATAAAATACAGATTTGATTTAATCCCTCCTTAATTAGGGACCATTGACAAATTTACTGTCATTATCTGATATTTAACTGTATTTTATTTTATTTTTTAGAACATTTGCATCATTAAAAGACAGAAATTTCATGCAAGTATAATTTCATTGAAAAATCCAGCAGAAAAACACAAATTCTCTATTACAGTACTTTCACGCACAAGTTGCATTTTATAAGCGCCGTCTAATGTATTATCAATGGTATACTTAAGCATCTTACTTATAGTAGACGGCGCTTATCAAAATGCAACTTACGCGTGAAAGTACTGTAACAAATATACATTTAGCATAGTAAGTAATTAAAGTATATGATTACTCTGGTCTTAAAATTTGCATATTTTTACTATATTCATAACAATTTTGTGTGCTTTCATACAATAAAAACAAATACGATATTTAACATACCTTTATCGGCACGTTAAACAATCATCATTTATAGTAAACCCTTGGTTTTTTATTGCAAAAAGGAGACATCTATGGACAAAAAATTAAAAAACAGAATTGTTTGTTTACATGCTGGATGGCAAAGCAATGGTAAGCATTACTTTGAAATTTGTGTCTGTTTTTTGTGATTTTATTGTTCATTATGGCTACCCTATAAACGCCAACAACATAATATTGATGGCCAAAGAAATTGGAAATGAAATAAATGTTGATGGGTTTTCTGGTGGTGGAAAAATCGAGCGTTTACTATATATCAGTAGAAAAGCATTAATGCTACTATAATAGTAAAATTTATAAACCCCAAATAAAATATAGAAAAAATGTAAAAAAAGGATAATGGATTTAAATAAAAATTATGACTTTTTTAATATTTAATTAAATCTATTTCGTATATAATATCAAAATTTTCAATTAAAAGTCATTTTTTTAAATAAATGTCTGGACTTTCACCTCCTCTGCCTTGTAATAATTGCCTCCTTATATTCATTGTTTTCGACTCCATCTTTTGTTTCAAAGACTCTTTTTCTTTCACTTTATCTTCTCTTCGTCCCACCAAATCATTGTTTAGCTTATCCTGGGTTATTTTGTCAATCTTTGCTAGAATCTCTGTTATAGAAAGAGAAAGTTATTTTAATAAAGAGTTGGAGATTTAATTTAATTTCTATATACATACTTTTGTTTCTGATTGTATTGTTTCTCGCGTCTTGATCCATGTCAGCTTTCGATCTGTTTGTTTATCTATCTTGCTATTCAGATTCACCTAAACCAGTAGCTAACCAGAACCAATAGCTAACTTATCTTAATGAAAAGAAGGGGCGTTGTACAAATAAACGTTGTAATTATTTGAAGGGCCAGAACTACAATAAATCGTTGATGTATTAGATCAACAAAAATACAGAAGAGAAATGCGATTTACAGGAAATACTAGCATTATCAGTCTCATGTCATTTTCAAAAAGTGTATTTGTGGCTTATAACTTTGTAAGCTTTTGATCAAACATCGAATCAAGATTATTATCAGCCAATTTAAAGATTGCTTTAACTTAATGAAGATTAAGATGACGATTATTTTCATTTTCATAATGATGCTCATATCTGAGAAATTCATAACTCTCTGTGATGTCAACACTACCATTGGTATCGTCATCTAGCTTATGATGGAGGCATTGATAGCTTCAAATCCTGATTTTCACCCAATTCTTGACAGTTTAAATCTAAATCCTTGTGTTTAATGCAATTCATCTTGTATTCTTACAAGTTTGTTAGCTCTTACCCCTTAATTTTAATGCAAAGATTCTTATTTGATTCGTATTTCTTATACTAATACAAATAATGCTTGGTTTTTAGCTAGTCAAAAATAATTCGATTGCACAGTAAATTACAATTTTAATTATTAGCGTTGTTGATTGCATAAAATGATTGTCTAAATTGAAATTAAAAAAAGGTTGAGATCATGATTAGAGTAACGCATGTAGAAATATCAAGTTATCGTTAACATGATAGGCAAAGCTGAGATCAGTCATAATCATATTTTCCCTCTTTTTCTTGGATTAACAGCACGGTTGATGATAATAATACTGAATCCAATCATGAGCATAATCAATTTAAAGCAGTTGGTGCATCATCAATATAATAGCAGCATAAGCGAATGAGAAGAGGGCATGACAAATGTAGATAGTCCAAAGATACGATGAGTAGCCGAGACCAAATTCAGTTTCTTTTATACATAAGCCAATCATAATTCCAATTTCAAGCAACATGAACATTCCAAATCCGAAAGGAATAAAAAAATTTTCAATGGTTCGCCCAAAGATCGCCATAAACAATACTCCAAGGCAGACAGCCATATAAACATATAAAGGTATTTTCATCTTGTGTTTAACCCAACTAACGTAGTTTGAGCTTATCGTCACATTACTAGGAAGGACAATCAATGGAACAGCTGGTAAAATTTCAGAAATCAAGGAAGAATTAGTTAACCCAATTGTATATGGTGTGGTTACTGAGGAGGTTCCATTGGTTGAATGGGTCTCGTTGGTTCCAGGATCGTCGGTTATTGAATCAGTTTTAAGTTGATTAATATCACAGAGAGTAATAACACCTGAAGCTACAACGAAAACAACAAAAGCATATTTCAGCGTTAAAAATGTAAGGCTTCGTCGCTGTAATTGGGAATGTTTATTGTAACCATGATTCTTCTTGATTAATGGACGTCGTTGAGGTTGACCAATTATTGGTGAAAAAGTTAACAGCTCAGTCTCTTGATACACTTGAGGATTCATCTTGTTAATTGGTCGGATACGATCACAGCTAATATCAAAGGATCCCATCTGAGTGGATCAAAATTAGTCCAGATAGCAGCTATCTGTACACTGGTAACTAAAATTTATTCCGATTAATAGCAATAAATTTGAAACAATTTGTTCGGACGGATAAGTTGAAGTTCAATCCATAACTGGACAGATCAGTAGAGTATCATATCGGCTAATCCTGTCTACCTCTCGAGTCAAGTTCAATACTTTTGCACAAGTCTCGACATTACCATTTTATGCTGATTGATTGTTTGGATGACAATGAATCAAGATAGGGAAAATAGAAAGCAAAAAATGTTAATTGAAAGAAATAGTCGGGATAAACAGGAGGAAAAAGAAATGAAGATCACATGAAAAACGAAAAAAAAGGTTTCCTTTTTACCTCTTGAATTTGACTTTTTGTTAACACAGATTTAAAAAAAGTAACCAATTTTTGTTTCCCTCATTCAATGTTTCATGATGAACATGGAAATGAAACAAAAAATAGAAGCAAAGGGGAAAGGAAGGAAAGAGAGGCTAAAGAATGGTTATCGACTGAACTAGTAACAGTGATCGATAATCTGAGTTAGCATGGTTTCCTAAAGATGTCATCCTAAAGTTGACTACTTTACTCATGATAGATTACATTTTAACGTAAACCATGTAAATTGTGATCTCATTTTCTGGTTACACTTTTAAAAAACCAGCGAAACTCATTTTATAATTAAACTAATTCATATTGGTCTAAATATTAACAACTATTTGACTGACCAATTTAGCAACTGAACTATTAAAAAAAATAAAGAAAAAGCATTGATTAATTAGCAAAATGAACAATTGTAATATACGATTAAATGAATAATAAAAACTAAATTCGATGTTTTGCACCCAACATCAGTGAACAAAATTTTATTGATTAGTGAAACTGAGAAAGTACCAGTTTAGGCGCCTTCCCTTGCTAGAGTTTTTAAGATGCGAAATGTTAAAATTGATTGACAAGTCACATATTCTGGACATTAAGCTAAGGCTACTTAAATCGCCTTATTTTGTTGAAATGCCATTTTATCTTGATATTTTGGAAGCACTCGATAAACCAGAAACAATATTTCAAGTTGATTCCAATAATTATTGTCTCAATACATATCAGGTTTTGCATTTCATTTCATTGGACTCATGGAAAAAATTATTACTTCAAGTTCAAGGGTAAAATAAATTAAAGAGAAGTAATCAGCTATTTAATTTAATATAACAAATATTTAAATATACCTGCAAAAAAAGCTTGTTTACTCGATCTCGTACATTTGCAATAAAATATCGACAACAAATGCCTTTAGCATGCGATTCTCTCTGAATTTATGAGATGACCTGATGCAGCGTTGACCATTCATTTAAAATATAACTTAAAGCATTGAATTGAAAAATTAGTACTCATACACCAACATGGTGCATGAGTACTAATTTTGTTGGAGGTCACATGATTTTAATGGGATTGTGCTAATCACACAGCTTCATTGATATAATTTTGATACATGATAATGATAACTCAGTTCACATGAATTTTATACACTCATGTATCACATTGACAGTATTTTCATTTTAATCAGTCTCGATCACAAGATTGAGATATATTAATTAAAGCTATCAAGTTATTATGAACAAGATTGAATCATCATTTATGTTGTTTTGTTTTTCATTGAGTCTGGTTTCTCTGTTAGGTAATAAAAGGATGATTCCCTTTAAAATTTTAATCTAATTTTTACTTTATTCACTCAACACTCGAAGTTGAAACTTAAATTAGTGTGATTAATACGTGCTGCCTAATATGTTTGCAATAAAAGTGTGAATGATATTAAAATGATAACTTAGAACAATTGGATTCATCTCTTGCCATATCTGAATGCGGTCTGAATGATTTGATTCAATCTCAACTAGATTGTTGCTATTAATAGTTTACGCGAAGACTTCATTGCTTCAAGTCACAATGCTACAAAAATGATATCGATGTAAATTGCATTACTAAATAAAGCCATCTGAATTGAGCTTTGTGCCATTGTTTATATCTTTGGCTAAAATCCATTATAATCAACTTGAACTTGATAAGATTCATTATTTATCCATTTAATTATGATAGATACATTATATGTTTGTATCATTTATCTGGGCAAAAAATATAAAATTGCTGCAAAACTCTATTTAGATGTTATTATTTATTAACACTTCAGACAGTTATTATTTGCAGTGAAACACTCGTTTATGTAATAATGTTTTTCATTGATTCATATGTTAGTCCAACTTTACTTAAATTTTTTTATGGATTAGTGACTCTATCCGTGGTCAATTATGTCATCAATTTTGTGCAACGAGTCCGTAAACTACCTCCTGGACCATGGGGACTACCGATTGTTGGGTACTTTCCTTTCATTAGACGAGATGCTTACAAACAGATGACGGAGTTGGCTGCAAAATATGGACCAGTTTTCAGTTTCAAGTGTGGCCAGTTTGATGTTGTTGTTATTAACCAATGGAAGTTTATTAAAGAGGCTTTGGCGAATGAACATTTGCTTGGTCGACCTAAAGAGACTTTTTTGCCTGGTGTCATTGAACATGCCTCATTAATCGAAATGACTGGTGAACCTTGGAGGCAACAACGACGAGTTACTTTAACTACACTTCGAGATGTTGGCTTAGGGAAGAGAGAAACGGAAGATTCGATTAGAGACGAAATTAAATCTTTTACTGAATTAATCAAATCTTTTGAAGGCAAACCAATATCAATGCTTCACAGACTATCATTGAGTGTATCAAACAATATATCAACTCTTTTACTTGGACATAAACACTCTTATGATGATCCTGTTGCCACCAATATGGAAAGTTTGTTTTTCAAAGTAAATGAAATGTTACGTTTCTTCAATATCACATCATTTCTGCCAGCAGTCGCGCGCTTGATTATTAAATTGAATCTTTCCGGTTTACGCGAAATTAATTCTTCATTCAACGGCTTCGAATCTTATATTAATGATGAGGTTAATGAGCACCGAAAAAAAGACATCGATGACAAAGAAATAAAAGATTACTTTGATGGATTCCTTCATGAAATGTCCAAAAGACAAAACGAAAAGGATTCAACTTTCAATTTGAATACTTTGAAACGGAACGGGACCTTATTTTACACTGCTGGCTCTGACACCATTTCAAATACACTCAAATGGATGATGTTGTATCTGGTCAAGTATCCTGAATACCAGGTTAAGCTACGAGATGAAATTAAACAGACCATTGGATTAAATAGACAACCAGAAAATGTGGATCGACAACAAATGCCTTTAACAATGGCATTCATCTACGAAACCTTGCGATTCTCTTCATTAGTTCCCCTCAATCTAATGAGAAGAGCAACTGAAGATACCAAAGTTGGAGGCTATTCAATACCCAAAGATAGTTTTGTTACATTCAACTTCTGGTCAGTCCATTATGATCCAAATTTATGGGATAAGCCTGAGCAATTCAAACCTGAACGGTTTCTTAACGAAGACAAATCTAAAGCCATCAAACCACCTTATCTGCTTGCATTCAGTAGCGGAAAAAGAGTTTGTCCTGGAGAAAGTTTTGCTTATCTTCAGTTATTCTTGTATCTTGTGTCCTTTTTACAGCAATTTGAAATAACAGCAGAACCAGGAAAAGATATTTCATTAGAAGGGATTCACCATTTTCTGTTTTTACCCAAAACTTTACCCGATTTCGTTTTCAAAACTGCTGACCAAACAATTTAAAAAAGATGCCACTAAATTATGGAAGGAGAGGAACCCAATCGTGCCGAGTTGTCATTTTGATAGCATCAACATTTAATAGCAAACGTATTGTAAAGATATTCACTTTCAATGAAATAAATTGAATAGTTTTGCGTTTAATGCTTATGTAATTTATTAAAAATGACTCTCGGTGATACAGATCACTATTTTAATTGTGATGAAAACAAGTCCACATTGATTTTTTGCAAAGTTAAGATATTTGAGAGTAACTGACAGCATTTGAAAATGCATAAATATGCTTGACCACACACTAGCTTAACAAAAAGTTTGTTAGTATTAATAAAAAGACAAACTGACACAAATACTGAAAAATAAACGGACAAAAGCGGGTAAATATTAGTTAAGCTCAAATTTGAATTTTCTAAGTTTGTAGGGACATAAAAATTGAGTGCATTTTTGCGATTTAAAAATTTAGCTGGGCCATAGTTTTTGAGGAAATCGAAATCAAATTTGAAAATTCGATCGCCCTTTGTACAATACTGGAAGCAGATTTTTCAATGAAACTCATTTACCTGATGTGTCTTCTAATAAAAAACAAGGAAATGTATTCATTATGAGAAATAGAACTTTTATTTTTCCGTAAAACAGATCAGTTCGATTTTCAGGTAAACCGATCACATTCTATGACCGTAAGTGTTAGCGAGCTGAAACTTATTATTTGTCCACAAAAATTGTTGGATTATCACATGCATTGAATACTTTTAACAATTTAACAACAGTTCTCTTGTTTTTGGCCATTTGACTTAAAACTTCGAGACTCAATATTTCGAGAATGTTGGTACCTACAGTCGTTATTCTTTCGTCAAACATTAGATTTTATTATGGTCTATAACATTATATGATATGATATCGAATAAAATCTGAACTAACTCTTTTAATAACCAATATCCGTCTAGCCAAAAAGATTTGTGTTTAGCTTTATAAATCAAGTCTCAAATCTGAAAACATAAGTAATAAAATGCTGTAACTTTTTCTGTAGAATCTTGAACAGTTTGAAATATCAATATAATATATCCCATCTTAAAATCTATTATTTGATCAGAAGATGATGAATCTAAAAGATACCATTCTCGGAATATTGAGGCTCAAAGTTTTTAGGCAAAAGGCCAAAATCAAGAGAACTGGCGATAAATTGAAAAAATTAATTGATCCATGTTTTGCACAAACAATTTTCATGGACAGATAATAAGTTTGAGCTTGCTAACTAATAAGGTCACAGAATGGTCTCGGTTTAATTGGAAATTGCACTTGATCTGTTTTATAGACACGGGAAATGTTATGTTTCAAAAAAAGACCATTTTCTGGTTTGTCATCAAAAGTTTTATTAGCAAAATAAGTTTCATGGAAAAATCTGCTTTCATAGCTGAACAAAAGACGATCGAAGTTCCAAATTTGACCTCGATTCTCTAGAAAACTGTCCATCGGAGGAATCTTTTAATAACACCAATGGACTCAGTTTTCATTTCCCTAATAATCAACCAAGTTTCAACTCTTTACTCAAATTTTCGCGTCTTTTGCAACACTTTTTGCAAAACGTCTGCAAGTTTAACCAGAAAATTGGTTTATTAGCCAAGAAATGGGTTAAAATTAGTTTTGTTTGGTTAATATGCTATTGCTCGCCCATTTACAACCCAAATATCATAAACAAAATGCGCTGATGTAAATTTTTTGAGTCGAATTGAATTATTCATTAGTATAGAGATCTGTTCCCATAATTTTACAAACGTTTACGTCTCGATATTGTCTGCTTGTTGCGCTTATCGCGCTGTAGTCTACGTTTCTTCACCATTTTATTAGAAAATGAGTTTCTCGAGATCGTGAATATCAAGAAAGTTATGGAAATTTTATGGTTAGGCATAAAAATGTGGGTTACGCTTCTGGTCAATCAGTCGGTGCAAAGGCACCACCAACTGTTAACTACATTCTGCAAAGTAATTTTATTCATAATTCACGATAAGCCATTAAAATTTACAAGACATTTTTCAGGCAACTCATGATGAACAGCTCGATAATTCTGTATGTTGGTGGGCGATTTAAATTTTTGTTATAAGAGAAACAAACAGTTAGACAGCGTGATCAACAGGGTTAACAATAACACAGTTTAAAAAAGTAAAAAAGCGTGAAATCATTATTTTTAATCGATGCTCTTGAAAATAAAATTTTGTAAACTTTTTTGTTTCTTAAGGAAAAGATGAACTCCTTCCAATGAAACATCTTTACCTGGTTCAGCTGCGATCTCAAATTGCTGTAAAAAGGATACCAGATACAAGAATAACTGAAGATATGCAAAACTCTCTCCAGGACAAACTCTTTTTCCGCTACTGAATGCGATCAAATAAGGAGGTTTAATAGCTTTAGATTTATCTTCATTGAGGAATCTTTCAGGCTTGAATAATTCAGGATTATCCCATAAATCTGGATCATAATGGACTGACCAGAAATTAAATATAACAAGACTGTCTTTGGGTATTGAATAGCCTCCGACTTTGGTATCTTCAGTTGCTCTTCTTAACAAATTAAGTGGGACTATTGAAGAGAATCGCAAGGTTTCGTAAATGAAAGCCATTGTTAAAGGCATTTGTTGTCGATCGATATTTTCTGGTTGTCTATTCAATCCAATAGTTTGTTTAATTTCATCTCGTAGCTTAATCTGGTATTCAGGATACTTGACCAGATACAACATCATCCATTTGAGAGTATTTGAAATGGTGTCCGATCCAGCGAAGTAAAATATGGCTACATTTCGTTCTAAAACATCTAAATTGAAATTTGAATCCTTTTCGTTTTGTCTTTTGGACATTTCGACGAGGAATCCATCGATGTAATCTTTTATTTGGTTGTCTTCAGCATCTCGATTTCGATGTTCATTAACTTCATTAAGAATATGAACAATGAATTTTTTGTACAAAGACTCAATTTTTGCCAAACTAAAAAGCTTAAATTTGACCATTAAGATTGCGATGGTGGGCAAAAATTTCCCAGCGCCGAAATACGGAAACAGACCATTAAATTTCGCAATCAAACTTTCCATATCCAGAGACACAGGATCATCATAAGCATATTTGTGTCCAAATACGAGCTTTGATATATTGTTTGAAACACTCAAGGATAGTCTATCCGATATTGATATTGGTTTTCCTTCAAAAGATTTGATTAATTTGGTAAATGATTTGACTTCGTCTCTAATCGAATCTTCCATTTCACTCTTTCCTAAGCCAACATCTCGAAGTGTAGTTAACGCAACTCGCCTCTGTTCCTTCCATTGTTCACCGGACATTTCGACTAATGAAGAGACTTCGGCTATACCAGGCAAAAAAGTCTCTTTAGGTCGACCAAGTAAGTGTTCATTTGCCAAAGCTTCTTTAATAAACTTCCATTGATTGATGACAACAACATCAAACTGGCCACACTTGAAACTGAAAACTGGTCCATATTTTGCTGCCAACTCAGTCATCTGATTGTAAGCATTTTGTCCAATGAAGGGTAAGTACCCAACGATCGGTAGTCCCCATGGTCCAGGGGGTAAGGCACGAACTCTTATAACAAATTTAATAACATAATTGACCACAAATAGAGCCACTAATCCATAAAAAAATTTAAGTAAAGTTTGGTTAACACAGCAGCCTTCAAAAAGCATCGTAATTCAAATACTAAGTGTTTCAAGTAAATAAAATTTTATACAAAGATTGTTTAGCCTTGAATCATCTGTAATGAACCATTCCAATTGGCAGACAAAAATTGTTGTTGATGCATCTTGATCTATCATTACTTGTCCTTGTTATTCAAGTAGCAAAATATTAATAACTTGATGTTGTTGAAGAAAACTTGAAACGTGGAAGAAATGAGACTTAATTGAAGATTTGATTCAACTTAATTCAATCTTAATGAATTTGATATTGTTTTAATTGCAATTTTCTAGTTTATCGAAAATTACGAAACATGAAAAAGGTTCATCTGAATATTTACCACTCTCAGGCAGTTTGTGAAACACTCGGGAAATTCCCGATCGCTTGAATATTGCATTTAGTGCTAAGAGACGCAAATTAAAGTTAGCAATAGACTACAATTCACAATTATTAATAAAAAGACACAATCAGCTCAATTGTCACATTTATACACAAATTGGCAAAAACGGGAAAAAGTTAATTTGCTTTCAAATCGAGAATCTGTTGATTTGTATTTGCATAGAGAATGAGTCTATTTGTGCGATTTAGATTTACCTAATGAACAGTTTTCAGGAAAATTGAGATCGAGTTCAAAGTTGAGACTTGCAAAGCATTTGTACAATTATGGAAGCTGATTTTTTCCACGAAACTTATTGTACTGATGTGTCTTTTGATGACAAACCAGGAAATGTATCCATTTTAAAAAATAGAACTTTTACTTTTCTTTAAAACAGATCAGTTCGGGTATGGGCTATAACATTATATGACTAGATACCGAATAAAACCTGTAAGTTAATTCTTACAATAATCAATATCCTTCAAGCCGAAAAGATTTGTGTTTAGATTTATGAAGCAAGTCTAAAATCTTTTTCTGTAACATCTTGAACAGTTTGAACGCAATATCTCCCATAATAAAATCTATTATTTGATCAAAGGATGATGATCGAAGTACCGATTAAAATAATGATTTCACGATTTTTTAATTTTTTAAACTGTATTATTGTTAACCCTGTTGATCACGGTGTCTGACTGTTTGTTTCTTAAACAAAAATTTAAATCGCTCATCAACAAGAGTTGTCTGACGTTGGTAAAATTATGGGAACAGATCTCTTTACTAATGAATAATTCAATTCGACTCAAAAAATTAACATCAGCACATTTTGTTTATGATGTTTGGGTTGTAAATGTGCGATCAATAGCAACAGACATACAACAGAACTCATTTTAACCCATTTCTTGGTGAATAAACAATTTTCTGGTTAAGCTTTCAAACGTTTTGCAAAAAGTGCTGCAAAAGACGCGAAAGTTTGAATAAAGAATTGGAACTTGATAGGTTTGTAGGGAAATAAAAGTTCTGTTCAATGGTGTTATTAAAGGATTCCTACGATGGACAGTTTTCTAGAGAATCGAGGTCAAATTTGGAACTTCGATCGTCTTTTGTTCAGCTATGAAAGCAGATTTTTCCATGAAACTCATTTTGCTAATAAAACTTTTGATGACAAACCAGAAAATGCATTTTTTTTGAAAAATAACATTTCCCGTGTCTATAAAACAGATCAAGTTCAATTTCCAATTAAACCGACACCATTCTGTAACCTTATTAGTTAGCAAGCTGAAACTTAGTATTTGTCCATGAAAATTGTTTGTGCCAAACATGGATCAATTCCTTTTTTCAATTTATCGCCAGTTCTCTTGATTTTGGCCTTTTGCCTAAAAACTTTGAGTCGCAATATTCCAAGAATGGTATCATCTAAATTCATCGTCTTCTGATCAAATAATAGATTTTAAGATGGGATATATTATATTGATATTTCAAACTGTTTAAGATTCTACAGAAAAAGTTATAGCATTTTATTACTTACTTTGCAGAATTTGATACTTGATTTTTAAATCTAAACACAAATCTTTTTGACTTGACGGATTTTGGTTATTAAAATAGTTAGCTCAGATTTTATTCGTTATCAAGTCTTATAATGTTATAGCCCATAATAAAATCTAATGTTTGGCGAAAGAATAACGACTGTAGGTACCAACATTCTCGAAATATTAAGTCTCGAAGTTTTAAGTCCAATGGCCAAAATCAAGAGAACTGTTGTTAAATTGTTAAAAGTATTCAATGCATGATATAATCCAACAATTTTTATGGACAAAAAATAAGTTTCAGCTCGCTAACACTTACGGTCATAGAATGTGATCGGTTTACCTTTAAATCGAACTGGTCTGTTTTACGGAAAAACTAAAGTTCTATTGCTCAAAATGAATACATTTCCTGGTTTTTCATCAAAAGAAACATCAGGTGAATGAGTTTCACGAAAAAATCTGCTTCCATAATTGTACAAAATTCTTTGCAAGTTGCAACTTTGAACTCGATTTCCTTCAAAACTGTGGATCAGATAAATTTGTAAATCGCACAAATGGACACAATTTTTATGCTCCTAAAAGCCTACAGAATGTTAATTTGAGCTGAACTAATATTTACTCGTTTTCGTCTTTTGTTTTTCAGTATTTGTGTCAATTAGTGTATGAATGTGATAATTGTGTTAACTGTCTTTTGATTACAGTAATAGTAATAACCCTTTTGTTAAGCTAGTGTGTGTTAAGGATATCTATGCATTTTCAAATGCTGTCAGTTGCTTTCAAATATCCTGAATTTGCAATAATCCATGTTGGAGCTGTTTTCATCACAATTCAAAAGTGATTTGTATCTCCGAAAGTAAATCTTAATAAATCTCATAAACATTAAACGCAAAACTATTCAATTTATTTCTACGGAAGTCAATATCTTTACAATACGTTTGTTATTAGTTGTGGATGCCATTAAAATGACAACTCGACATGACTGGGTTCCTCTTCTTCCATAATTTAGTGACATCTTTTTTATATTGTTTGGTCAGTACTTTTAAAAATAAAATTGGGTAGAGTTTTGGGTAAAAAAATAAAATGGTGAATCCCTTCTAATGTAATATCTTTTCCTGGTTCTGCTGTTATTTCAAATTGCTGTAAAAAGGACACAAGATACAAGAATAACTGAAGATAAGCGTAACTCTCTCCAGGACAGCCTCTTTTTCCGCCACTGAATGCAAGCAAATAAGGTGGTTTGATGGCTTTAGATTCATCTTCGTCAAGGAACCGTTCAGGCTTGAATTGTTCAGGCTTATCCCATAAATTTGGATCATAATGGACTGACCAGAAGTTGAATGTAACAAAACTATCTTTGGGTATTGAATAGCCTCCAACTTTGGTATCTTCAGTTGCTCTTCTCATTAGATTGAGTGGAACTAATGAAGAGAATCGCAAGGTTTCGTAGATGAAAGCCATTGTTAAAGGCATTTGTTGTCGATCCACATTTTCTGGTTGTCTATTCAATCCAATAGTCTGTTTAATTTCCTCCCGTATCTTAGCTTGGTATTCAGGATACTTGACCAGATACAACATCATCCATTGAAGTGTAAACGAAATGGTGTCGGAGCCAGCAGTGTAAAACAAGGTCCCGTTCCGTTTCAAAGTATTCAAATTGAAAGTTGAATCCTTTTCGTTTTGTCTTTTGGACATTTCATGAAGGAATCCATCAAAGTAATCTTTTATTTCTTTGTCATCAATGTCTTTTTTTCGGTGCTCATTAACCTCAGCATCGATATAAGATTCGAATTTCTTGAATGAAGAATTAAATTCACGTAAACCGGAAAGATTTAATTTAATAATCAACCGTGCGATTTTTGGCAGAAATGATGTAATATTGAAGAAACGTAACATTTTATTTGCATTGAAAAACAAACTTTCCATATTTGTGGCAACAGGATCATCATAAGAGTGTTTATGTCCAAGTAAAAGAGTTGATATATTGTTTGATACACTCAATGATAGTCTGTGAAGCATTGATATTGGTTTGCCTTCAAAAGATTTGATTAATTCAGTAAACGATTTAATTTCATCTCTAATTGAATCTTCCGTTTCTCTTTTTCCTAAACCAACATCTCGAAGTGTAGTTAAAGCAACTCGTCTCTGTTGCCTCCAAGGCTCGCCAGTCATTTCGATTAATGAGGCATGTTCAATGACACCAGGTATGACAGTCCCTTTGGGACGACCAAGCAAATGTTCATTCGCCAAAGCTTCTTTAATACACTTCCATTGATTGATGACAACAACATCAAACTGACCACATTTGAAACTGAAAACTGGTCCATACTTTGCTGCCAACTCAGTCATCTGATTGTAAGCATCTTGTCTAATGAAAGGTAAGTATCCAACAAATGGTAGTCCCCATGGTCCAGGAGGTAAGGCACGGACTCTTATAACAAATTTTATAACATAATTTACCAAGAGTAGAATCACTAATCCATAAAAAAATTTGAGTAAAGCTGGATTAATATAAGAATCAATGAAAAACATTGTTAAGAAAACGAGTCTTTCAAGCGAGTAAATACAATTTGATACAAAGATAGTTTAGCCTTGAATTATCTGTAATGAATCATTCCAAAAGGCAAACAAAAATTGTTGTTGATGCCTCTTGATCTACCTTGTCCTTGTCAATCAAGCAAAATCACTTGATGCTATTGAGGAAAACTTGAAACGTGAAAGAAATTAGACTTAATTGTAGATGGGAAATTATTCAATATCAAATTGTACGCAAATTAAAGTTAGCAATAGACTACAATTCACGGTTCCTTATAAAAAGACACAATCAACACAATTGTCCCATTTATACACAAATTGGAAAAACGGGCAAAAGTTCATTTCTTCCTCTCAAATCGAGACTCTGTTGATTTGTATTTATGTAGAGAACGAGTCTATTTGTGCGATTTAAAAGATTTCTCTAATGAACTGTTGTCGAGAAAATCGAATTCAAAGTTGAAACTTCATTCGCCCTTTGTACAATTTTGGAAACAGATTTTTTCGTGAAACTCATTTATCTGATGTGTCTTTTTATGAAAAACTAGGAAATGTATCCATTTTGAGAAATAGAACTTTTTTCCGTAAAACAGATTAGCTCGATTTTCAGGTAAATCGATCACAATCTATGACCGTAAGTGTTAGCGAGCTGAAACTTATTTTTTTGCATGTATTGTTGAATTATATAGTGCACTGAATAATTTATACAATCTAACAACCGTTCTCTTGATTTTGGTCATTGGACTTAAAACTTCGAGCCTCCTGCACTCTTTGCAAAACGTTTGCAAGTTTAACCAGAAAATTGGTTTATTCACCAAGAAATGGTTTAAAATGAGTTTTGTTTGTTGACATTTCATAAACAAAATGCGCTTAAGGAAATTTCTTGAGTCGAATTCAATTTTTCATTGGTAAAGAGATCTATTCCCATAATTTTACAAACGTTTACGTCTTGATAGTGTTTGTTTGTTGCACTCATCGCGCTGTAGTCTTCGTTTCTTCACCATATTATTAGAAAATGAGTTTCTCGAGAACGTGAATATTCAGAAAGTTATGGCTATTTTATGGTTATGCATAAAAATTTGGGTTAAGCTGCTGGTCAATTAGTTCGAAGTAAAACCAGTATCAACTGTTAATTACATTCTGCAAAGTAATTTACATTCACAACAAGTCATTAAAATTTACAAGACAGTTTTCAGACAACTCATGAAATGATCGACAGCTCGGTAATTCTGTATGTTAAGATAATGATTCTCATTAAATAACGATTTGCACAATTTTATAGGCTTCATCAATAGAGGTCGCTTGAAATTAGTTATTAATAGTTATTTTTATTTACGAGTTATTTTACTTCATATACTTGATATTACTTGTACTTATTCTTTCATCTGTGATCAACCTTGCTTTTCAATCTACTTTCAGCAAATTAATACTGACAGAAGTTATTAAGCTTTGCAGGTTTCATATTTAGCGAATAGGTTGAAGGGATTGAAAACTTGATTAACTAAAAAGTTTCTTGAATTTCTGGTTAACTGCAAATTCGAAAAAATTATCAACCTTGATTGTCTATCAGTTGCTCTTCATAACTAAATTAAACTAAACAAAAGTATGAATGCTCGAGGAGGTACCATTTTCCGCCAGGTAAGTCAAACGTTTCTTGTATTAGCATTTTGCTTCGTGATCGCATCATTATTTACTAACCTTTGTTAATGATTTTACAGCTATTTGACCGTTCCTGTTGTTGTTTCACCTATTTGATTGGCGACAAATATCAAAAAACCGCTCTTCTCATTGATCCTGTTCTGGAACAAGTTGATCGAGATCTAAAATTAGTCAAAGAACTTGGACTTGAAGTAAGCATTAATTGAATAACAATATTGCAGCATCAATATTTAATTTTAGCCAATCATCAATTTAAAAATATCTTTTATGCATTCATGAAAATAATGAGAATGTTGAACCAGTTTAAAGACGAAATCGAAAAATTTTCGCAAAGAGCTTGCTTGTGGAATCCAACAACGATTTCATAATCTAACTATTCTTAGAACAAATTACCTCGAATATGTATTCACAACATAATATACATTTCTATGTACAATCGATAATTTTAATGGACATTTTTTCGATTTACAACTCAGAAATTGTGATTACCGGTGCACCGATTGGGTTGTGAGGCTAGTGCTGCATTCATGTGTTGGATTCATGAGCAAGCATTGCTTGCCAAGCACTGTAGTGTGATATTTAGCAGATTAACAAATATTATGAGATCACTTTCTTGATCAATTTATTGATCGTTAACCAACAAACAACTTAACACACTACAGTTTTTGCCAATATTTCTGATCCATGTTTATTTAATTGATACTTATAATTATCTTTTACAAATTTTACAATCGAAAGTTATAGATTATTTTAATTGTTCAATAATTGATTTCAAATAAATGAATCGATTTCAGTGAAAAGTACATTCAATGTTACTAATGTGAGAGAAAAATAACTATTTATATTGTTGATCGATCTTATCATCTAAATACAATGATTTTGTTTAATTTTGTCCCTTTACAGTTGAAATATGTTTTGAACACTCATGTTCATGCTGATCACATCACTGGATCTGGACTAATCAAAGACAGATTAAACACTAATGGCAAATTACAGGTGCTGAGCATAGTATCTGAATCGAGTGGTGCTGAAGCAGACATTTGTGTTGACGATGGGGAAGTTATTGATTGTGGCTTAGTCAAGCTGAATGTGACTTATACTCCAGGTATTGATAGACTAATGTTTCATCCTGAGAACCATGAAAATGCAAGAAACACTGTAAATGTAATTAATTTCATAGGTCATACCAATGGCTGTATGAGTTTGATTGATCACTACAATAAACGAGTATTCACTGGCGATGCGCTATTTATTAGAGGCTGTGGAAGGACTGATTTTCAAGAAGGTAACTTCATCGCAATACTAAACTCAGACGATAGTTATTCTCAACTAATCTGAATTCCGTCCATTTCTTTTCTTTCGACTCTTAAAATAATACCAGGATCACCATCCAAGCTTTATGATTCAGTCCATTCTAGGCTCTTCACATTACCAGATGACTACAGTGTTTATCCAGCTCATGATTACAATGGTAAGTCAAAGTATTATACTTTGATTGTTTAAATGTTTTTTATGTTTTATCATTTACTTATCCAGGCCACACAATGTCAACCATTGGGGAGGAAAAAAAGTTCAATCCAAGGATGGTGACATCCAAGGAAGAGTTCATCGAGATTATGGAAAATTTAAATCTTGATTATCCTAAAATGTTAGGTGAGTTGGTTGATTGATACAACAATTAGCAATAAAACATTTGACACTTTTTTTATACACAAGAGTGCATATAAACTGTCACTTATAATTCTTGAGTTGAGTTAGAGTGAGTTGGTTATAAGATTTTTCATTTTCATATTCTAGGATACAATAGATCGATGTTTCTACTTGTGATTTTTCAGATCAAATCAAATTTTTGTTTGTCAATTTATGTCTCAATCTGGGATCCTATGTATCTGAAAAATCGAACTGAGCCAAATTGAATTCGAAATCAAATTTAAAATAAACTAGCAAACTAACTCTATCGATCTCAGTAAAGTGCGCTATTTAAATCGACCTAAATTTGCTATTTGTGCATGTCGATCTGAATAAGATCAAATAATATCTAAAAATCACTGAAAAATAATACTAGAGCAAAAATTAAGGCAATTTTCGAAGCGAATCAGAAATACCCAGACTTGATCACAATGTAAATAGTGACAGTTTTTTGTTTTCTTGTGTAGACTGAATGGATATAAAAAAGTTTAATTTTCAGAGTTCATATAATTTCACATCATGTTTATTTAAATTTCAATTGATTTTTCTGTACATTTATTAATTTCAGATGAAGCGGTTCCTAAAAACATGAGGTGTGGAAGTTGAAGGGCTATGGTTAAAGGTAACTTTGGATGATTTGTTGGCTGTTGCACTTTTAGACGTTTATTCAGTTGATTAGTTATGAATATAAAATGGGTTTCAAAAATAATTCAAGTTACACTAGATTTAAACATTGTAATCCAGAGTATTTAATAAACAGGGCAGTTTGATTGGTTGCTTGGTAATGGCAGATTGTGAATAAGTCACCTTGACTATTTCGGCACAACATCTGGTGGAGGAGGATTTCCAGAAATCATTGAAGCAATATTCCTAACCAGTTCCTTCCTCACTTCATCAGGAACTAACGCACGAGCGTCCGGAGCGATGTTCTTAACCATTGCGTCCACAGCAGAATCTGTCGATAAAGAATCTAAATCCTTTCCTTTGATGTAATCTTTACACATTTCAGCCACTTTCTCTTGGAACTGTGATTCGACCAACCTGCTTTGGAGCAACCTTTTAAGTTCATCTCTTTTTCCGGTTTCTTCTAGCTTTTGGTGTGCTTTAGCACGTACTTCTTCATTCACAGGATCCATGATGTTGAACCAATTAATTACTGTAAAATGTCGATCACAAAACAAGTAGAAATTTAGAGAAAAATCTAATCAGTAGAAGAATTGGATGAATTAGATGTTAGATGTAAACCTTGCCACTTTTAAAGTCAACACCAGTTAATTTATGTCAGTTAAATAAAATCAAATTAATCTGAGGGCTTGTCTGTAAGTTGCAATCTGTTTTAACTCTTTGTAAATGTAAATTATTTAATGACAATTTCCAGAGGAAATGGACCAAATAAGTGCAGATTGACCTCGGGATTAAAAGATAGTGTTTTTTAGAATAAATATTGTTTTATACTTCGCATCAACATGATTTGGAATGAGACAAAAAACAATTTAAATTGATAACAAAGAAAAAAACTTTGCAATATCGAAAAGAGTTATTGTATAGAGCTGAAGTTTACTGCGGACTTCGTCGATTTTTATCTTGTTTCTTGCGAGACGTTTCTTGCTCCTGGTACTTTTCATTAGTAGAAGATGAAATCTCTCTCAAGTCATCGGATCTACAATCAATTGGATAAACTTTAGATTCTTGACCATCTTTAGAGCGCCTACCAATTCTATGTGACCCATATCGATCATGCATTGTAGCAAGGGGTAAGGATGTAGCACCACTTTCGAATTCTCCTGGCTCGAAACTTACTTCATCATAAATACTCAGTATGATCAGTAGATGAACGAGTTAAGGACATTTGATTGCGAGTCTCACTGTTTCTTTGTTGACAGATTTATTGCTAGTAGAAAATGATTTTGATGGATCAGAGTTTTCTGGAGATCGTTTTTCCGCAAAGATTGAAGTTGACTACTGTGAACCCTCTCATATTGTCACCCTCTCAAAATGTCCGTGGTCATAGTAACGAAATAAACAATTAAGTTTAATTCAGCTTTTTTAATTAATTAAATTTCGAGAGGACTCCAATTATGTTTTTAATGCGGCTTGATTTACCAATCGGGTAAATAAACATGAAAAATCACAAAATTGAATTAAAAATTCATGTTTTTTTGTAAAATTAAATTCGTAGAACGGCTATTTCACCTAAATATTATAGAAAAATAGCCGAAATGCTAATCCCACGACGTGACAATATGAGAGGGTTCACAGTACTTGATAATTGAGGTCATGAATATGAATTTTACGCACTAAAGCAACATATGACTCCGCATAAGGTCCATAACCAAAAGTCTCTTCATTCACAGCAATCGAAATAATGTTATTCAACTTAACCAGTGTTTTGCAAGCGATTTCAGGTGTCATATTATTCATGGCAGCAAGGAATGTTTCTTCCGGGCTGAGATATTCCATTTCTTTGCTCTTCCTAAAGAAATTAATGATTCATGGAATTGTACTTTGGTCAAATATTGATGTTTTTTGGCCATCATTGTCCTCTTCGTCACAAGAATCTGGTTTATTGATTTCGGGCTTAGACTGAGTTCATTCAGCGCTATGAACACCGGATTCCATCTTTAGCGACTTTGTTATTCAATTGCAAATGATAGAAACCAAATTTTTTTGGAGTTCCTTAAATTTATCATCTAAGCTTGACATAATAAGAATGAGAAAGCCGGTAATACATGTAATAATGTATGTTCACTGCTCACATGCTCGGCCATAGTGTAGATGCACCTGTAGAACTGGAAAATGGAAAAGCAACATTGTGGAATTAGAATTAGAATAAAAACGATGAGGGGTCGAAAAATGGAAAATCTAACTATTCACATCTTTAAGCAGTACTTTACACATATTCATTTAATTAGTTAAAGTAATCATCAGAAAATATCGATAAAATGAAAGATTTCATGTTTAATGGTCATTCCATTAAGAATCTAACTGAAACCAACTGTAAAATTGTTTCCATGGATTTAGACTTTTGGGTTGAGAATTGATGTAATCGTGATAATAAGACAGAAATGCTGCATTCATATCTACATTTATATTTACATTTATCTTTTCATGTTGAAATTTTCAGCAGCTAAAATGAATTGAGTTAAATATTGAGGAAAATATTCACAGAAACCAGATTAATGTATTTTAACTCATCAAAAGAGCCGTTAGTCTACACCGTGATCCATTTGGTTTGGACAAACAAAGATGACTCATTGCTTTTTTATGTCATAAATTGAAGGGGTTATCTGATAAGTACCATTGCTACTGACTAAAGCGTGTGTTTTGTCTGCGTTTATTATGTAACAACCCCTTCGATTAGTCATCTTTGTTTGTCCAAACCAAATGGATCACGGTTAATCACTTTTTCCCTTTCAACTATTGTTCAGCAAGTGACTTCTCCTGTATAACTCGCATCTTTTACTTCACTTATTTTGTGTGCTTTTCAATCATTCTTGATTGACCTTTTATAAAGTAAATCAAATTTCAGTCTCAACAATTATCTAGTCAATTCTTATCCTTTTCATCGTTACGCAACAATTATCAAGGTATGTTCACATTTCTCACTTTCTCATTCTCTGTGTACTCAGTGAAGTTTCTGTGAGTGATATTGTTATGGTTTTATCATATTCAATGTCATTTTTTTCGTTTCAGTTCCCTGAGAGTTATACACAGTGAATATCAAAATGAGCTTTATTGACGGTTATCAGCCGAAAACCCTCCAGCCACCACCTCCAGTGTCTCTCTCCTCCAGCAATAGGACAAGATCACAGAATGCGCAATCTAATTTTGAATGGCGAATGAGAAATCGCGACAAACACATCGCTAAGGTTAAAGCACGAGAGGCACGTAAATACAGAGAAGCGTTGGAAGAAATTTCTTTGCCATCCATCAATTGTTACAATCTGCCAAGTAACCATTCAGAACGAATTCTCAGTGCCAGGAGAGAATTGGAGAGACGAAAGCTTAAAGTTTGCGCGATCGATATGGAAAATGTAGTAATCACCATGGTAAATGGAACTGAAAAGTCGGTTCCTTGTTGGGTTTCTGTTGTCAATTCAGAGGGCCAATTGATATACAATAGTCTCATCAGACATCCATCAGGTGGTATCTCAAGACCACTCACCCAACTGCATGGTTTATCTCATGACCATTGGAAATATGCTCCTTTTTTCTGCAAAGTGCGAACTGACGTAATGGATATACTTAACGGATACGATCGTATTATAGTTTCTAACCAAACTGCTGATTTCGTGTCTTTGTTCATCGACTGTGAAACCCACTTGAAACTCTTGGATAAAATCATTTGTGTTTCATCATTTTATAATTGTAAACGGGCAGATGATGCACTTGGATTGGAATTTTGCGCATTCCTTTTGTTCGGTGATCTTATCAAACAGACGGTTCATTCACCAATCATTGATGCCAAGTTTACTATGTTCTGCTATTTATTCGATATCAAAGGAATGGAAAGAGTTCGCGCACAAAACATCAAAGATGGAACCATGGTATACAAACAACATGATTATATGGGATATAACTATCCAAAGAACATTCAAATGGCCGGATTGCTGTCGGATGTTATGGCATACATTGGGGATTAAAAATGGCTCCTTTTTCAAAGAGATGTCTGAAGAGCAAATGCTACAAAGAGGATGATTACATTCGAGGTGCATCCGAGCGACGAGCTCCATACATATTCAACCAAGAAATATTCAGATCATTTGTAAATCGCTGATCCTTTACTTGATTAGTTGATTTGAGATATAAATACAATAATTCTCAGAACCAATCAAATTATCTAATTATTTTTTGATAAAAATGAATGATTTAATGATTTAATAAAATAAAATGATTTCGTAGATTAACGTGAATTTATCTGTTCATTTTGTGCAATTTATAACCTCAAATTGAAATGTTGATGAAGTTATCGGATTATCACATGAATTTGGACTGACCAGAAGTTAAATACGACAAGACTGTCTTTAGGTATTGAATAGCCTCCAACTTTAGTGTCTTCAGTTGGTCTTCTCAATAAATTGAGTGCAACTATTGAGGAGAATCGCAAGGTTTCGTAAATAAAGGCCATTGTAAAAGGCATTTCTTGTCGATTCACATTTTCTGGTTGCCTATTCAATCCAATGGTCTGTTTAATTTTATCTCGTAGCTTATTCTGGTATTCAGGATACTTGACCAGATACAACATCATCCATTTGAGTGTATTTGAAATGATGTCCGACCCGGCACCATGAAACAAAGCTGCATTTCGAGGTAAAGTATCTAAATTAAAAGTTGAATCCTTTTCATTTTGTCTTTTGGACATTTTATGGAGAGATACATCGATGTAATCGACCTGATATTCAAAGTACTAAAACTACATTTCATTTGCTGGTTGTCGATCCTAATTCTGAGGATACCGGTAAATATGTATTGTCCTGCGTTAATCCTGAAGATATTAGAAAGTGGATCAGTATGATGCAAAGCAAAGGCTTAGAAACACCGTTGAAAGAAATTCGAGCTAGTCCAATCCATCATGCTATTGCATCTGAAAGTCCAATGACTCCTGTTCATATGGAAAACAATCGAATCAAGTATTGGGCTTGGAAAAGTCTTTTATTACCTCACCCACCATTACGTATTTCGGGTTCTAGCAGTGATTTCGATGGTTCAAGTACTTTGAGTCGAGATGCGTTAAGCAAAATAAATTTGGAAGGAGATGTTAGTCAAGCCAATGATATGGCCATTTCCAAGTCATCGAAGCTGAGTAATCGAGCAAAAATGGCCAATGCAACTCAACTTCAACCGATCCGAGATATTGATAAGCATATTTTTGGTAAATTGGCTGATCAGTCTATTGCCGAAGATAAACAATCGATAAACTTGTCAACCATTATGGAAGACTTTAAAAGTCTGAAAATCCAATTAGAGTCTCTGAATAGTTGGTTCAAAAAAACATGTAAATAACCTAAAAATGTTCTCGATCTTTTATTATTCAATATAGATGGCAGTTGTTATTGCGATCTCGAACCAGAAATTTACAGAGTCTGTCATCTATCCTTCCTGATCTTACTGATTCAATTTCACTTGTTCATTTCACATTGTTCTGATTCTCGTGGTTTTCCGTGCAATATCTTTCATGATCTACCTTTAAATCTAACTTGGATTTATTAAAGAAGGCAAAATCAGACTCGAAAAGAACTGTACAGACCATTATAAACAAGCATTTCAACCCTCTATCACTCATATCACCTTTTAATAACCGATCTCATCTTATTTGTTTAGTTAAACAATCATTCGCTCAAATTGTTATTTTATAAATTTGTCTCCAAATGTGTCATCAATTATGATAATTTATTTCTACTGCCGTAACAATTGGATTGAAAGACATTAAAAAATAAGGTAAGTAGCCAACCTTTAACCCAAACAGCAACACAGTTATAAGCTGTAAAGACACAATATCGTCTGCATTAACCATTTCATTTTGACCTAAAAAAGAAGCAAAATCAGTGAAAACCTACTCTTTTTTGTTATCATTCAATCTTCCCTTTCTTTCTCAAAGTGTCTACTTACATTTTCCCCTTTCATTTATCATCATCTTCTTCGTCTTTTGCCTTTACTTTTCCCCTTCTTTCATCATCACTTACCCATTTCTGGTAGCCCATGTGAGTTAAATGATTTTTTGCTTCCATTACAACTCAATGTTTTATGCTTTAACACAGTAATGGTTATTTTAGTGATTTTATTTCCATCTCAATCAATAAGACTATAGATAAATACAATGACAATATTAGCTTACATTGACATTTTAATAATGTCGCTCGATTGTATTAATTGATTAAAACAATGAGCCAAGACCAACAGATAATTTGAGTTCATTAAACTTTATAAAATTAGCATACAGTGAGATGAACAGTAGCGAAATTTTCATCCAAGTTGCTGACAAATGTGAAATGGCCAATTCTGTCGCTTTATCCATTAGCTGTACTAAATAGTCAATTAGTTGCATCCAGCTAATTAAAAGTCAATCATTTGAATCAAATCGCTTGTCTAATCCTCTTCTTTACTCGAAAATGAGTGACAATACCTGTTATCAAGAAGTAACAAGCATGTAATTTAACCGATTCCCAGTGAGTTAATGAAATTTCCACCAGAGTTTGGTATTAAATGATTGAACAGCATTGAAATATTTTTCTGGTTATGGTATTGGTCAATGAAATTGCATGCATCAACAGGAATGACAATAAATTGAAATGAAACAATGACGATTAACAAACTGCAGTTGAAACAGTTGAGGGTTTATCCAAAAGACATCAAGTTATTTACTCCATCTCGGTTTATCATCCTCATCCACATCCTACAGTTGTTATGGGAACCGTGGGACATTTTTGGAGAGACACCTAAGAAAGAGAAGATAAGTTTATTGTTAGTCAACTCCCATTTGTTTGTAACCATATCAGGTTCGTTCAAATGATGATCAAGTATATTTTTGCATCATCAAGTAAGACACATTTCACTTTACCTTAAAGACAAAAAGCAAATATCTCATGTCTTGTGATTTTCATCCTCAAATCGTCATCTTCTTTCACTTTATCTTCATCTTTTCCCTTCTTTCTGTTTTCATTCATCTTCTATTCACATTTAGATGTTTCGAAAGATTTCCGGTTCAAAATGTTTCTCCTTCTCTCCTCTAATCTGGTAGACGTTCAATTCATTCCTTTACCTTGAACATGATATTAAATAACAAATGGAAAATTGTTCATTTTTCTTTGCTTTCTTCACCATCCTTTACGGTCCAATGATCCATGGTTAACCATATTGTAACGAGTCCAGTGTTAGCTTAGTAAACTGGATTTTTGTAGTAGGCGCATTAATAGTTGATGATATTGTTGCTCTTTCCAGTTTCTTGGTGTTGCGGGTTAATTACAGAGATGATAATGTTCATGAACATTTTAAAGACACATTGTTTTGACTCATAATCTTGCTCTTCTTCTCCCTCTTACCTCGTCATCATAATCTCAGAACCTCCTACGCATAATATCGACCTTTACCATTTCCTTTTCCTTTTTTTATCTCTTCTTCTTTGGTTCTCTTCAACTCTCTATTTCTTACTCCCCTCTCTTTCTCTCTCGACCTTCTCCATGATTTATTCATTTTTGTAACATGATGATAATTGATGAGGAGTCCGAAAATGGGAACAAAATGGCAACTGATGCCTTCCGTGAGTAATTAATGAATATCAAATATCTTACAGTTTACCATACTAAGGCACACAAAATGTACAATCCAATTAGACCATAGACAGTAATCACATTTAAATTGACAATTTAACGTTTGCACAACTGATAAGTCAAATAAAACAATTATAAAAACACAACAGGTAATAGATTAATCAAAAATAATAAGAGGCATAAGTCCACAATCAAAATTAACCGCGAATATAACAAAGACAAAACATATTTTGATCTTAAAAGATATCAGTTCAAATCGTTACTTAAAAGTAGATACAAGATGATCCAGGATCTTAATCTTTGATTAGATAATTGTCGATCCATTAATACATATGATTGATACAGTTTATTTGTTTTACTTAGAATACAATTATTTAATTATGATTGTTATTTGGCAATTCAATTGATTGCTTTAATTTCAATTGATTAGTAACCACTGAGGATGGCCTTTGCTGCCGAATCAAATCAACGATGAACAATGCCAATCCATTTAAACCGTCCGTTCATCAAGTAAATAACAAAGTAACTGAACTGGTTGGCCTTAAACGAAGAGTTGGCTTACTTTCGGGTACAGCTTTAATTGTTGGTACTATGATAGGTAAGTCAATCTGAGTTAATCAATTTCAACTTAATTTAATCATCAATTCAACTTTTCAATTGAATTAGTATCTTAACAAATATCCCAACTCTTACCAGAAATGTAACAAAGCTGGTAACATCAAGTTCAAACATTGATCCATTCCAAAAGACAAAAATACATCTCTCCCTGTAATTCAATTTAGTTAACTAATCTTAGACAACTCACAACCAGACAATAAGTTTAAATTAACTCAATAACACAATCAAACTCTGCCAGTAAATTAATTGTAAATTTGTGTACAATGTAACATTTAGGTTCATTTTATACCCATGTTAAGTTGTTTAATCAAATTATGCTTTCATGTTTTCAGCTTTTCAGTTTCAATCTTCACCCTGTACTGTCTATCAATGTTGATAGTGAATGATTACAATTAGTTGAAAAAATCAATTCAAGCTCCAAAACATCTACATTTGATTCGCAGTCATAAACCACTTATTGATGTCATTTATTGATACAACATATTCATAAAAATTATTGATTATTATTTCAATATCCTTACTCCTTTGTTTCATTGATTATCATGTAAATAGCGTTATAAAAGGTTAATTATTCATTTGTTGACTCTTTTTTTCGGTTAACCATAATTTTGTCTTTGTTTTGTTTCTTTGAGATTGATTAAGTTGGCAATTTACCAAAGCAGCTTTAATAAACCGTTAACAATCACTATTAATTTGATACAATTAACAATTCTTACGGTTAGTTTACCTTCTAACTAATATCTAACTCATTCGTTAAATTTTTAAAACCAAAAGTCAAGTGAAAACCCGATTTACCCAAAAAACAAGACAAATGTTTACCAAAACAAACATTTCATTTCAAATGGACTTACCTTTTACCTTTTCAACTTTTATTTTAAAATCAATCTTTGCTTCAATATTTTCAGGTTCAGGTATTTTTGTGTCACCCAAAGGAGTCCTCCAAAGATCTGGTTCAATAGGATTAAGTTTAATTGTCTGGACAAGTTGTGGGTTAGTTTCGTTGCTTGGTGAGTTATTAACTCCTTTTTTTGATTCACTATCCATATCTATTAATGTCAGACTCACAATGCATGTATAACATGTAATATAAGGTTGAAATATTGTTTCCAGCCAGAATCGATTAACCTAAACTATCCATTAAGAAGTTTACCTTTAAAAGGTGAAAATGCTGTCTCCATGTCTTGTATTTTATATGATATTTCATCTAATATTTACCTTTCATTCATTAAACCAGAAACATGAATTTAGATATGAATTGTTACAATAAAAATCCACTTGACAAGACTCATGGATTCACAGGTTATCCAATTACAAAAGTGATTATTCAAATAACCAGAAAAAGCAATCATGTAAAGACAGAGGTTGAACTATTTAAGGAATCCAATCAGCTTTGAAAGAAACGCAATTAACTGATTGTTAATCAACCCATGTCAATCTGATGTCAAATCTAGGAAACCAGTTTTCGTTGTTATTAACCCAAAAGATTTTCTAATGGTTTTATGTTTTCATGTAACAATCAAATGGCTGGCAGTTTAGCTGATCTCAATTTTAACTGATATCATGATGTTATAATGATAATACATGATGTTGAAGTTTTTCCCTCTTCTCTTTTTTCTGGTGTAAATACTCAAAGCTGGTTATTTAGGTTTTTTTAATGGTTTGTAATTTCCTTTTCTGGTTTCTTTTCACCTTTCACTTAACCAGGAGCTCTGTGTTATGCTGAACTTGGAACTTTAATTACTAAATCAGGAGCTGAATATTCATACATTTTGGAGGCATTCGGTGGTCTTCCAGCATTTCTTTTCTCATGGGTTTCTGTATTCATTTTAAAGCCGGCCATGTTGGCCATAATTTGTCTAACCCTAAGTGAATACGTTGTCTCACCGTTTTACTTAGGCTGTGAACCTGAACCTTTTATAATTAAATTAATCACAATTTTGGCCATTGGTAAGTTAAACAATGTTGTTAACAACTTGACACATTCATTTGAAAATCTAATCCTCACCTGAAATCATGTACATTTATTTACATAATAAACTGTGTATTTTAATTAGTTACCTTTTTGATTATCCAAGAATAGAATCGACATTTTTTGCTCAGTTTCAACTTCGCACAGTATTTATAAAGCTATTTTTACATCAATTGCCAATGTTAACATTTCTGGTTTCACTTGTTATTGATTGAATTGTTTGCAGTTTTATTTTGGCTTTCAAGTTTACCTAATTGTGTCTTGATAGATTACAACTGTCACGATCGATTCATTATTTGTTGAACATTGTATCAAATACATTTGTATCGTCCAAATTGCTTTTATCATTTTATCATTTCTAAATTTGTGATTACTCTTCAATATTATTACATTTACTCAGTTGATTCAATCAGCTTCAACCAGTTAATTATTATTTAAATATCTTAGCAATGACAAACTTCATGTGAGTGTAAACAATATTTATATTGAATTCATTTTATTAGTTAAAGTAATCATCAGAAAATATCGATAAAATGAAAGATTTCATGTTTAATGGTCATTCCATTAAGAATCTAACTGAAACCAACTGTAAAATTGTTTCCATGGATTTAGACTTTTGGGTTGAGAATTGATGTAATCGTGATAATAAGACAGAAATGCTTCATGTATTTACATTCATATTTACATTTATATTTACATTTATCTGTTCATGTTGAAATTTTCAGCAGCTAAAATGAATCGAGTTAAATATTGAGCAAAATATTCATAGAAACCAGATTAATGTATTTTAACTCATCTTCAAGTTAATATCTTTTTCTCTATCTCAATCCATTTTCATTCATCCCATGAGCTTATTTTATAAGATCTTTCAGAGTATCTGACATTAATGTAATCGTTGTTGATTTTGATCATCATCTTGCATAGGAAATATGATAAACTGTGGTGATGGTTAACATTAACTTCTATGTAATTACTCTTTTCACTTAAACAATCATCCCTCAACAAAAGCCGTTAGTCTAATCACTTTTTCCCTTTCAACTATTGTTAAGCAAGTGCCTTCTTCTGTATAACTCGCATCTTTTACTTCACTTATTTTGTGTGCTTTTCAATCATACTTGATTGACCTTTTATAAAATAAATCAAATTTCAGTCTCAACAATTATCTAGTCAATTCTTATCCTTTTCATCTTTATCTGATTGTAAATCTTTCTCTGGTTCAATAACTCTTTTCCGATAACTCAACTTTGACTGTCATCATCTGTGCTCAGCTGTTTATTATTAATAATTGATTTCCTAGCCTTTCTTTGGCTATCTCTTTACAGCTTTAACCATAGTTGTTTACCAAGTTTAGTTGTTTATTAGTTTCTGATTATGTGCAAATTTGGATCAATCTGTTCGGTTTATTGATTGATTGACTCCTCAAGTTTTAAATTTATGTATATAAGATATGTGATTTAATAATATGGTGTAAGTAATAGCTTTTCTTCGATGTAATTTGTCAATTCTTACGCTCTTGTTAACATCAATGATTCATGTTAGATTAATTATTTTATTATTTTTTTTCCTTTCTTTGATTATGATCACTTATCCTTCTCTATTTTTCCTGACTTCCCATTTTCACAATAAATCCTCTCTTGTTTACAGTAACCATAACCTATCTCAATTGTCATAGTGTTTCTTTGGCAACTGGAACCCAGAATGTGTTCACCGCTGCCAAACTCATTGCAATAATCATCATTGTAATTGGAGGTTTGATTGTGATAATTAATGGAGAGACAAAATACATCTCTACTGGATTTGAAGGATCTCATTTTTCATTCTCAGATATCGCTACTGCTTTTTACAGTGGCCTTTGGGCCTATGATGGTTGGTAAGTTATCCAAAATGCATGTTGCTCTGTTTCTCAGATAACTAATTGTATTTCATCCTTAATTTATTTCCAGGAACAATCTCAACTATATTACAGAAGAACTTATTAATCCATACAGGTGTGTAAAAATTATATCAAATGATTAAAGTCTAACAGATTGGCTTGCAAATCATTGGTAAATTGGTTTCGCCTACTTACCTTACGTTAACAACTTATTTACCCATTTATTACCAGAAATCTTCCATTAGCAATTATTTATGGTATTCCAATGGTAACCTTATGCTATGTTATGGTTAACGTTTCCTACATGACTGTTATGCCAACCAGCGAAATACTTTCGTCCAAAGCAGTTGCTGTTGTAAGTGAATTGAGATGAATAACCGTTTTTTTAGAGAATGAAGACAACAAAGGTTTCTTTGTTTCACCAAATTACTTTAACATTTAATTGGTGTCATGTCATTTATATTTTATGACTTTCTAATTGCAGAATTGGGGTGCACGAGTTCTTGGCTCAGCCTCCGTTATCATGCCGATTGCCGTTGCTGTTTCATCTTTTGGTGCTGGAAATGGATCATGTTTTACCAGTGGAAGGTTCCTATTTTTGTTGATTATTTACATAAGTTTTATTTTTCAATTACGATTGGTTTCTAAAAATTGTTTCAAATCATTCTTAGGTTATCCTTTGCTGCTGCCAGAGAAGGTCATCTTGTTGACGTTTTGTCTTTCGTTGATTTTCATCGATTTACTCCTTCGCCTGCTTTGATTTTCAATGTAAGCAAGATGTGAACTCTTTAAATCTGTTGCCATAAATTAACTTTATTTTTTGTTTTTCTTGCATTTTTACAGGCAGTACTTGCCATTTGCTATGTTATACCAGGAAACATTGAAAGTTTAATAGACTTTTTCAGTTTTACAGCGTGGTTATTTTATGGTTTAACGATGCTATCTTTAGTTGTACTTCGTTATAAAAGTCCATATAAAGATTATAATCGGCCTTATAAGGTAACTTTTCACTAAATTATTCTAATTTTAAACTGTAAATTACCTTAACTTATGTTTTCTTTTCTTCATTTTCATTATCAGGTTCATTTAAGTATACCTATCGGAGTCTCATTTATATCTTTCTACCTCGTGATTGCTCCAATTCTTGAAAATCCTCAAATTGAATATCTTTACGCGAGTTTGTATATAGTTGGTGGAGCTTTTGTTTACATACCATTTGTTTATTATAAGATTCGCTTCAAAATGATTGGTAAATCCTTTTTAAATTTAAATATTTCTAATCAATTGTTCTTTAACGATCAGAAATTAATGAAATTATTCTTTTCTTCCATCGCAGATCATATCACAATTTTTTGCCAAAAGCTGCTACACGTTGTTCCTAGTGACGAAGAACCTTTATTATGATTCGATTGTTTTATCTTGCAGTAAAAAAAGTAAAGATTATCCATGAAAGTTGGAACATTTTATGACTAAAATTTCGTAGATCTTTCAAAAAAATCGTCAAAAATAGCAAGCTTGCGATTAAAACGAAAGAAACCAAAAAAACAGCAAAATCAATCAATGATCATAATGATTAAAAAACAATATTAAAATGACAATAATAAGAAACAATCCAGACCAAAGGTGAACTTGTACTTGGCAATGAAAAATAATTTGAATTTAACACAAACTATGACAATAAAATGAATCTCAATATATCCTTTATTTGAAATTGAATTTATTTGTTAACAATTGTTTATATAAATGTCTTGTCTTGAGATTTTCCATTGAAAAGGATTATCTGTTGATAGCAGTGAATGTATAATAAAAACGATGCGCTTTCATCTGGAAAATCGCATGGAAAATTCAAATCCATGATCAGAATAACAATGATATTGAATTACAATTTAATTTATAGTAATATATCTTACATTTCTGTTCGTCTAAAAGGATGGCAATTTGATGGCCTCAATCGTGTCAAGATAATTTTGTCAAAGAAACAAACAAGTGAGTAAAACTATGAATAACCAAATGATTTGAAAAGGCTTTCATTGTTGGCTAAATTGAGATAGAAGTCTGAACAATCAAGTTGACCTCCTTGTCCGCCAAGTGAATCAGGTAATGATTTGTAATCTTGAACGAAACCTTCAAGGTGTTTATAATCAGCTCCATGAAATGTAACTCTTGATCTCAGATGTTCGCTGAGGAAAGGTTTTATCACAGTCCAAGCCAATTCAGCAAATTTAGATTGATTGAAAATGGTAATGGCATTAACTCTAAGTGGAATTATTTTCTCCATGATATTGGCCAGTTTTTTAGCTTGGAACGGAGTAAAGTGTTTCAATTGTTTCCAGCCAAACGATTCCATATCTGATATCATTATAAGGCCACATTTTTGACTCTCTGGACTCAATGCCGCCATTTCCAGACTAATCAAGGCGGCTGATAGAATTGAATCAAAATTAAATAAACTTGGATTCCAAGCGCCAGGTCTGAACAGAATCAATGCTTCTCCAGAATTTGATCGTGTATTCAATATTTTCATCAAATTTGTATCAAAAATTTGTTTAATACGAGATGGTAAACTAAACATATTTGGATTCCCAGCTTTATAATCAAGATAACACTTCATTAAAACAACTGTTTTCTCAACATCAAGTAAGCGAGCTTGAAGAAACTTGATTAAATATTCTGGATCATCTACGATTGGACTTATTCCTTCCTCGGCGAATCGAGACTTTAATTGTTCCAATTTCTCTGTGTAATTATCCGCCATCTTCAATTCTGTTTGTCTAATAAAATAAAAAATAAATCATATTTTTGAAGACAAATGAAAAATGTAAACTTACCTATTGAATTATTTTTGTTGGTTGTTTATTTTTTTATGGCAAAGGGTTGAAAGACTAAAACTGCAACACTGAACAGCAATGATTAAATTGAAAATCAGACGAGATGAGTTGGCGTTAAATGATGATTTAAACAAATTGGAGACGAATTAATGGGTATCCTTTTTTTGACAAATTTCACTTGATAACACGATGTCTGGTTGGTTTCGTTGAGTGGTTATTGGGTGTAAAATGAGTTCGATAAAGATAAACGATGACGATCATTCAGCAGAAAACTTGAACTACTTGAATGGCTCATCGAAATTATAACAGGCAGTTGAATAATTGATCAAGTAATCTTACTAATTTAGAATGGTACTTCACCGATAGATAGGATTTATAACAACAACATTTTTGATAAAATGAAATATTTACCATGACTATGGAGATAGAGAAATGAAAAACAACAATTGATATTAAATCAGCTGATAAATTGAGCGAGTAAATTCATTTTGATAAATTGCTTCGACTCATAAATAAACGTAATTCGTTTAATTTTAGTTTGAAAATTGAATTTTTCACCACTACTTTAAGCCCATAAAGACTATCTCCATTGGTATCGACACTTCACTATGAAAGGATTGTTGCCCTTCATCATTCAATGTTTCATTCATTGTAAATGATAAACAATACAGATAAATTTATACAGAAACCTAAACCTAAATAAAACATTCAGTAAATTAACATCCATAGATAAATAAAGCAGGTTAATTGATTGAAAACTGTTTCACAGAAAAAAAAACAATGAAAAAGTTAATTTCATTTTGTTGTGATAACAAACACTTGATTAAACCAAGAGATGGCAGTAAAGGTTTATTATATTTTCAATGTGATATAATTTTTACCTTACAATTTGCAGTAAATCATTATTGATTGTTGATTCAACTTGTACCATCTGTATCAAATAATCAATAGAAACCAATAAAATAAATAATATACAAAACTTGTGAAAGTTAAGCTACAGACAAACCTCTTCGCGTTAACGTCTACTTACGTAAGTAAATTAAATCCAGCAACAGTTTAGCATGTTAATTGCAATATTTAATTGTAGTGATTGAGAGATTTTTAAACATCTCTAAAAATAAAATGCTTGTAACTGAATTTGCTACATAAGTTATTCTCGGTCGAAATGAAAAACTTGATTCTCATCAGAATAATATATCCTTGGTACTAACTCGGTTATCACGTTACAATGTATAATCAGTATTTTCCCCTTGACTTTGATTAACTTCTTGGTGCTACTGCTAAAATTTAGTTTCGAGGCAACAATTTGCGTATGCATGCTAAATTGAAAGAGCTAATTGGGATAAAATTCAATTAACATACACTTATATCAATATGAGCTTAGAAACTATCAATACATCGTAATCTAATAAACACATGATTAAACCAAAAGATGGCAGTGAGCTTTCATTTCTTTAATTTGGATCTTTACCTCTATCTTTAGTTAAACAATTGTCGATTCAACTGAGTCCATTTTTTATCAAATTATCGATGCATTAATAATTATCAAACTTGAAATCAGTTGTTCAAACATGGTTCATTCGTTAAAAAGACAATTGAGTTGTTTAAAGATATCCTCAAAATCGCAAACACGAATGCACAACTTGAGTTTGTCTTCTGCGTTGAAAAAAATATTCAACAAAACTTTAGATCAATTCACAGGCGGGCAAACCTTTGTCAGGTTTTGAAACCCAAATTATTTATAGATGAATCATTGAGAAAATATACATTTACAAAACTGATGATTAGAAATGTATCAATAGAAGAGCCAGGGCTCTTAGCAAAAAAACACAACTTATAGAATGAAATACTTTCTTGTATACAAGTAGATATTTGAAAAGGGTTACTGGTAAATAAATAGAATCAGATTATGTCAAATCAGCTGAATGTCATTCCACATGATCCACAACGTTTCCTGGCAGACATTAAACAACATAGTACACCAATTGGAAACCAACATAAAGCTAGAACCCAACAGAGGAAGGGAAAGTCCGTTAATAATGGTCCCTGAAAAAATAGAGTAAAATATAAATTAAAAATAAGCAGAAAGACAATGTAAAATTAGTAAATTTGTCACATGCAGCACGTGAAACTGTTTCAAAAGCAAGGACAATCATGAAGCGGATAATATCAGTAATATGACCATGAAAGTAGAGCAGCTTGATATAGCCATAATACAGTTAAAATATAGTCTTGGGAAACGAGTTTTACCCCATTTTGAATGTGAATTGCATAGTACCCAAATTATTAGACTTAAGAATGAATCAATACCAGACAACTCAGATTGGAGATGAATGGTAAATTGTGAAAGTTCTTAAGGTCCTTGTTTCTTCAGAGATTAAATGAGGTAGCACTCATTTACTAAGGCTCAATCTTTAATGATTTTAATACCTGGCAAATCGGACAGGCGTCATTCATTAAAATTGGAAGATTTAAATTAGGTTGATTAGTTGGGGGAACAACAGTCGTCGTAGTTGACCTCAAATAGTTGACAGATTGTCTTGGTAAAGCAGATAGTGGAACTGAGTTACCAGGAACTGGAGATGGAGATTCCATGTAAGGTGGTGGAGGGCCTGAGCTAATAGCTAAAAAAGAAAACAAAATTGAATAAATATCAGACAAACAAATGTGAAATAAAAAGTAAAACCAACCTTCTTGATAGCTTGGAGGAGGCTTATCATGTCCATAAAGATCATCATAACTAGGAGCACTTGATGAGCTTCCAGGGACTGTATGAGATGTATTCATAATCATACAATGACAATTAAAATAGAGCAATAAACAAATTGTTGAAGTAAGAGAGCCTCAATAGAATACTGGTTGGTAGGAGAATAATCATCAGGCAATAGGTAGATTGGTAGCGATTAACACTAAATGAGAAATAAACCAAGTATAGATGCAAGACGGAAATCACAGTTTGAGTATAAAGAAGGAACTCACAAGAAACAAAGTAAACAAGTGTTTGAAAATGTGATAATGATAGAATAGAATGCACTAAGCTTATGTTATCCTGGTTAACATATGTTTTTGTAATAGGTCAATTGTTGAAACTCGTCACAACACAAACTAACAGCAAAACTATACACAAATTGAGGAGTTGTTTATGCGAGTCACTTATCAGCTGAAGAAACTACAAACATTTTTTGCTTTCTAAACCACGAGCTGGAGCAAAGAGTAATAGCTGGAGTGAGAATAGCCTTTTCACTTCAACTCTAACTTATACACTATTCAGCTTTTGCTTTTTCGTAAACTTTATCAATGATTTTAAGAATATATCTTAGGAAATATTTAAGGTAATAGCTTGTTATAGCTTTTGATTAATTTAAAATGAACAATGTTTAATTCCCTTAATTTTGTCACGTGAATCAACGATTTCCTCTACTCATTTTTGAAAATAACACTTGGAATTTTGTTTTTCTTGCTTTCATCAATTCAATTCAATGTGAGTGAATATTTCACCTTAATCTTACACTAATTTTTATGGAAAATTGAATTTTTATTGTCTATGAATTATTAAAAGACGTGGATTAATTAGTTTAGTTATCACAATGGAATGACTCACCAATTTCATATGTCATTGAAACAAGTGTAAATATTGTAACTGAGCGACTCAAAGGAGCAAATAACAACAATTATCAGATTGATTGTGAATTCACAACAAAATGGAATGAATTTACCGTGACATTATTTTTTGCTGCTAGTTGTGTTAAATATTGAGTGTTATCAAATGAAAAACGAATCTATCCAGATAATGGACCGAATTAACACCTTTTATCTGCTTTAATCGTTCACATACATATCTATCAACCTAAATCAGTCAACTATGAAGTGAGATGAGGCTAATAGATCTAAGAGTATCACAAATAATCACGATAAAGATAAAAGTAAAGATTTGTGAACACGGAAATAGCAGCGACATAAAAGGCCAACATCGTTTTATCGAGGGAATCTGTATATTGTCTTTCATTCATTGATTGCCATAATACAGCTCTTTGCAGGTAGACAATTCAATCAATATTTGTAAAACTAAAATCGGGTAGCCTTTTTAATCGTATGCTGAATTTTTGAATTCTTAATGAAATATGTTTCACTGATTCAGCTGATATCTTAATTGTTGTAAAAAGGATACAAGATACAAGAATAACTGAAGATAAGCAAAACTTTCTCCAGGACAAACTCTTTTTCCGCTACTGAAGGCAATCAAATAAGGTGGTTTAATGGCTTTAGATTTATCTTCATTGAGGAACCGTTCAGGCTTGAATAGCTCAGGATTATCCCATAAATTTGGATCATAATGAAACAGAAGTTAAATATAACGAGACTGTCTTTAGGTATTGAATAGCCTCCAACTTTGGTGTCTTCAGTTGCTCTTCTCAATAGATTGAGTGGCACTATTGAAGAGTGTCGCAAAGCTACGTACATGTGGCTGAAGGCCATTGTAAGAGGCATGCGTTGTCGGTCGAAATTTTCAGTTGTCTACTTAATCCAATAGTCTGTTTATCCTCGGCCGTGAATCTGCATCCAGGATAGTGAGAGCTTTACGTGTCAAAAATACAAAATACAAAATACTGAAGGCTTGATTATTCATTGTTGTAAAGATCTAATGCCATAAAACAATGAACCTTCAACTTTAAATCAAAATAAAATGCTATTCCATTTGCCTTCAAAATAATCGAAATCGTTGACCATTCTTTCAGAAATCAAGAAAGACTACTTACAAAAGATCAAAACTATCATCAAACTCAATTAAAATCTAATCAAAAGAAATGAGAAAAACATCGATAAAAATCGTTGGCAAAATATCGATTATAATCGCAGGAATATTTATAAGTCCGTTCATTCAGATGATTCAAGGTTGTATTCAATGTTTTTACCAAATTGTATTTAACCACCTAGTGTTACTAGCCACTTACTTGAAACATTCATTTGTTTTACAATGTTTTTCATTGATTCATATGTTAATCCAACTTTACTTAAATTGTTTTTTGGATTAGTGATTCTACTCTTGGTTAATTATGCTATAAAATTTGTTATAAGAGTCCGTGCCTTACCTCCTGGGCCATGGGGGTTGCCGTTTGTTGGTTACTTACCCTTCATTAGACAAGATGCTTACAATCAGATGACCGAGTTGGCAGCAAAATATGGACCAGTTTTCAGTTTCAAGTGTGGTCAGTTTGACGTTGTTGTCATCAATCAATGGAAGTTTATTAAAGAAGCTTTGGCTAATGAACATTTGCTTGGTCGACCCAAAGGGACTGCCATACCTGGTGTCATTAAACATGCCTCATTAATCGAAATGACTGGCGAGCCTTGGAGGCAACAGAGACGAGTTGCTTTAACTACACTTCGAGATGTTGGTTTGGGAAAGAGTGAAATGGAAGATTCGATTAGAGACGAAATTAAATCATTTATTGAATTAATTAAATCTTTTAAAGGTAAACCCATATCAATATCTGATAAACTATCCTTAAGCATATCAAACAATATATCGACACTTCTATTTGGACATACACACGCTTACGATGATCCTGTTGCTCTGGATATGGACCATGTACTCTTCAAAGCGAATGACGTGGTCCGGTATTTCAATGTTGTGAGATTCCTGCCCAACATCGCAAGTATGATCATCAAATTAAAGCTTTTTAATATGGCAGAAAATTTTCACTTTTCAAAAAATTTGAATCTCATATCAATGATGAGGTTGATGAACACCGAAAAAAAGATGATAATGTAACAAAAGATTACATCGATGGATTCCTCAATGAAATGGCCAAAAGACAAAATGAAAAAGATTCAACTTTTAATTTAGATACTTTACCTCGAAATGCAGCTTTGTTTTACATTGCTGGTTCGGACACCATTTCAAATACACTCAAATGGAGCATGATATATCTAGTTAAATACCCTGAATACCAGATTAAGATACGAGATGAAATTAAACAGACTATTGGATTGAATAGACAACCAGAAAATGTCGATCGACAACAAATGCCTTTTACAATGGCTTTCATCTACGAAACCTTGCGATTCTCTTCAATAGTGGCACTCAATTTGTTGAGAAGAGCAACTGAAGACACTAAAGTTGGAGGCTATTCAATACCTAAAGACAGTCTTGTTATATTTAACTTCTGGTCAGTCCATCATGATCCAAATTTATGGGATAATCCTGAACAATTCAAGCCTGAACGGTTCCTCAATGAAGATAAATCTAAAGCTATTAAACCTCCTTATTTGGTTTCATTCAGTGGCGGAAAAAGAGTTTGTCCTGGAGAAAGTCTTGCTTATCTTCAAATATTCTTGTATCTTGTTTCCTTCTTACAACAATTTGAGATCTCAGCTGAATCAGGGAAAGATATTTCAGCAGAAAGAGCATTTTATTTGCTTTTAAGACAAAAAATTCAACCCAAATTGATATTCAAAAGTATTGACTAAATTGTTTATCTAAAAAGGATAATGATGTTTCATGCCGATGCTTTGTATGTTTGTAAATCTTTATTCTTATCCTTATCATTCCCGTAAGCAAAATTGTTTTGAATTTAATTAAACTTTTCAAAAGCCTGGTCTCATCCACAATTCATTACTTTATATTTCACCATAAACTATTCACATTGACTATCACTATCCACAACCATTCACATTCTTCGTATTTTTTCACTGTTATCTAATGCACCAAATCAATCGAAAAACAAATCAAAACTCGATCAGATTTTGATTGAGTTTACTGAAAGTTTGCGTCTTTTTGGGTTGCTGCTTTGCTGAGTAAGAAAATTGCTCAAAGTCATTTAGTGTATCATTTATCAATGTAATCACATAACATTAAAATTATATTGGAATAAAAATTCTAATTATTAAAGGTGAGTTTATCAATCAACTGAATTACGTCAAGAAAAATAATTTTCAGCAACTTTCTCCCTTTCGTTTCTTGTTATGTTCATTAAAGATGATTCAAGCCTAAAATTTGAAGGATGCATAGGTTGCTGAGTTAGAAGCCAATACAGCCTCGAGGAAAACATGCTAAACAAATGAGCCTTTCATGTAAATGGCTAGTAAATACAATTTCATAAAAATAATTGAATAAATTAATGATCTGAATGGAAGGACTTACACATATACATGTAAATAGTATTTCTGCGATTAATTCAAATTGGCGATTATAATCGATACTTTTCAACGATTTTATGGACATTTCTCTTGAGTAAATCGATTTGTAATTGAATTTTTCCTTTTGAAATGTCTGGCCAATTGTTATCAATGAAATTATATTACAATTATTCCAACGAGTATAGAAGAGACTTAACAGTAATTTTTATATTGACAAAGTTCATCTTTACAATTTAGCTTACTTTGCTAATCTAAAAAAATTGTTGATTTAATCCAATTTGAATAACAATACAAAGCTTATGTGAAAACTAATGATGGAAAATCATGAAAATCAATTTTACACGTATCTTGAAAAGTATCTTGAAAATTTAGACGTTTTTTGCTTTCTGTTTGCTTTCCTCAATTCAGATTTACTGTTAATCCACATTATTTTTTGCTGCTAGTTGTGTTAAATATTGAGTTTTATCAAATGGAAAACGAATCTATCCAGATAAAGGACCGAATTAACGCCTTTATTCGCTTAAATCGTTCACGCACATATCTATCAACCTAAATCAGTCAACTATGAAGTATGATGAGACTGATAAAGCTAAGAGTATCACAAATGGTTACGATAAGATTGACTTATCAAGGGAATTATTGTTGACCATAATAGGGCTCTTTGCAGGTGAGCATTTCAATCAATATTTGTAAAAATAAAATCGGGTAAAATTTTTGGCCGTATGCTGAATTTTTGAACTCTTTCTAATGAAATATCTTTGCCTGATTCAACTGAGATTTCAAATTGTTGTAAAATTGAAACAAGATACAAGAATATTTGAAGATAAGCAAAACTCTCTCCAGGACAAACTCTTTTTCCACCACTGAAGGCAACCAAATAAGGTGGTTTGATGGCTTTAGATTTATCTTCGTCAAGAAACCGTTCAGGCTTGAATAACTCAGGATTATCCCATAAATTTGGATCATGATGGACTGACCAAAAGTTAAATATAACAAAACTATCTTTAGGTATTGAATAGCCCCCAACTTTGGTATCTTCAAGTGCTCTTCTTGCTAGATTGAGTGCAATTATTGAAGAGTGTCGCAAAGCTTCGTAAATGAATGCCATTGTAAAAGGCATTTGTTGTCGATCGATATTTTCTGGTTGTCTATTCAAGCCAATAGTTTGTTTAATTTCATCTCGTATCTTATTCTGGTATTCAGGATATTTAACCAGATACATGATGATCCATTGAAGTGTAGTCGTTATTGTGTCCGATCCAGCTGCGTAAAACATTGATGCATTTCGTTGTAAAGTATTTACATTGAAAGTTGAATCCTTTTCGTTTTGTCTTTTGGACATTTCATGGAGGAATCCATCGATGTAATCTTTTATTCCATTATCATCAATATCTTTTTTTCTGTGTTCAATAACCTCATCATTAATATGAGATTCGAATTTTCTGAATAGATCTCCAAATTTCGATAAGCCAAAAAGGTTTAATCTAAGGATCAAGCTCGCGACTGATGGCATAAATATTGCAACGTTAAAATATCGAAGCATACCATTGGCTTGGACCAGCATATTTTCCATATCCAGAGCAACAGGATCATCATAAGCGTATGTGTGTCCAAATACCAGCGTTGATATATTGTTTGATATACTTAAAGATAGTTTATTAGATATTGATATTGGTTTGCCTTCAAAAGATTTGATTCTTTCAGTAAATGAATCAATCTCGTCTCGTACCGAATCTTCCATTTTACTCTTTCCCAAACCAACATCTCGAAGTGTAGTTAAAGCAACTCGTCTCTGTTCCTTCCACCGTTCACCAGACATTTCGACGAATGAAAAATGTTCAATTACACCTGGTAAAATAGTCTCTTTAGGTCGACCAAGCAAGTGTTCATTCGCCAAAGCTTCTTTAATACACTTCCATTGATTGATGACAACAACATCAAACTGACCACACTTTAAACTGAAAACTGGTCCATATTTTGCAGCCAACTCGGTCATATGGTTACACTCATCTTGTCTAATGAAGGGTAAGTAACCAACAATTGGTAGTCCCCATGGTCCAGGAGGTAAGGCACGGACTCTCCTAACAAATTTGATGACATAATGTACCACGAATAGAGTCACTAATCCATAAAAAAAATTAAGCAAAGTTGGATCGACATAAGAATCAATGAAAAACATTGTAAAGCAATGAGTGTTTCAAGTAAGTGGCTAGTAAATATTATTTGATAAAACCCTATGCAGCCTTGAATAAACTGTAATGAACAGACTTTAAACCAGGGAAGAAAGCTGATGATGGTGGATTCAAATTTATTTGTCCTTGATTAAGTAATACATGTGAGTGATACACTCACCGCTAATGATTAGAATTGTTATTCAAATAACGCTTTTACATTATTCTCATTGAATTATATTTATATATGAAACACTAAGTGAACTTGAGCTATTATCTATTATCTAATACCTCAACATAGCAACAACACTATTGAAAAAGATTCAAACTATCAGTAAACTCAATCAATTGACTTCAATTGAACTGAATTTTTTCTTACAAGCTGTAATAACATGACCAAGCTAATCAAAAATAATTTGCTCTTAAGCTTTCATCACACTTTTATGATATCGCTCTAGATTTCAAGCCAGCGATGAATTGTTAGACAGATCAGTATAATCTAAAATTATCGATCGCTATTACATCGTATGTTACGTGATTCCCAAAAATGGTAAAATTTACTTAAAATGAATTCCACAGGCGAAATTATAAAGAAACTATTTGTCGAGTGATTTGGTGGATGCAGATAACACTGAGAAAATACGAGATAGAAGAAGACAATTAAATCATTTTCCATAAAAAGTAAGCTTATGTAAGAAAGTGAATGAGCAGGAACGAACCAGGAAAAAGTATTGAACAGAACTGTAAGAATCTATTAATTTGTACACTAATCCTGAAAAATTTGCTATTTCTAGCGTCGTTAATCAGCTTTTTTGCTTAAAAGCTTAAGAGATTGGTGAGACAGGAATATACCAGACATGACCGTTAAAAAAGTTATTAATACAATGAATTGAATTTTACAAAAGATGAATTTGCTAAAAAGTGAAGACATAGCAGAAAATTACATCGATATGATATATTTTCGAGGTTGTCAATATCAAAGTTGAGGTTCGATGTTGTATGGCTATGAACATCAGTTTTCCTTTACGAAATATCTGGAGCAAGTTCAACCAAACTGCCCATGAAAATTGCAATTTTATTAAAGATCTTCTGGGAGCAACGTTTCCACACAGCTTGGTGTCTTAGGACTTTCCTTTGATGTTATGGAAAAACTTCTCTGAATTAACATGATAAAGATAGAGTAATGATTTCTGGATACGGCCATTGTATTAGCATCAAGATCTTAAAGAGGGAATCTGTGTATTGCTTTATATCCATTGTTTAACAAAATTGACGTAAACAATTTAATCGACACTTTTGAATATCAAGTTGGGTAGACTTTTTTGTCTCACAAGGAAATAATAAGCTCTTTCTAATGAAATATCTTTCCCTGATTCAGCTGAGATCTCAAATTGTTGCAAAAAGGACACAAGATACAAGAATAACTGAAGATAAGCGAAACTTTCTCCAGGACAAACTCTTCTCCCGCCACTGAATGCCACCAAATAAGGTGGTTTGATGGCTTTAGATTTATCTTCGTTGAGGAACCGTTCAGGCTTAAATAACTCAGGATTATCCCATAAATTTGGATCGTGATGGACTGACCAGAAGTTGAATACGACAAGACTGTCTTTAGGTATTGAATAGCCTCCAACTTTGGTGTCTTCAGTTGCTCTTCTTAATAAATTAAGAGGAACTATTGAGGAGAATCGCAAGCTTTCGTAAATAAAGGCCATTGTAAAAGGCATTTGTTGTCGATCTACATTTTCTGGTTGTCTATTTAATCCAATGGTTTGTTTAATTTCATCTCGAATCTTAATCTGGTATTCAGGATACTTGACCAGATACAACATCATCCATTTGAGTGTATTTGAAATGGTGTCTGACCCAGCACCATAAAACAAAGCTGCATTTCGTTGCAAAGTATCTAAATTAAAAGATGAATCCTTTTCATTTTGTCTTTTGGACATTTCATTGAGGAATCCATCAATGTAATCTTTTATTGAATTATCATCGATATCTTTTTTTCGGTGCTCATCAACCTCATCAATAATATGAGACTCGAATTTTTTGAAAAGAGAAAAAGTCTCTGCCATATTAAAAAGCTTTAATTTGATTATCATACTTGCGATGGTGGGCAGAAATGTCACGACATTGAAATATCGAATCAACACATTTGATTTGACAAGAAGGTTTTCCATATCCAAAGCAACAGGATCATCGTAAGCGTATTTGTGTCCAAATACCAACTTTGATATATTGTTTGTTACACTCAAGAGATAGTTTATTAGATATTGATATGGGGTTTGCCTTTAAATGATTTGAGTACTTCGCTAAATGATTTAATTTCGTCTCTAATCGAATCTTCCATTTCACTCTTTCCGAAACCAACATCTCGAAGTGTTGTCAAAGCAATTCGTCGCTGTTGCTTCCAAGGTTCACCAGTCATTTCGGCAAATGAGTGATGGTCAATTACACCTGGTAAAATCGTCTCTTTTGGTCGACCAAGCAAGTGTTCATTCGTCAAAGCTTCCTTAATAAACTTCCATTGGTTGATAACAATCAGGTCAAATTTACCACACTTGAAACTGAAAACTGGTCCATATTTTGCAGCCAACTCGGTCATCTGGTTTTGAGAATCGTGTCTAAGGAAAGGTAAGTATCCAACAAAGGGCAGTCCCCATGGTCCAGGAGGCAGTTTACGGACTCGTTGCACAAATTTGATAACATGATTGACCAAGAATAGAGTCACTAATCCATAAAAAAATTTAACTAAAAAAATATTTACGTTAGAAACCGTGAAAAACATTTTTGCTTATGTGAGAGACAAACGCATCTCCAATGGTTAGAACTGCTTTTCATATCAAGTTTTTATTTGTTTCAATAAATACATCGTTATCATTGGCATGCTATTATGTCTTTACGCAATTATTTATCTCACAGTAAGATAGCAACAACACCATTGAAAAAGATTCAAAACAATCATTAAAACTCAATTAGAAACCTGATTCAAGGTATCATTTCAATAACAAACTAATCGATAAAATTCTGACAGTCAGCTTTTATCAAAACTTTCATGATACATGTATCGTTTTAGATTTTAAGTGCATCATAAATGAACTGGTTTTTGACAGTTTCCCCAAAAGCTCTGAAATATTTTATTTCAAAGCTTGCACTCATTTCCCTAATCTGTCATGTAATTGGCTGCTCAACTTATTGGACAGATTAATCTAAACTTATTAATTCTTAGGCTACATGATTCACAGAAATGTACTCGAGGTTCGAACTTGGTTGAAATTAAGAATTGAATCCAGGGGTAAAATTGTATTGAAATAATAAAGAATCGTTTCTTTGACCAAATGGACAAAGATAACAATGAAAAGATAGAAAGAAGATATTTGTGTTTCGTGAAAAAGTAGACTCATGTAAGAAGGAGAACTGAGGGTAAGTATTGAACTAATGAATGAAACCAATGTTCAACTTTAGTTCTGGCTATTTCAGTATTTCTGTGTTTTATTACATGAATTAAGCTAATAGTTGGTCCTTAACAACTTCATTTTAATAATATCAAGAGCTCACCTATCAGTTTTTGATTTCAATTAAATCATGTCTCCATTGAGTTACACATTCAATTTATTCAATTTTAATTTTAATCGAGCTTTTAGTGTCTCGAATTTTTTTAATGCACAACAAATGCATTAGAAATACATCTCTTAATCATTCAACTAATTTCCGTTCATTTCTTTGAAGTTATTCAATGAATTCGAATTCTGTAGCGCGTTGCTTTCGTTGTTATGGTGATGCGCAAGATAAGGGGAAAAATTGTTTTTTTAGTTATGCAGAAGTCAGTGGTTTTCCCCAGTAATACATGTATGCAGTTGGCTCATCTGATCTGGTCCTTACTCTTTGCCTATTTGAGTGTACAAATTTTTAAAAACACTTGAACCATCTATACGTTTAACCATGGTCTCAATTATTTATTTTGATTACTTTTGTACACCTTTAAACTCTCTTATGCTCGCAATCCATCCTTAAAAGTACAATGATAATTTCACAGTGTCAGTGATCTCATTTTATTAGTTGCTTAACCACGTTAATCAAGCTTTTTATTGGTAGACTCAACAATCATTTTTTTGTATTTTTGTTTCTTTGTTTCTTTTTCTAACACCTTGTTGGTTCAAAAAATATTTGAAAATTTTGCTCCGCCAGGTTTCTTTGGTGTCTTTAATCTGTACATTATTACGCCAACTGCAAGATTATTCCTTCAATCTGCACAGCGACCTCATAATTTACTCACTTAGTTAATCTGTTCTTTTGTACTTCTCAACTAATGATGTCTTCGGTAGGCTTAATGAGTACGATGTCTGGAGCAAGCTCAACCAAACTACCCATGGTAATTAATGCACCACCCGGAGGAGAATATGCTTTCCTTAGCACTGTTATCAGTGATTTTGGGAGCAACGTTTCTACACAGCTTGGTGTCTCGGCACTTGCGTTTGATAATATGGAAGAACTTCTCTGGATGGGAAACACTGGAAGTCATGTTACCTCTTATTATGGCTATACATTGCAAAAATATACCTCATTCCAAGTTCACAGTGTTAACGACATCAGATCCTTACTGACAGCAGACTTTGGTCTTCTTTCATTAACCCAAAATACACTTCGATTGAATATAAGACGTGGTTTGACATTATTTACTCATAGTTCTGAATTATTGAAGGATATGCAAGCCATGACCATTCTTCCTTCTGGTTTGGTTCTCATTGGCGGGCAGCAGAAACAATTAATCGAATTCGACTTGGAAAGAATCAAGCAAGTTAGAATCACAGACATAGAAGAAGATGGCTGTGTTATTATCAGAAAACATCCAAAATTTGTATGTTGTGGAGACATTGCGGGCAAGGTTTGTGACATCCACTCCGTTCTTTACGCATTATGTATTATATGTATATGTTTTTTGTTTAGATCACTCTGCGAGATCCGAACAGTCTTAAAATTGCACATAGCTTTTCCACACACTCTGTAACTCTTTCTGATTTCGATGTCCATGGAAATTATCTGGTCAGCTGTGGTTACTCTAATAGGTAAAATTTAAATCATTTTAAACGAAAATTTAAATTAATTTTCACCTAATTTCATCCAATCTAGACATCTTTATGTACCTGACAGATTCTTGATGGTTTACGATTTGCGAATGATGAGAGCTATCATGCCTATCCAAATGGTCTTTTCACCTTACCTCCTTCGTTTTGTACCCGCATTTTCATCAAGATTTTGTGTAGTTTCTCAAACTGGACAGTTTCAATTATTGGATGCTTCAGCCTCACTTCAAACACCTTTCATCCAAAATGTTGACTTGGCAACTGGTACTTCAATAACTTCCTTCGATATTTCCAATTCAGGACAAGCATTAGCCTTTGCAGATGATGCTGGCATAATATACCTTTATGGCGCTAGTGATGAGGTTGTTTTCAATAATTTCAGTCAACCCACAGAATTTGCTGATCCCGTGAGTACCAAAAATAATAGATTACTTATTTGGTTAACGTTTGCTAACATCGTTCTTATTGGACTATTCAATATGACTCTGTTTACATCTAGGTTGATCCTGCTCGACCATTATCTTTCAATGACATTATAACTCCTTACTCGATTAATCCAATGCCAGCTTACCGAGATGATAAACTTTTAGCTGACATACCTGCTGAATTATGTAAAAAAGCATACCGATTACCTAAGCCTATTGATCCAGCCATTTTATCTAATATGAGAATGGTTGGAAATATTTGTTATGCTCCAAACCCAGGAGCCAAAGGTCGCAATCAAATGCCTTATGCCAGCCCAGAGAACACCAAAGGAAGTAAAAACAAATCTAGTAAGTTTTTCATTTCAACTCAATTCGATAATCTGTTTTCAATACTAAGTTCTCATTTATCTATCTTCTATTTAACTATGCTCACTAAAGACACATCGTCTTCTGAAATACCAAGTCGGTATCTGACAATTGAACCAAACTATAACAAGGTATCTTTAGACGAATATGACTTTGGACGGCACAATCACTCTCCATTTGCAAGTTTAGATTCAACATTACCCAACTCATACGCTAATAATTTAATCCAGGTAATATTCACCTTTTCAATATTCCATGAATTTAGATTATACTAAACTTTCATTCTTTCATTTAGACGCTCTATTATATCCTACCTCTCCGAGCTACAGTTCTTAATCATCTCTGTAGAAGAGAATTTTGCCTTACTTGTGAACTTGCCTTTCTTTTCCATATGATTGACGAAAGTAGCTTTCAAAACCCTTGTCAAGTAAGTTATTTTATCATCAAATATTGTTTAATTTTATTAATCACTCCAATGCTCTTTCAACAGGCAACTAACTTCCTCCGTGCATTTCGTCAGATGCCTAAAGCATCTGCTTTGACTCTCGTTTTACCTGAAGATGACGATTTGCGAAGGAAAGTCAACTTTCCCAGCTTGGCACAAAGTTGGTGGCGATTTATCCTTCACCAACTGCATTCTGTAAGCTTTTTCGATCATTCAGAATTATTATTTTACTTATTTCCCCCTTTTCTTTTTTATTCAGGAACTTTCTTCTCCTGACGCAACTACTTACAACAAAGAGTCCCCATCAACATCAATCATCACAGAATTATTCGGAATCCACGAAAAATCCTCTTATACTTGTAAATGTGGTCATGCCTGGGAGGAAGAAAAAATGAAATATCCGACAACATTGTTGCATCCTGACAATTCAAAATACAACAATTTCAATAAAGAAGACAAAGCACCAACCAACAATGAACTACAAAATGAGAATTATCCATTTCAAGAGCTGCTCAAGAAAAGTCTCAACATGGAACAGAATATGTCTGCATACTGTGATAAATGCAATAAGTTTCAATATGTGGTAAGTTACACACATTCCTCGACCCTTAATCATCATATTTACCTTATTCTACTTCTTCCTTTTTCATCAGGCCCAAAAGAGGCAAATTGAATCTCTGCCTGACATTTTATCGATCAATTCAGCTCTTGATCAAGAGAAAGGACTCAAATTCTGGAAAGCACAAGTCGCCATTCTTGGTGGCAATAATGGACCCAATAAACTTTTAGATTTAGCTCCAGCCAAAAAGCCCTGTCGATACGGCAACAAATGTACTCGAGCTGATTGCAAATTTTGTCATGAGAAAGATAAATGGTAAATAGTTTTGTCTCTCATTATTCTTATTTTTAGTTTAATCAATTCGTTTTAAATTTTTTGTCTTGATTCTTTTTACAGCAGTATAGTTCCTCCACAAGAAATTAATATGCCATACTTGCCTATGAAAATGTTCATGAAGCTCGATGTTGATGGCAAATTAGACATTTTAGTTGAAAAAAATCCTGACGATTCCGATGACAGTTACATTGAGTACGGTTTGATGACAGTTGTTTCAGTTGTTCGTAAACCAGATGAACTGGGTAAAGACAACATAGTTGCAATTATAAAAGTGGATGGAGATTATTTTAAATTAAAGTCGAAAGAAGAAATTCCAGATAAAGACAACTGGTACTTATTCAATCATTTTTGTATTAGTCCGATCCCGACTGATGAAGTTGTGCACATGGATTTCAACTGGAAAACACCAGTTATGATTATGTACAGCCGAATGGATCTGCTTAAAAAGTATGAAAATAAATTGAAGATTGTAAACCCGATAACTGCAGAAGTTTTCCAAGACGATCGTAATCTTGCCCGTGGCCATCGCAGCAGTATTACTTTTACACCACTGTCAGCCGATGAAATGCCAAAGAAAGGAAATATTGTTGCTGTTGATGCCGAATTTGTTACACTTAATCAAGCTGAAACTGAGTTCCGAAGTGATGGAACTCGAGCCACAATTAAACCACCGCAACGTTCAGTTGCCAGGATAACTTGTATTCGAGGATCAGGATTATTGGAAGGACAACCGTTTCTTGACGATTATATTGCAACTCAAGATCAGGTCAATACGTAGTCCTCCCTATCAAGACTGTATCTCAAACTTCCCAGTTTTTTTCTTTATCTCCTGCTGCTTAAATAACTAAGTCTATGTCATAGATACTAGTCTGAACCACCGTAGTTCACTTTTTTTTGTTTATCCTTTTAACTTCTTTTGTTTCCTCTCTCATTTAGTCAATGCTTTTTTTTGTTTAATCAAAAGTCATTTACTTTTAGTCAATCAATCTTTTAACAATTGCTTTACTTTGACACTACCAAAGACTACAGTTTTGAAAGTGAATCCAAAATGCTCAAACAAATTGTGCTCATTATGAAGCAAAATTATTGTTTTGTCAACTAAAGCTTGATCTCCTATTATGCTCACTCATGACAATAAACTTTTATGGTCCAACCAAATAACAAATTGTAATATTTCTAGCTGTCAACGATTATAAATCAGTTATTGGTTCGAATAATTTAGATAGAAACATAAAGTTTTATCAAAAGCCTTATGACTAATTCTAACAAATGAAACTGTTTGATCGCTAAAGTTATCACATCATTTTTTTGGTGCTTTTAATCTTGTCTTTTATCTTTAATCTACATAGATAATCATATTACACCTGTCCTCCCACCCTGATATACCCAAAATTTCCAAACCCTTTGTTACCATACTCTTAATTAACTAACCTCATTACCATTTCTAACAATCAGGTTGCTGATTATATGACCAAATTCTCAGGAATTCAACCGGGTGATCTTGACATTACGATGTCTTCGAAACATTTGACAACTCTTAAATCTACTTACCTTAAACTTCGTTTCCTAATCGATACTGGCGTTGTTTTTGTGGGCCACGGATTGAAAAATGATTTCCGAGTTATCAATTTAGTGGTTAGTCTACTATAAAAATCTAAATTAATTATATTGATTCAAGCAGAAAAATGTAATTGTAAGTCTAATATCTTTGCTCTTTTTTAATCATCAGGTTCCCCAAGATCAGGTCATCGATACCGTACTGCTATTCCAATCACCTCATTTTAAGAGAATGGTTTCTTTAAGATTTTTAGCTTGGCATTTTCTTGGTAAGTAATTTTACTTTTAAAAATGGAAAGAAAAAAGCCAATCAAGAAATGATTTTTTTTTTAAATCTTTTGGCCTTTTCTTAATTACACTCTTTAAATTAGGTGTTATTTTCTTAATTACCTTTTGCTAACTCATTCGTTTGTTTTTTCAATTTAAGGGGAAAAAATTCAATCGGAAACCCACGATTCAATTGAAGATGCTAAAACAGCTTTACAACTTTATCGTAAATTTGAGGAGCTCAAGAGTCTTAGACGAGTTGAATCATCGGTAAATGAACTTTATGATGCTGGAAGAAATTGTGGTTGGAAGCTTCCAGGAACTGAAGAGGAATAAGAAGACATCTATTGTTTCTTTTAATCAGCTTCACCGATTGATATTGAGTATCATGCCAATCATATTTGGACATCTATCAATTTGCATCATTATCGTCATCATCATCATTGTTACACTATTGTGGCTCATCTTTCTTCAAATACAATCAACTCAATCACATTTTGAAAAGCGGGAGGACAATATTCCATATCAAACATCTTCTATTGATGATTTAATTCCAATTATATGTAAACTTTCTCTTGTTATTTTTCCATCGAAACTATTTATTTTTGCGCTTTCGCCCTTACCTTTTTAGCTATTGTTTCTACTTCTAAATGTGTCCATAATTAATTTAAGTAAACAACAAGTCCTCACATCTACAGAGCTTGCAGTTTCACTATTAGTTTGAACATATAAATAGATTAATCATGGTAAAGATAAATTGAACAACTAAAATACAAATCAAATGGATACAGAAAAATCGTTTTTCTTTATCCATTGAATCATTGTCTATTCGCACTAAATCATTTCGTTAACTTGATATAGCTCTAATATTTTTTATTAAAGTGAGTCTGTAAATGTGTAGACTTTTTTGTCCTGCTTATCATCAAATCCATCTTCATTCTCATTCAGTGTCATTAGTGAACCTGCTCCAATTCATAATGATCATTGTTACAATTTACCTAATTTACCTCGTTTCTTTCAAACATTCTCCTTCTTTATATTAATCCATTCAGTTGATCACTTTTCACCCTTCAAGAGATTAGCATCATTTTATTTTTAATCAACTAGATAATTTTTCTTGTTTCTTTGTTTACAAGCCATTCATTTCGTTTTATTATTAGTAATTATGAGAATTATTTTTGTATTTCAATCCAATCAATTCAAAACAAACACCTTTCCAAGACTGAAAAAAACTGATAGTGATTAACTGTATTTAGATACGTTTGTATCAATAGGAAGCCAACTTAATCAGCTTTCACTTGATATGTATTTCGTTTCAAGTTATTAAAGTTATTTTAAAACGAAGCACACGTAATGAAATTTAATTATTAATGGTGGTTGATTTTTAAAAATCATTAGATCACTTTCATGTAAGATAATCAAACAGAGGAGTGCTCATTATAGTTAGGTTAAATAACTTAATTTTAATATTTGGTTATGATTGTTAATAATTTATAAGCAAATAATCATTTGATTTGACATATTCAAAGAATCGTAAAATTAAATTCAAAGTGATAAAATTAAACAATTTTGTATTTTTTACAGTTCTACTTGTAGTTAAATTCAACTGATTTAGATTTGTTTGACACTTTAAGTTGAAGCAAACAAATCATCTAAGCTTTCTCAAACCTTTGACTATTATAACCAAATCGAGTGATTGCTGATTGAACTTCCTTAACTAGCAAAGAGATGGGCTTCTCATTAAACAATGAGCGTTTCCTGCGACCAGCAGTTAAATTAATTGTCCCGGTGGTAACCATTGCAGTGAAAAATAGGCTAAACACAGGCAACAAAATAGCTCCGATACCAATGATAAATGCTACTGGTATTAACCAATAATAATCTGTTCTACCGTAAGCCAGATCATGACTTGGATCCCAATAGTCGTATCGATGGTGTCTCCAAACATCAATCGGATAAGGACGAGGATGAACTGGATATTCCCAATAAGGCGAAGCTGAAGCAGAGGCTGTTCCTGACGTATAAGCTTGGGATCCTGAGCCAGTTAAATAGGAGGACGTCATTGGTGGTGTATAATCCAGCGATGAAGATGTATCATTGATTCCATCAGCTTTTAAACTTGGCAATACAATTGTTATCAAGGTAAACACAATGCACAAAAACATATTAAGAAAATTATTATTGCAACAAAAGATAATTAGTGGTCAGAATTTTGTACCATAATGTAATTTAATAGATTTAGAGGAGATTTTGGTTCACATGAATACTAAGCCAATTGTGGATATTTTTGAACACATTGCTTCAATGTTGGATAGAGTAACGTTTGTGTTGGAGATTTGAAAACCAATAAACACTGGCGGACGAAAAGAGTTGATCTTATAGTCATGGCCACAGTCTAATTATTCAGGATTTATCATTATGAGAGAGAGAAAAATGGAATTGAAGAGACTGAGGGGAAAGAGAAAAGAAAAAAAATGAGTAAAAGGAAAAAGTAAATTGGATTACAAAATGATTACATTTGAAGATCCTTGTTGAAATGTTTCGATTTCAGGACAAATTGAAAAGGGTTAAGAAGCGGAGCTGATGAGAACCTAGAGTTACCTTTGTTTATCATGTTACAATGAACACATAAGATGAATTGAAAATCTCCCTTGATTATTGACCTGATTTCACAATTAACTATGACCATGTCAAGTGTATCAACTATACTTCAATTGTTGATCCATTTAACTTCTTTTTTGAAAGTTTAAATCTTACTATTATTGCATAAAGATTCACTTTGAATCATCGAGGCGATCACTTTTGTATTTTTAAGTTTATTTTCATCTAATTTATCCATTTCTGTCAGCCTTGTGGTTTATCCTTCTTTCACCATGACATACCCTGCATGGAGTAGCTGGAATTGGATTATGATCTTGATTTACAAGCTTGATGATGTCCCATTAACTGTTGAGTAAAAATTGAAAAAACAGACAATGCAGATCATTTCATATTTTGAGTTAATTTTATGTAACATATTTAAAATCATACTTCTAATAGTTCTGCGACTAATAGTTATGTTGATGGATACTTACAATATTGTTGATAGCTGGAAAGGTGAAGGTACAGGCGATGGTAACATTAAGGAAAGCAACTGTACCTTTCAAACTGTATTTGATAATGGATGGTAGATATTTCATAATGGATAAAATAGCCAATATCACAAAAGCAAAAATAATTGTAAATCACTGTTTTAACTGGTAAGATGTTGAGTTTGGAGATTGATGATTGAAAGTGATATCACTATCATTTGATGCCCATTTTATATCTGATTCAAATCCTGGATGGGTTTGACACCAAGGATAATAAAAGGTGTTTATGATTTGAGCGATGAAAACAGGAGAAGAACGAAAGGGTGAATTGAAAGGAAAAAGAGAAATGGATCTTTCAGTTGAAATAAATGAAGGCGGAATGATTTTGGTCATTCTTTTGCCTCCTTTTGCTTTCACATTGTTACCGAGTTAATGAAAGTTTGTCAACACGAAAACACTTATCATGAAAAGCTTTTTCAGCAATCAAGATATTTTAAAAATTAATTTTCTCTATTTTACTCGTCTTTTGGTCTCGTTATAACGGCTGCAAACTCTTACTATTCACCATCAATTAAATTTTTACAAATTGAAAAATCCTGGTAAAAATGTCCTTTAAATAATATTATAGATGAACATATAAAGATGACAATAAGCAAGATGAGTGAAACTGGATTTACTATATAATTATTTAAACATGATGAATTCTGGCCTTAAAAGATTTAATTGATTTAAATCAATCCAATTTTTTGCATAAACTTTGAAAATTGTGTTTTACGGTTATTAAAACCGTGTAACTGTGTAACTGGTTACGTGGTTCTGGTTTCCGGACTATAATATTTATTATTTATTTTTTTGATGCATTTTATAATTTTTTTCTTGCCATTATTTATTGTTTAACTTGGACTTATTTATTATTAAAAAGTAAGTTTATTAATTGACTTTCATTTTAAGTGATTATTGTGTTCAGACAAATTTAAGAGCGATCTCTTTATATGGATCCAATCTTGGGATATGCTTTTGCTTGAATAATGCTTTATTTTCATCTCTGTCTCTTCTGTCTTTCTTACTTACCTGCCGTTATTATATCTGTGTGTTCAGTTTTTTTCCCTAGTTAAAGTTTTCAATTAATATTTATTTTCCGATTCAGCATTTTCCTTTTCTCTCATATTCTCTCTCACATTGTCTCTTTTACTTGATACAGATTTGTTAAATATTCGAAGTCATAATTCCAATGACAGATGCTGTGGATCCTTTTGATTAACGTGTGCATTAGACATATTCATCTTTAACGTCATTTGACCGCAGTTGATACCTTTTTAAAACCATACATCTCATCTGTTTAATTTAGTTTCACTTTATTCGGATTTTTATCTCCCTGGATACACAACTATATTAATCAAACAAGCTTGCTGGAATATAAACAACTAAAGCTTCATACTTCGGTTTGTTTTCTTTTTGTTTTCTCTGTCTCTTTCTCTCTCTTTCTCAACCTTTTCCCTTTTTTATCTTATTTATCCAAAATGTCTGCAGTTCAACCTCCTTCATTTAAACTAAGATGGTGGGTAATCCAATTGTTATTGCAATTTAAATAATACAATAATTTGATTGAAGAAAATTTTCTGAGCCAAAAAATTAAACGAGTAGAGCTTGACCCTTGTTTCAATGGAAAGATATCTGGCTGTATATAGTGAACTCTCTTGGTATTATATCTGACATCAATCTGCAAATTTTGGATCCCTTCAAATTGAGAGGAGATAATTGAAGAGTCTTTACTCGATTAATTTTGACGCTCAATGAAAATTTTTGAAAATTTAATTGTATTATTTCATCATTAGAAGCTTAAGCCAGAAAATGATCTTATTAAAAATCGATCCGATCGATCTATCAATCAGATGATCAGAACCGATATGGATCATAACATTAGTTGAGCAAACGATAAACTAATCTGTTGATAGTTGGTAATATAATTTTTTCATTGTAGTCGCCTACTTAGAGCGAAGGTGCTTGAATATTGCTCTATCAAAGCTTGACTCAATCATTTTCTTCTTTAGGATCTCAAGATGGGATCGATTTCAAATGCTGACTTTTTATGAAGTGCTAACTAAATTATTGTTTTCTTCTTTTTTTATGACTTTAGTCCGAGGTATGGCTGATGAGAAACCTAATACTCATATTTCTGTGAAATTGGAACCAAAGGTTGAACATGATATTAAACCAGTTAAAGTCGAGAGCCTTGAAATTGGTTCTAGTGTAACCCAAGTTAATAAAGTGCGTAAAGTGCGTAGAAAAATACGAAAAGTTTCAACCAGAAAAGGTACATATTCAAAAGTTAAACGTAAAACCAAAGTAAGAAGAAAAAGAAAGACCACTAGGAAGACAACAAAGACTACAAAGGGACGTCGTAAGCGAGTAAGGACTTCGAAGCCTTTAGTCACCGGCAAGGCATTAACTCCTCGAGCTAGACTGGCTAAAAAGCTTGGAATTGAACGAAATAGGAGTCTCGGTATTCATTCACTACCTACGATAAAGAAAATGACACAAGAAAATTTAAATAATAAACGAGTTGCTGCTGGGATTAGTGTGCTTTCTATTTTCGGATCCGAATTAAATTCTCATGGTTCAGTACCTTTGAGAGAAGATCATCCTGATTTAAATGCTGATTTATCACGAGTTGATGATGATTCGCCCTTAGTTGATGAACAAGAAGACTCATATGGACCGCAATTGCCTCCAGAAGATATCACTTCAAATGGCAATGTAAACAATATTAGTAATGGAAATAGTATTCACAGTGATAACATCGATAATGCCGGTGCTAATAATCATGAATTGGTTGTTGACACCAAACCACAAGTTCAAATTGTTGAAAACCAAAGTGATCGGTCAACCTCTCACAGTCATAAAGAGAAATTAAAAAAATCATCAGAAATTGAAGAAGGGGAAATCGCTGAAGCTGAAGGTGATAGTAAGTCTAAAATTAGGAGATGCAAGCATGGTAAATTAATTCATAAGAAACATCCTGATAGCAGTAAATCTAAAAGAAGCAGTTCCAAGGAGAAAAAAGAAGAACCCAAACTACCTTTAATCAAATCAATAAAAAAAGAGCCGCGAGATCGAGATGAAGATAGATCAATTGAAAATAGAGTAATACGTGATAGAGTGAGACCTTACGTACCGAATCGACACGAAACGGATCGTCGGTTAAATCGTTCACCTCCTGATGAAAGATCTTCCAAATACCGCGAAAATGATAGAAATCGTGAAAATCATTTTCGTGAAGACAGACACAGTGATAAAAGAAGACATAGAAGTTTAAGTAGGGACAGAATACCCTCAATACCAGCACCAGTAACAGTAACAGTACCAGTACCTCCTCCGTCTCTTCCTATACCACCTCCTTCATCAAACAGATCCAGATCTGAGTACAATTCGTCCAAATACCGGAGTAGTCATAAAAGAGATTCATCTAAAAACCATCGCTCTCCTGTAAAGAAGGAATCCAGACGAGTAAGTCCGCATTATGAACCCTACGAGAGTACTGAAATAAAAAGAAAATATGACCACGAAGAAGAAGAAAAATCTAAAGCTAAGAAAAAGAAAAAGAAACACAAGCATAAACATGGAAAATATGATGATGATAACTACAATGTAATGAAAAATTCTAAAAATCCCGTTCCATCGGAAAGTAACAACAGTAAACGGGTACCTGCCAATTCGATTGATAAAATAAGTACTAACTCTCGTCATAATGATCATCACCACAAAAAATCTAAACATCATTCACGTGATGGTCGATCTCCTCCATCCCACAAAATTTCATCTCCTCATGCAAATGAACGAGCCGAAGAGCCGAGTATGTCTCGTACCAAATCAAAAAGATCTCGACACTTGTCTCCAACTCGTGAACACATCTCTAATAGAAATTCTCATAAAGAAGAAAGAAAAGATTCAACACATCCGAAGGGCAGCAAAATATCATCAGCTGTTAATCATTCTATTGATGAAGTGAACTCCAAAGAGATTAAAGTCAAAACAGAAGATAATCAGCTCAAAGATCATGGAAATATTAACTTAGGCGCTATCAATAATAATGATACTGATAATAACAATCCCAATAGTAAAGCTAATCGGTCTCCATCTGAAGTAAAATCAGTTTCATCTAAACCAGGGTCGCCTCCAAAAAAAGATGTTCGTTTGGTATCGAAATCACGAACTGAATTTGACATTTTCTGGGATGAAAATAGTCAAAATAAGAAAGTAGATAGCTCTCATCAAGAGTATGATGCAAATAATGTTACTGGTAAAGAAGAAACTGTGCTTCGATTTTTACCAAGAACTCTTCTTTCTGATCAATCTTCACCAAGTGTTTGCTTACCTGCCACCGTGGGTCCAAGGACACCTCCTGATGAAGAAAGAACCGGGAAAAATGTTATAATGTCATCACCTGATCAAACTATGCCAACTCCAACTCAAGATGAATCTCTTGAAGGTGAATATAGCAATGGATCTCCAAGTAAACAAAGAAGTAGTATAAAATCTCTTAATTCACCTTCTGTTGATCCAGATGTATATGACCCTGAAGCTCCACTGGATAGTCCCGAGGAAGATCAGCAATTACAAAGTGAAATAGCGCGATCGCAATCCAAGTAAGTTTTAATCATAGAAATCTGAGGCAAAATTTCTAATTCCCTCTATCTTGATCTAAATTTTAATCTTTGAATTTCTCAGTAAATATAAAAACACTTTTCAAAAGTTTGTATGCATTATGAAAAGCAGTAACAAATAGACTTTTTTTAATTATGGCTTTAAAAATTAACTATTCGTGTCTTTTCAATATTTCAGATTAAATGAGATGGAAAAAAAGTCATCACCTTGTGCAAAACAGATATCTCCTGTTAAAAATGTACCTAGACCCGAAACTCCAGAATTACCTTCACCTCGATCACCTCAACATAAATTTAAATCACCAAATTCATTCAATTCATCAATTATTCCACAAATTTCTTTAACGGCTTCCAGCAGCATTAATCGTGTACCAACTCTTGCTGAAAGTTCTTTACCACCAGCTCCAGGGTCTCTTTTAGCTCAAATACAACAAACATTAAATCTTCAAACTAAAACTCATTCTCATTCGTAAGTCTTTTTATTGGTATTCAATAAACTTTTGATTTATTATTCAATCATAATTTTTTCTATTTTACAGGGATTGCTCTAAACAACTCCAATCACATCCCCCTCACCCACCTCATCAATCTCATAGTACATCAACTGGTAAAGACACTTTCTTTTATTTTCCGAGTCTTTTGTTTAGTAATTGTATAACTATCATATAAATTATTCTTGTTTCCATTTGCAGGACTCTCAGCAGGAACATCAACATCATCATTTATTCATTGTAAGAAAAGATTTTAAATCTTATTGATTCCATCAACTTTTTAACCTTTCATTTTTTTCTTATTTCTTATTATAGCATCTAGTGGGACATCTGCTAATGATTCAATCAATAAAGCATCGGTAGCACCTATAAATTCAATCAACGCATTATCTCCTTCATTGAAATCATTATTGGAAAATCTCATTAAGGCAGCTGAGCAGCAACAATCAAAAATTAAACCATTCAAAACTTCGGTTACCTCAAACGCTAATAACATTTTCAAAAAGCCTGCACCAGTCTTAGGTAAAAAATTGCAAAATTAAATCACTAGCTTCAATGAAAAATAATACAATGTATATCATAAATTGATTTTTCATTTTTTAGATTCGAAATCACGATCCATTTCTCATTCACATCATCATTCAGTCAAAACAAAAGTAATCGACAAAGAAGCAAATAAAAAGACTTCATCATCTAATAATCAAGGAATAGCTCCTGGATCAGCGCCTACTGGTCCTAAAGTGACTGATGTTGCTGTCCTCGATGATTTACCTTCATCAGCAGTTGAATTACAAGTGAAAGAAAAAGTATGTCGATTTTACTATGGTTTACTACCAATCATCATTCTCTTAAACTGTCTCTCTTTTTTTACTTAAAGTACTTGAAGAAATTAAACCGACAAGAGCGTGTGGTCGAGGAGGTAAAAATGGTCTTAAAACCATTTTATCAAAGAAAGGAAATATCCAAGGAAGGATACAAGGAAATAATGAGAAAAGCAGTCCCAAAGGTTAGTTGAAACACACATTATTGAAAAAATAGAAATATTAATATCCATCATCTTATACTTAATTTATAGATTTGTCATAGCAAATCGGGCGAAATCAATCCACAAAAGGTTCGCTTTTTGGTTGAAGGTTATATACAAAGATTCAAACATGATCGTAAAAAGAACAAAACTGTTAAAGGAAAATAATGGTAATTTCTATTGGTTATGGGCATTTATGGATCGAAGAGAAAGATTTTCTGATAATCATGACTTGGGATGCATGTTTTTTCGTAAATTTGTCAAGGCAATCAATACTGTGACAAAAAAATGTTTTCAGATTGTTTTAATCTTGTAAAAATGTTTCACAGATTAACATCGTTAACCTTTCATTTAGTTTCAATCTGATTATCAATGCACCAACAAAAAACATGTAATCTCTGAATAGAAGAATTACCTTTTCTTCCCTTCTCAAATTATTTATCGTCATCATCACCAGTATCGTTGTCATCTACTTCTTATCTTGCTTCTAACTTTACTCTTCATGGTACAAGAATCTGCTGGACAGCTAATGGTATCATTGATGGAAGCTCGGCTAACTTGAAATCGTTAAGGATTATCTACTGATTGAGTTGGACATTCAATTGATGAAAAAGCCAATTATCACTCTTGAATTGTCCATCAATTAGAACTGAAGCATCCCCGGACCAGACTTTTTTTGTATAAACTTTACTAACTCGAATCATCGAAAAACAATCATGTTTAAATCTTCTCTGAAAGAGTTCCAAGTTCAAGTTGCTGGATTAACATTTTTTTCTCAATCTAATTCAATTGATTTGAAAGATTGGCTCAATTCTTCCCTTAATTTTTCAAAAGGAATCAGAAACTAAAAATTAACGAATGATTAGCAAAGATTGGTGAAGCAGAAGAAGAGTACATCATGAAATGAACTTAATCTCCGTTAAGTCATTGGAAAATCATTTAGTCATCATTGTAATTGAATGTAAAGTTAAACGATAAACAACAAGATTATTCTAATTAAAATAAAATTAACAAATTTTCACCTTACAACATGTCTGTGATCTTTGATCTTAAACTAAAATTTATCTCAAAAAGTTCATTTATTGTATGCTACATTGTATAAGCTATGGTACATTTTATTATGAATTTAGGTTATGAATGAAAAATAACGACAACACTGATTTTATCTCATAATTACTGATGAATCTAATGAATATGAATGCAATAAATCTCAAGTAATGATTTCAATGAGTTTTCATAAAAATTGTTCATGTTCAAACTTTTGGATTGCTAATCGATTTGCTGAATATCTAATTTTAAAAATCGACCATTTTGAAGCTGAGTAACGGCTAAAGAAAATTTAACTAAAATTAAATCACTTCGACATTAATGAAGATCTGGACGAGATGTCCGATGTTATGCAATGTTATGTTATCTCTCATAACCCATTTATAAGCGTGAAGCTGTGGCAAGGGGTGGACATAAAGCCACTCAGCTGTATTCGGCTTATATTCAGCGATTACGCATGACAACGATCCTCCATTTTGTTCTGAATTGTGTGTATTCAACATTAATTCAAAAACACCAAGATAGATAGCTGACCGATTATTTAAATTAAGTCTGTTTAATTATGTTGAATAACTGTACTTCAATACCATTGTTTATGAATTGATTATCATCTCAACATTTTTACTTGAAAATCTGCGTTTTGATCTCATCATATTGTTTACAACTTTCCTTCAGTTTTTATAATATTATTTTTCTTCATGGGCGATTCTCAAAATGATTTTGGCAAACAGGTGTCCAGATGAGTTAGAAGTAAGCTACACAATATTAAACACCATCTACAACAAATCTAGTACATATTTAATTTAATTTTCATCTGCATCATCAAACATTCACGTTAAACTGGTGGTACTAACTAACGAAAACAATCATTAACTGTTAATCCATATTATGGTCGAGCAAGAACCTCTTCGATTTATCTAAAGGTTTTTTATCATCAAAATTTTATCTTTAATTACTATTATGTAAGTAAACTCCAAGGCCTAATACGCTAACATCTAATTTTATATGTCTTAGCGTGTAAGCCATTGTCTCTTCAAGCCTATCCATGTTGCTATAATTGTTTCATTTTCTTGCAATCATTGATAATTTCCAATTTTGTTAGATTATTCAAGGATACTTATTAATTTTTTAATTGCTGTTAGAACTGGGATTCTCCTTTTCAGTTTTATTAGCCTTTAATATTGGCGGCTACACGCTCTCACCCTTTGTCGATTGCAATTTCTTGCTATTTAGTGGGTAATGCCATCTAATGGCGGCTTACATTTTGAGCATACATTTGGTGAATATATTTCTGAGACAAGATATTACCTAAAATTACAGTTGTTTAGGATTTTAACTTAATTATAGTTTGGTTGGTTGTGACAATTCTGTTGCTTTACTCATTATTGCTATCCACTATTCTTTAATTTTCAACAATAAACACTCTTCATTGTTGTATTTTTTCGAGTTGACCTTCTGGTTTATGATCCGAATCCCGGTTTAATTTTAATTATCTTTCATTTTAATTTTCTAGATTGGATACAAATTTATTTCAAACTAACCTCTAAGTGGAATATCTTTTCAACAATTTGTCTAGTACGTTGTAATGTGTGCCTTCCATTATAGCATCATCACATCCTGCATATACAATTATTAGTAAACAAAATATCACTGTGAAATATGGTGGTCCGGCAAAGCTCTCCAAGTGGTGATGAGAAAGGAATTAAAAGCACTGGTGATGGAGACAATGAAGAGGAACAAAAATCAGATTCCTCCAATACAGCGACCAGTATGCAGAAACAGCAAAACCCCCTATTAAACCATAATGTAGTTGATGCAACTGTAAGCGTGACTTCACCAGTTGTTAAATCTGCTTCATCAGTCTCATCAGAAGCGGTATCATCTGCGCCTTCAAATGTAGCAATTACTGCAGCTACTGCAACAGCAACAGTAACAACAACGACAACGACAACGACAACTACAACAACAGCGACAACAACCACAGCAACGACAACAGTAGCAACAGTAACACCATCGCCAACGCCATCACCACCACCTTCATCAAGAGCAGCAGCAGCAACAGCAACAACGACAACAACTATAACTGCAACACCAACAATGACAATGGTAAAAGCAACCGCAATATCGACTTCACCCTCTTCACCATCAACTGCATCTTTAATTTCATCAACTTCCCCCTTAATTATGACAACTGCAAAGAAAAATACTTGTACCAATGGTTCAGTATCTTTAACAAGTCCAGTTGCTATTCAAGATAAAAAAAGAGTCAAGAAAAACCATGCCCCACGACATCATTACGAGATTTATGGCTATTTCGATTGGGATTCATATCTCAAGGAAACTGGTGGGGAACCTGCTCCGGCTTCTGCTTTTAAACAACATCCTGATCCTCCTGCTAACGAATTCAGATTGAAAATGAAACTTGAGGCACAGGATCCTCGTAACCCTTCATCAACCTGTATTGCCACAGTCGTCGGTATTATGGGCCCTAGAGTTCAATTAAGATTGGACGGAAGTGATAATACTAATGATTTTTGGGAAATGATCGACTCACCGTCAATAAAACCTGTAGGTCATTGTCAAGAAAATGGTGGCATGTTACAGCCTCCTCTAGGGTTTCGAAAAAATCCTTCACATTGGCCTATGTTTGTACTCAATACTCTAAAGGATGCAGACATTGCGCCAAAGAATATTTTTATTCATGAGCCACCTTCACCATCCAGAAATCGTTTCAAAATTGGAATGAAATTGGAAGCTGTAGATAAGAAAAATCCTCGACTTATTTGCCCTGCTACAGTCGGTAGTGTTACTGAAGACCAAATCTTCGTCACCTTTGACGGCTGGAAGGGTGCATTTGATTATTGGTGTAAATATGACTCTAGAGACATTTTCCCGGTTGGTTGGTGTCAAAAAAGCGGTCATCCTCTTCAGCCTCCCGGTGATAAAAGTAAGTTGTCAATTTTATAGTTTACAAAATAGTTATTTAATGCTATAAATTATTTTCTTTCAGCCCCTTTCACGCCAGTCAGAGACAAATTGTTGAGTAGTATTACAACTCCTGGAAGTGTACCTCTCTCCATCCAATGCTTGCCGAAAACAGCAACCATAAACAATGGTACACCAACATCATCCAAACTAAAAAGTAAGACTAACCAGTTTAACAATCCAGCAACCACGAATACTACAATGGCCTGCGAATCACCTAAAATGACTCCTAAAGTTCAATCATTGACATCTAATTCATCTCAAGGTAACATGGTCAATAACAGTACTAAAGAGGCCAAATTGACGCAAAGTAAAGAATCCCCAACCGTTAGGATATCTGAAAAAAATGATGGCATTACAATCAAAATATCAACTAAAAATGAAGAAACGCCGTCACCTTCTCTGCCCAAAGGGTCTTTAGGTATTTGTCATTTTATTATAACGTTACTAATAATTATACTCAATTCCCTCATAATAAAACTAGTGTGAAATAGCCAATTTATCATATTCCCATGTTAGGGTATCCATAGAGTTGCATAGATTTTGCTCATTATAAGGAAGTATTATGAGGGAATTGAATTTACCTGTTTATTATCAAGAATTACTAAGATTCTTTTCCTTTTCTTTAGTGACTGTGCATCTTAACAAATCATGTAAAACTGGGCCTTGGATTAACGCAAAGAAACTAGAAAAATTGCCAAATGTTTTTGGACCTGATAGTTATAATCGCACTTTGAAAGGAATAATTCAATCAATGCTAGATTGTAGCCCACATCCCGGTAAATTAATAAGCTTGGTTAAATCTGGTCATGGGTATACTTCCGTTTCAGTCAATATTGCAGGCAGTAGAGAAACGGTAACTTTACCACACATTAATCGAGCTAGTGTATTTTGGAGCTACTTATCTAATTTTCTTGAAGTGGTTGAAGCATGTCCATTACTTCTTGTCCAAAAAGTGAATGATGGTCCTTGTAATATGTGTAAAACTGTTAATAATTTTAACGATGTTGTTAAAACTCAGACAAACCAAAAATCTAATGCAGCCAATCGTGCACCAATCAACTCTCAAGCCGATATTGTTTCTACTCCAATTCAAAATAATCGGATGCCCATTCCCCAAATACAAAATAGTGGTTACACTGTTCAATTTGTCGCAGACAAGATGAACTCTAAAAAATCAACTCAAACTCCAGCGTCATCAGACTCTAAAAGTTCACTTGATCCATCGACAAAAAAATTAGCTAAGAGAACAATTGTTAACTGTCCAGTTAGTCAATCGTCCAATCCTGAGAATGCTTCTGCGCCAAATTCTGAAACCAATGGAAGACCGAATAAAAGTGCGAAAATGTCCGATACATCCAGTACTTCTAATTCATCTTCTATAACGAATGGGGGAGAAATCGCTAAGACTGTGATTCCAGCCAATCCTGTGGATTGGAGCATTGAAGATGTGATAAAACACCTTCTCTCCCATGATCCCTCATTAATTGTCCATGCTGAAACTTTCAGAAAACATGTAAGTTTTATGTATCAAATTAACCGTTCGTTTTTCATTTCATTTGAAGTTGAACTGTCGAAAAATTTTAAATCCATATTTTGTAATCTATTTCTAATTTTGTTTCTTTTCTTTTCCCACTGTCTAGGAAATTGATGGAAAAGCATTTCTCCTTCTTAATAGTGATATGATAATGAAATACATGTCTCTAAAATTGGGACCAGCATTAAAAATATGTAACATAATTGACCGCCTCAAAGGCAATAGAAAGTTGGGACATCTGCCTTGAAACAAATGTACATTAAAATCTCTGGCTGATTAATTGATTTTATGCATTCATTGTCTTTCCTTTTCCTCTGCATCATCTCTTTCCTTTCAATCATCATTACCAAAAATTAGAACTGAAAAAGCCAATTCATCTTCAGCTACAGTCACCATTATTTTTATGACCGTTTTGATCTTTATGTTGGGGAGGCATGGGCAATCAGAATCTTCTCAAGGAAGTAAATTATTTTGTAAAAATAGCTTAATGTTATGTTGATACTCCTGTCGTCAGAAGATGACTTCAACGAGTCAAATTGCTTAAATCCTTTGAATAAATTTAAATTTTACTGTCCCTAATTATAATTGTCATTTTTCTTTGCATATCTACTGGTTTTAGTCAATAGTTTGACAAAATTTACTCTATTGACTATTCAAATCAAATTAAGTTGCCCTTAATTTTTAATCCAAGGTTCAAGTTTAATTTCGACTGGATGTTAAACAAATAAAAACAAACAATTTGATATCTGACTTGAAAACAAAAATTTAAAAAGACCCAATCAAAAAAGAGCATAACAATTACCATAGTAACTATGTTTACAGAAATTTTTTTGTTTTTTCCTTTCTTCATATCCTCCATTTTGTTCTGAATAGTTGAGCACTTAAATACGCTGATCTAGTAGATCTTAATTTTGGTCACATTAGAGCATTCAGTTATGTTCATTAATGTCCAAGCAACAAATATAATCTCGTCTTAAATACTTGGTAAATCCACATCACATTTTACCCCTTCTCTTTGTTTACTTCTTTATCTTAACGTTCTTTGTACTTCCTCCCTTTCATCCTCCATTATGGTCAATTTTCGAAATGTTACTGTTGAGCCAACGATTAATTAGAGTGAATTGACTCAAAAACGAGATCATCTTCTGTGGAACTGTAAAAATATGTAAGTATGCTTGAATCTTTTGATTTTATTCACCTTCACCTTACCTCAGTTTTCCAATACTCTTATACTGTTGTTATCAATATCAGATGTTGAAAATATTGCATGATGCATTAAAATCTGTTTAGATCTTCCTTTGATATTTTCAAACACAGGGACTTGCTTTATCATAATTGTCCACTTTTATGTGGCTCTCTATTTCATTTAGATTGTATCTCTCTTTGTTTGTTTGTTGCTCTCTGTTGCACCCTAACAGCAGTTCATTTCTATCAGTGATGCATAATGACAGTTTAAATTGAATAAATCCAAATCAGCATATTTCAATTTTTCCTACACTCCTTCACATCACTAGAGATAATAAAGATTCTAATAATAATTGATTATCTCATTTTGTATTACAGATGACTTATCAATAAACCGTTGATAAATAAATTTTGATTGACTGTAAATATTTCTCATCGAAAATCTGATCATCATTCTAAACTAAATGTCTACAACTTCATATAGAAGTTTTTCTGATTTATGCGATCCCGAAGACAAAGTTCTCATACATGTTTTACCAGAGAACAAAGGTGGACCCCGCTCATGGCACCAATATATCAATGATTTAGATTATTTTTTCACAAGAATCTATCGTTATCACCAAAGATCTGGATTTCTTTGCTTGGTACTACAACACATTTTAGAGCTTGTCCAGTTCATTTTTGTTGTTTTACTCACTCTATTTCTCCTTAATTTTGTCGATTATGCTGTTTTATTCAAAGACAAACTACCTCCAGGCTCTAAAGCAGGCGATCCAACCATTAAGGTTACTATTAGTGACGTGATATTACCTCAAGATCAAATCCATCTCGGTGGATTTCAGATTATATTGTTAATTTGTGCCGCCATTTTCTGGTTCTTAAAGCTTCTCAAAGTGCTGCAAGCAATATATGTTTACCATGCAATTCGCGTATTCTATGCTGAAGCCTTGCATATTCAGGACTGTTCTGAATACACCTGGCAAGAAGTGCAAACTCGATTGATACAAGCTCAACATCTATGCTCTCTTCAAGAAGGAACTCTAACGGAACTGGATATTCACAATCGTATTCTTCGTTACCATAATTATATGATCGCTTTATTAAATAAGAATTTATTGCCCATTCATTACAAAGTGCCATTGCTGGGTGAACAGACTTACTTTTCCAAAGGATTAGAATTCAATATACGTCTTTTACTATTCAAAGGCCCCTTTGCTATCTTTGAAAATAGTTGGAAGCTGAAAGATGAATTCAAATCAACAGCAAACAGGCAAATTTGTGCCCGTAAATTCGCCAAAAATTGTTTGATATTAGGTTTTATTAATCTAGCTTTATTGCCACTCATATTTATCTGGCAAGTTCTGTATATATTTTATGCATATGCTGGTACACTCAAGCGTGATCCATCCAGTGTTTTTGCTTCCAAGAATTGGTCTCATTACGCTAAGTTATTTTGTCGCCACTTCAATGAGCTCGACCACCAATTGAATGGACGTTTGAGCAAAGGATACAAAGCCGCTTCAAAATACATGGATTCATTTAACTCTCCTCTGATGGAAGTTATCTCAAGAAATGTTATGTTCATGGCCGGAGCTCTCCTGGCTGTCCTCGTGCTCTTAACTTTCTACGATGAAGATGTCATAGCTGTCGAACATGTTATTACCATAATAGCAGCATTGGGTATCATAGTCGCTGTAGCTCGTGGTTTCATTCCTGATGATATTCCGATGAAGTATAATAAATCGGAGTTGTATTCGCATATCCTTCTCCACATCCATTATGCCCCTCATCGTTATTCACCTTATACTTCTCAGGCCCAGGCAGCTATGTCTAAGCTATTTCAGTATAAGATACAAGCTATCTTAGAAGATCTTCTTAGTCCCTTGATTACTCCATATATTCTGTTATTTCATCTCCGCCCTCGATCATTAGAATTTGTCGACTTCTTTCGTAACTACACTGTCGAAGTATCTGGAACTGGTGATATTTGTATTTTTGCCATGATGAATGTTAAGAAGAATGGAAATCCTGTTTGGGAGGTACAAAAAGAGGAAAAGTTATCCGAAAATCCATTCGCAGAAACACCTTCTGGGGCCAGTGTTAGCGGAAAGATTAAGAAGACTGATGGACAACGGAAATTTAAATTACAGGCTGGAGCAGGAGAAGGTGATTTCGGTGAAGCTCCCCCCACAGCTACAGTCCCTGAAAATCTTTTTAGTGAAAATGGTAAACTTGAACTGAGTCTCATCAATTTCCAACTCACCAATCCGAACTGGCATCCGATTGATCGATCTCAGCGTCAATTTATTGAAGTTGTTACTTCTAAGGCCATACCTTCTATGCATGAAAAAGTAGAAAGTGTTGACATTGGTCGTACTTCAACTGAACCTGTAACACCTCACTCGTCTATGATGGAAAGAGTTCCATCAATGCATACTCATAACATGAACCCACCAAGAACACCTCATTCATCTTTAATTGAAGATAATACTGGTTATTCTCACCGTGATTCTTACTGTGAATCATTTGACCTAAGTGACATTGAATTACGAATGTCTTTAACTTCAAGATATCTTAATGACCTCGCCTCTTCAAGACTGTCAAATCAACAGCCTGAAGAGGGACAACTACTTCAACAATCTGAAAACGCTCCTCTGTTACAATTATCTCGTTTCACTGAGCGACACGACATCCAATAATGCTGTGATATTATGTATCTAAAAATCAAACAAACACTTTTTTCATTCAAATAAATTTTCATTATTATCAAATGCGTATATTTTATCATCTTACAAGTACCATAAATGATAAATAGTACCATAGATATTTTTATGTCAGCTCGTCTTTATAATCTATACTTTGACTTCTTGTTTCCAAAGTAATTCGAATATTTCATGAGATTATTAGCATTTATAATGTCTAATAGGTAAGAAATTGGAATTGATTGCAAGTCAGTTTCACCTTTTTTCTAAGAGTTTTCAGATAATGGCGGTACAAGTCTATTTAAGCATATGATATGATTTATTAGTCATTTATAAGGTACATTATTCATTTCAATACATATAAATATAAATATTTTAGCTTGAATATACTATTTAAATATTGAGATTCTATGATTTAAAATTAATCAAGATCCCGAATAAATTTAGTATAGAAATTAAGCTTCTAGTTAAATTAGTTTACAAAGAACACTCATGTTGATTGCATTGTTTTTGTAAGTTTAAAAATTAACCGGGATTCTTGTTCAACTTTTTGAATACTAGGTATTCATCGTTCAATAGTTCATCCAATGGAAGTTAGCAAATTATTGAATAATTGCGAAACACAACACATATCAACAAGAAAATTAAAGGCTAGATGAAATGCTTTTGTTTTGTTCACATTTTTGGTGTAATAGTCAAGTGTTTTTGGTTCCTAAGGTGGAATGGTTCCGATATTATGGTAGACATACATTGCAGATTGAGGATGGATCATCTTTTTCTTTTTGACTGTTTGGCCATACGACGACTTTTCAAGATCATATTATAAAGAATTTCAAGTCCATCATTCAATCCTTCTCCAATAACGGCACAAGCTGGTTGCACATGCCATAGCTGCCCTGAGCTGAGGCTATCGAGGACCAATAAGCTAGCTATCTCTTTAGGGTCTTTAGCGCCAGGTAAATCTTGCTTATTTGCTAAAATTAAAAAAGGAACACTGGCATTTTCAGGAGACTTGGCTGTCCTTAAGAGTTCCATCTTGGCTTCCTCCATACGTTCCTCATCAACTGAGTCCACAACAAATACAATACCGTCAGTACATCTGGTATAAGACCTCCAGAGAGGACGTAATTTATCTTGTCCACCGATATCCCAGAAAACGAAATTTGTGCCTTTCAGCTTACCCGTTTGACCTGTAATTGGGATATTAAATAAAATTATTGTTAGGCTAGGTGGTGATTGAGAATTAATGAAATAGGAAAAGGATGACCATTAAATGGAATTGGGTAAACAAAGTTATGGTGGTCAGGTTAAGTTTATTTAGATTGGAAAGACAAAACAGTAATTGAATAAAATAGAGACCAATTGGATGATTTAGATTGAAACATACCTTTGATTTTCTCGCAATTAAATCCAATGGTGGGCACAGTATTTAGATATTGATCAAATTTGAGTCTGTAAAGCGCTGTTGTTTTTCCAGCTGAATCAAGGCCTAACATAACAATATGAATTTGGTGGAAAGGTGAGAATATATCCAATATGGAACCTCCTTTTCCAACAGCGGAGCCCATCGAAATTTCAAATCTAATCCACGGGAAATCATGAAAAAGTAATAACTGTTTATTTAAACAGTTATTAAAACATAATAAAATAGTCAACAAGATGTAAACTTCAAACTCAACAAATTTTTTTACGCCTGCGCAAGTCTCAAATAAGGCAATAAGCGATAATATGCGAGTCAGCGAACCCACATTAAACAAATAAAGTAGGGCTTATCAGGTCAAGATCTACGTTTAAAATACAAGAGGTTAGGGAACATATTATAGAAAAGGTCAAAAGACATTATAGAATAACTTTAAAAAAATTACATCTAGTAAAAAGCACAAAAAGGTCATAAAATTTTGATATGTCCCAGCTTATTGAATTAAACGACTTCTTTACCATCAACAGAATATGCCATGAACCGCCGTTTTCTTTGGAAGAGCATGGTGACGATATATTTTTACTCATATTTATCCATATTGCTCCTAAAAATTTTGCGAAAACTTTAAACGATTCGAGAGAACTGGGAAAGTAAACGGAATGTTTCATGCTCACAGATATACCGTGTTTATCTATTAGGCATGGTTAATTATTATGGGTTTCAACGATCGATTGAAAAGCTACTGTGATATTGTTCAAGGAAATTTTTTAGGCACTTATCGTAGCTTAACTTATAAACATGTGAGGGGTCTTAAATGGATATTATTGTCGAACTGCAAACTTTATTCTCAAAACAGACGACGATACTTTTCGTTGAATTAGTATCTCACTTGAAAGGATTAACTGTTAAGCAGTGATTCCTAGAAGGCTGTTCAACTGTTTTGTCATTCGTAACCCTTATCCAGCCAGAAAAGCATGATAAAAGCAAATGGAAGGTAAATTATGAGGTTAGTTATCTTGATCTACAAAATTCTGATCAGGTTGTATTAGTATACTGTACATTTACCCCAATTGTTATGACTTTTGTCAAGCTGACATCTATGCCATTATAAAGTAACTAATGAATGTTTATTTTTTCAAGTGTTTTATCTTTCTAATTTCTTAATTATTACATCTATGCCATTACAATAGTAACTTAATTCGGAGATTATTTAATTCCCTTCAACTTAATTCAGAACATTTAAATTGTGTAGTTTAGTGTTAATTCTTATCATGAGAAGGTAGTTGTCGCTTTTGAATAAATGTGTTAAAATTACTCTAGTCAAAGCTACAAGACTCTAAAGGTTGATCCAAATCTTGAGGAGCAAAGCAATAAAAAACTGTGTTCATGGTGATATTTGAGTACCATAAAAGAGTAGCACAATAATCATTGTAAGCAAATTAGGAAGTCATAATGAAAATTATGTTGTTGATGGCGATCTATTCATTATAGAATCTCTGACTTGAAAGTGAGTGAAATTTTGTTGTTGACCTACCTTTTGTCTTTTACACTTACAACTTAATTACAAGGCACAAAAATTCCTATGAGAAAAGATTAATTAATTGATGAATATTAATTGTATAATTAATATTATAAATTAACTGTTAAGAAAAGGGCACAAATTATTCATAAACATTTAAACTGTAAATTCGGACCAAACTTAGCGCCAAGAGGTTGAAAGACATCCTACTTTTTGTTCAATTTGCTGTTTGGTTTTTTTTCTAGGTTTACTTATCATCAATAGACAGATTTGAAAATAAGTCCAAATTAATGTTTTATTCGCAAGATTTTATTTCTTCCTGAATGAGTAACTTACTTCTGTTTGTTTAAGTGATTGTAAATTCAGTGTAATAATTGCTGATTCCAAGTTAATTTGGTTATTCTGGTTCAACTCAAAATGATGAAAATTTTCTTCTCATTCTGTTACTATAATATGTTTATTGATAGTGATTTTTTTCATCCTACCCTTTTCTCCTCTTCATCATTTCTCTTCCCAATTACTCTTGATTATTAAGTTCTTTATCATCTCTCACTCTACTCTGCCTCTCTTTCTCTTTTCTCTTTCTTTCCCATCCTATTCATAAATATGTATTGATTATTATTAGTGGAATAATTTGATTGTCCCGTAGTTTAAATTCTTTTGTTTCTCCAATTTATATTATATTTTTTTGGGTTTTTGACAACCATGGACAACGGTTCTTGGCTGCTAAGATTATTCCAATCTCGTCTGTTCGAGATGTCCCTGGCTATCAACTATTTATTTAAATCAAAGGAACCTGGTGTATTGAGTTACATTGGTAATCGCTTGTTTACATTTGAAGAAGCTGATGTCGACTTCTATTTACCCCAATTGGTTGTTTTATATATAAACCATTCAGATATAGCTGATGCTTTGCATCCTTATTTTATTAACCGTTGCCGCTCCTGTCCTGAATTCAGCCTTCAATTGGCTTGGTTATTGAATGCTTTCTGTCACGATGCCTCTCCATCATCATCTTCATCACTCATCAGCTGCTCATCATCGGCTTCCATTCCAAAGTTGACCTCATCCGCTTCCATCTCATCATTCTCGTCTTTTACAACAAGAAATAGTCTGAAAAAGTCCCATGGAGTTAAGCTTAAAAATTTAATACTCAGTGAAGAGTTGAAACCTAAACAATCAACTTACAACAAGATAAACAACTTTACTGACAATTTAACCTCTCTGAGATCAACTAATTTAACAATTAGTAACGGTGTTGGCTCAGAAAAAATCAAAATTACTGGTGATAGTCCTACCAAAACAACTAGTTGCACTTCAAATGTGACTGTAAATGGGAACAGTAGCTGTTCTGACACCACCGACTCTTCTAACAATACAATCAATATTGAAAATCATCAAGACAACAGTGATAATTACAGCAAAAGTCAAAATAGACCAGACATTAATGTGACAGAATCATCTCCCGTAACCAAATCATTGAACCTGCCAAGAGAAATTTCTCATACTCTAGATTTTTCTAATAATTTGAATGGTCATTCAAACAACAGCCAATCTAAAACGGTGATATCAACCACAAACCATATCTCTTCGTCTCTTGTCCCATCTAGTAAAGTCAACTCGTTTAGTCTTTCATTAGCTTCATCATCCGCACAAATGTTATCACTCTCATCTGCAGCTGCTGCTCATGGAACTCTACGCAAAAGCCATCATAGATCTTATTCCGATGCAACAGGATCGTTACATAGTATTTCAAATTCAGGCCCCTCGTCAATTGCAGCATCACTGCTCAATCCTTCCAGAACTTTGGGTGATTTAACCTCTGGTCATGCTTTTGATAATGGATGTGTTTGTTTCAACAGCTGTGCCGGTGTTTGCAATGATTTGAGAGGTGAAAAAGTACTATGTCATTGCGGTGCTCCTCGACTCACAGCCGAATATGAGTTCATAAAATGTCTAATGTTGATTTCAACTAGATTACAGAAAATTGCATCCAAAGATGTTAAAACTCAACGTTTAATGGCCGAACTTTCCATTCTCAATCTTAATTTACCTGCTCGAGTCTGGTTGCCTATCTATTCATTCCGCCATATGATTGTAAGAGTACCTCCAGGAGCAGCGGTTCTTCTAAATTCTAAGGATAAAGCTCCCTATTTAGTTTACTTTGAAGCTGTTGAATTAGCTGGTGACATTAATTCAACTCCTTTACCAACTAAAGTTATCAATAGCTTACGGCAAACCCGATCAGAAGAAAATTTAGTTAATTATTGCTCTCGGCGGGATGCTGCTACAAATGGCGAAATACCATCAAAGTTCACCCTTTTTCCTTCAGTTGACAATCATTCTGATGACTGTTGGAGCCATGAAGATGATAACATTTGCAAACACTATTCCTCCTGCTCGGAGGAAGAAAAAGATACTTTATCACAATTATCATCACAAGAATCGCTTACATCAACTGAGGATATTGTTAAAAATAACAGTATTTTCATGGCTGCTAGTGATATTAGGAGAAGATTGTCTGAATCAGTCAATCAGCCTAAAACAAACTTTACTATGGATCCGGATGACCCGTCTGCTGCCTTTCTGAAAGAGCCGTTAGATGAGAAGGTTGCACGTATTCGAGAATCATCACCTTATGGGCATCTTCAAGGATGGAGATTAGTTGCTGCTATCATTAAATGTGGCGATGATTTAAGACAGGAAATAATGGTCCATCAATTTTTAGTGAATTTACAAAAAATTTGGGAAAAAGAACATGTTCCTCTCTGGTTACGCCCTTATAAAATTATGGTTACTTCAGCTGATCATGGAATCATTGAGCCTATCCTTAACAGCATATCATTGCATCAAGTTAAAAAACACTCCAAGATGTCTTTATATGAATATTTCCTCAAAGAATTTGGACCAACTAACAGTGAATCATTCTTAACTGCGCAAAGAAATTTTGTCCAGAGTTGTGCAGCTTATTGTATAGTTTCATATTTGATACAAGTTAAAGATAGGTAGGTTCAATGTTTAACAGATACTCAGTTCAATAAGGTTCAAAGTCTTATCTCTTATCTTAAATCTAAATTTGTTTAAATTTTATCTTTTTTGATTGAAGACACAATGGTAACATACTCTTGGATTCAGAAGGTCATATAATTCACATAGACTTTGGTTTTATTTTATCAATATCTCCAAAAAATCTTGGTTTCGAAAATTCGCCTTTTAAACTTACTCATGAATTCGTTGAGGTAAATATGACTTTGATAATCAAAAGACTTCAAACGTCTAATTACTGTTTGTTTATTTTACAGGTCATGGGAGGATTGGATAGTGATATTTTTAAATATTTTAAAATATTAATTTTACAAGGCTTAGTGGCAGCCAGAAAACACCACGATTGTTTGTTAACCCTGGTTGAGATAATTCAAGCTAATTGCCAATTACCCTGTTTCAAAACTGGTGCTAGCACGATAATGTCATTAAAGGATCGTTTCCATATTGGAATGACAGAGGAACAGTTGCAGCAATACGTCGAAAATATGGTCGAATCGAGCATCAATTCACTGACTACTAAAATTTATGATGGATTTCAATATTTAACTAATGGTATATTATAAATGGGCAAATGGTAATAAAGCAGATGATGCTGATTTCGTACTATCACGGGCAAGATATGACTAGATTGCAAGCAACCAAAAAAACAGACGGGATCAACCAAATCAAAATTGAAGAGAAAAATTATTTTAAAGAAACTTAAAAAGTTTCATTCTTTTTTACTCACAAAAGCAATGCTCTGTTTTTGCTCAACTTGTTTTGTTGTTCTCATTTTCTCTCATCTCTGTAAGAAAACATAAATTGCTTTCATCGTTTGTAAAATGTTCATTCATTTTTGTTACTGGAGCTAAAAAATGTTGAGCTCCGGAAACGAAAATGAATAACTAGCGAAAAACAAAGCATGAAAACAAAAATAAGTGAAGTGCCTCAATTAAATTGAAACTTTAATCATTGCAGTAAATTTTGTAAATTTTATTCAAATTATTTTCATCGATATAATTCTTTTTCTATCGAAATTTCTTTCAGGGTTGAATAAATCCAGTTGTTATTCGACCAGAGGAGTCAACACGTTTAACAGTAACCCCATTGAATGATTTAGCTTGACTATTTGTATTTGAAATAACCTTTGAATTCCCAGAACTAAATGATGATCCATTTTCATGGACAATATTTTGGCTGGTTGATGGTATAGACAATGATGAACTAGTTTTCGAGGAGGAAACTGTTGCACCATTGTTTTTGATTAATTGGTTATTGTTTTTTTCTTGAAGAGTTGCTTTGTTGCTTGTGCTAACAATTGATTGCTGTTGAGGTGCAGCAGTACCATTCAACGATAAATCATTCAATGGAGATACTTTGGTTGGTGATGCTGGCTTCATGGGTTTAGCAAATGAAGGTTTTCGCTGTTGATTAACAGCTCCATTTGGTAGAGGACCTTTCTGATTGTTTGTTTTCATTGGTGGTCTATTGACAACTCGATGTCTATCTGCTTTATTTTGTACCTTTCCTTTCGCCTGATTTGATGGAATCAAAGGTCCAGCAGTACGGAAAGTTTGAATCACTTGTCGCTGTTCACCAGGTTTATTTTCATCAATCTTTTGAACTTGAACTGTAACTTGGCCTTGGCTTCCATCTTTACCCTCGGAAGAAGTTGATGTTACCTTGAATCCATTGCCTTTAAGGCCATCGGTGAAACTATTGAAAGAAGGGAATGAAGGCATTGGTGGAAAGGATGGAAAAGGTGAATAAGGAAATGCACCAGAGGAAAAGCCACCACCAAAGGGCGATACAGCCTGTGGAGCGGGAGAGGGAGAATATGAATTTTGGAATGGGGAAGAAGCCAATGTAAAAGCCGAATTGAATGGATCATTTGAGGAATATGAAGACGCATAAGGTTGACCAAAGGGAAAATTTGAGAATGATGAACCAAATGAAGGGAAACTTTGAAATGGTGAAAATGATCGGAGTGCAGATAGAGGGGAAAAGGTAGAAAAGATGTTCCCTGTAAAGAAAGAAAATATTATTCAAATCATTCCCGAAATCGTATCTGAAGAGTCGTTAGATAGTCTAGCTCTAAATTATAACACCAGTGTTCAACTTAATCATGCAAATTTTGTGATAAAAACATATTCATACTCATTGATTGAATTGCTAGCACACAAAGTCAATTACAGTCAGTTAACATAAAAAAATTGTATTTCTTGGTAATCGACTTTACTTGTTACATTACCTAAACCTAGGTTCATTTGTTGAATAGCAATGTTAAAGAAATGCGAAAATATTAATCACAGTATGAGATTTCAGAACAATATCCAGATTGTTGAACAATAATTTGGTTGTGAATTATGTGTGATTCAAGCTTACCTGATGAAGCCGCAAATAGGGCTGACAAAATGACCACAAAATATAAACTCATTCTGTTGATTATGATTGAAGATTTTTCAATTAGTCGGAAATAATTTGAAGGAATTGTTAGGATAAACTATTCACAACGAAGCAAAATTAGGATACTAACTGTATCAAACACAACAGATAGACTAATCATAATCTTGTCTTATTACTGCGTAAATTGGCGACCTTTATCAACATTGATTAATGACCTATTCAATTGAACAATGAAATTAATTGTTGTTTTGCTGTTTCAAAGGATGCACAATTGCATCTGTTCAATAATATTTGTATGCCTAACACAATGTTGCTTGTAAAGTTGGAATTGTTAGCTTAATAATGATTGAAATGATAAACCAATCAATTAATCAATAATCAAATCTGATTTATGTGAAAATATCAACAATTGTCAGATTAATCTGTTTTCAGGTCAATGCAATGATAATCAGCATTTTGATTACAAAACAAAATGAAACAAACCGTTTTGCCAAAATTGAGATTTTAAAGCAATCCAAAGTAATGAAAATAAGATTTATTTATACAAGCTTTATTAACATGATTGTTAACGATTTAATTTGCTTTCTTCAATATGTTAAGCAATACGATGGTGTTTTAATTTGAACAAATGATCACTAACCTGATAATGATTGACTCCATGAACAATTCAAGTGTAAACATTACGGAGATGAGCTGATTTATACAGTAATTGTGCCTTTTCCCTTTTTAATACTAACTAATACACAAATAGAGTTTTAAATGGGTAAAAATTAATCACAAACAAACTGGTTTTATTTAACCAAAAAGCAACACACACACAAAACTGATCATATAATCATTCCATTAGTATTAAGTGTTATCCTTAACACCAGTAAAGACAATAATATATCCATTAGATTGCTTTGTTCACGGTGAAAAATCATCATCATCTAATGAAGAGATAGTAAAATTAAGGAAATATAATAATAACAATCAAGAGTAGTAGCAATTGAAAATTTATCCGTATTAATGAAACAAGTGGTACTAATGTTGAAAGATATACCAAAATCAAATACAGCTGTAACTGTTTCCCTTTTCCGTTGAAGCTTGAGTAGCTTTTTTGGTAAACCCTTTCACTATAAACTGATGGGTTTCAGGTAGAAACTATTAGACCCTTTTTAGGCCGATAATGTAACTTTATTTAGGGAAATCCGATTCATCCTCTCAATTTAGAAGCACAATCTTAATTTATGATAAAAACTTTAATGAGCGTGTAGTTATAAAAAAAACGGTTTGCCCATTAACAAGTGAAAGTAAAATCAATAAAATTGAAAGTGACAATCACATAGATTGATATAAATTGGCATCTTTGTCGTTCATGCTGATCATTTGGCATATCATCGAGTGTAAGTAAACAACAACAATTCAACAAAAAACACACAATATTGAGAATCTGTCACAACTTTACAATCGGATATTTACAACTTTAACCTGCAGCTACTGTTTATGCACATTTAAAATTGTTTTTTTGTATTACTCTTGTTAAGACAAACTTTAACCAAAACCAAGGAAAAACTGTTAATTTTGTGGTTTTTTGATTCCGTTCAACATGTGTTTAATACGTTTGTACCTTGACTGTGTTTAGTTGTGAATACACTCATGGATATCAATGATTGTTTGAAAGAGTTAAATCATCATGGATACATTAGTGAACAAATTACTCTCAAAATACTATTAATCAAGCTACCGATTAACCAGAGCATACTAAATGCTGTGTCCAACAAACAAGTTTATTGGATAAAAGTTTATATGAGATATGTTATTCTCATTTCTTCTTGGAATCACACTTAAATTGGCTCAATTAATCATGATTTCGTGTAATGATGATTGTGGTGAGTATGGTTATCGAAATTTATGAAAATTGAAAAAAGACTGACAGAGTTTATTTCAATATTATATATTTAAACTCCAATGATAGCAAATTAGGCATTTTTAAGCTTATGAATAGTCCTTTGATTGGTTGTGAGTTGGTTTCTAGTTATGTTAATATTTTTAAGTTTAAAGGATAAATTAACAATTGGTTTGTAGTGATGGACCAAAAGATTTCTGTGTTTTGATTTTTCTGTTTCTAAATATGCTTATTTTTTCCAGAATGCGGCATTTCAGAAGGTGCTCAGAGCCGAATTTTCATGGGAAAAGAAGCGACACCCAATAAGTACCCATGGATAGCTCATATAAGGTATGGATTTGATTTTGAAAGACACTCTAGAAACTGATTTTCTGATTGCGATCTTGTCGTTTGTTTTATTTTTTAAGGTTTAAATTAAACCAACATGACTCGAGATATGTTAAATGTGGTGGAAGTTTGATTGACAATCAACATGTAATGACAGCAGCTCATTGTATTTTTGATGAATTTGGAATATTACGTAAAAGGAAACTGACTGAAGTATATTTGGGTGCTCACAGTATATCAAAAGATTTGGAAAATAAACACAGCGTTTCCAAGTTTATTTATGACAAACGGTTTGACATAACAGAGCGAAAACTTGACTTTGACTTTGCAATTCTTAAATTGAGCAAGCCTGTTCAATTTAGCGAAGATATTTATCCAATTTGCATTCCTGATGCCAAAATTAAAGACTATGAAAGTCTGATTGTTGCCGGTTGGGGTAAACTATCGGAGATTGAAGGTGCACCTGATAAATTAAATGAAGTTGAAGTGGATTTCATTGATAGTAAGTATATTTCATTGATTCAACACCATCTGTACTTTTTTTTATCAAATGTTAATTTATTTTCCTCCTCCCATCAGATGAAAGATGCAACAAAATGAATTATGAATTTACTCTACGAGTCCGAGGTGTTGTTGAAACTTACCCTGGTGAATATGCAAGTTTAGTGACACCAATCCATGAAAGCCATATGTGCGCCATAGATGTAACTACCGGCGGTGGTTCTTGTATTGGTGACTCTGGTGGACCATTAATGTACAAAAACCCTGAGAATCATCGCTGGTATGCGGTTGGATTAGTGTCTGGAGGATACGGTGTTTGTGGTAACATAAATATACCAACTCTTTATACCATTGTTGCCAAATACAAGAAATTTATTCAAAAATATGCTCCCGAAAGTCAAATTTGCAGCATATAATTTTCAATGGCAATCAATCAGCTACGAATTATTTCCATTAATCTGAGTAAAAATTACAAAATAAAAAAATTGTACACAAATAAATAACGAAAAAACAAAACTTGTTAAAATTAATAGCTTTGGCATATCAACATAATTATACAAATGAACAAAGATCACGAATAACAATTTTACTTGATTGAAATTAGTTTAGAATGATATTCCATTTCTTTAAGCTTGGTTTCCAATTCTTCACACTTTTGTTCTAACAGAAGATATTCTTTAACCAATTCTGCTTTAGACATTGTGCTTATCCTTTCTGCATGAATGTTTTCATAGGTTTCAAAAAATTGTCTCTGATCAAAATCTAGCTCATCATCAGGCGAACTATAAAAATCATCGGACGACACATCATCAGAATTTTTGCGAGATGGTGTACTATCACTCATACACCTTCTTCGATAGTCTCCTCCACTGGGAGTGATGCTTCCTGTGATAGAATGGTTTCCTTCAGAGTTGACATCTTTAAAGTTATTGTTGACAGCAGCGGCCACTGCATTAGCTTTCAGATATCTATCAATTTGTTCAAATTCAGGTTCTCTCACATTATGGTCATCCATAAGAAACTGTGTTGTATTATAGGGTGCTAAAGGTTGGCCCAAAACGTGCATACGAAGGTTTAACCACTTGTTTTTCCTGCTTTCCAAATCATCGAGTCGACTACTTTTACTAAACGATCGGCTGAATCTTCTTCCGTAAGGTCTCCAACGACGTCTCCATTCACTGCGCCTATGACGACGAGTCCTTAAATCATTGTTAACTTTCCTTTCAACAGAATTGGTAACATTAATTTTACCTTTATCTTCTTCCTTGATACTAATTCCGGTGGTTAAATTTTTTCTGTTTATCTTGGTTAATTGGGTTAACGTTCTTTCCTGGCTATTTACAACTTGGCTGACAATGTTAAAAAGTGAAGTTTCATCCACGGTCATCAGTAAAAAGACTTTTTCTTTCCTCATATTGTCAAGAATATGATTAAAGTTGTCTATCTCCTTTACTTTTTCCAAAATTTCTTTAGAGTCACCTTCTTTGATTAACTTTTCATTCTCTTTAAGAAATTCTATAACGTTCAGATACTCGGGAATTAAATTTCTAGGTGTTTCAGTACCTAAAAATCACAATAAAAGAAATTTAAAACAAAATAAAAAAAATAATTAAAAAAACAATCAACAATTTACGGATGAAAAAATATCTTTAGCTGTAAACATCATTTTTAGGATTACTAAAGTTTTGGATAATTTGTCAATACATGACTCCGTTTATTTTAGTACAAACCTTTTGCTCCCTGGGATCGAGAACCAATGTTATTGGGTCTCATTGTTTGTCAAAACGTCAAGCTCCCAATGATTTGAGTGGCCTTGATGGTTAAGGTGAATAACTGTTGAGTTCAAATAAAAAGCAACGCTGGTCAATAGAAAAAAAGAAGAATAAGTTGTTTTCAAACAATTTAAAAGTATCAATTTTGATTATAACTCATCGAGAGGGGAAAAATAGTGACATGATTACTGGTAAATAAGTTTACAGGGTGATACACAAGGTTTTTAAACTACAGAGTGGTTTAATAAGTTTTGCAGTAAACTAATCCGAACTGTTTCAACTCAACACAAAAACAAATCTGACTCGAAAATTTTCTCTCCTTCTTTAACCAAGCGCAACTTAAGTCCATCCCACTTCATCCAACTCACTCTTTACTAAAGCGATGCGCAGTGCTGGTCTACGCGTGGGGGTAATACGGATATTTGCCCCTTTATCAGCATCCGCTTATTTGTTTACCATTTTAGCGGTTTATAATAACCGATTGATCTATTTTTATAAGCTTTTATTAACCAAGTTACTTTATCTTGCCATCTCTTGGAGAACATCGAAAACGCTGTTTTTCATTTTTTTTTGTTTTTTTGTCATTGTTCAATTGTTTACTTTTTGGCTTTGGTATTTAATACCATTTGGCAACTATGTGAATAGGTTAACATCGTGTTTATTAATTTAATTAGTTTAACTTATTACCATTGCTATTTTGGTTTTTTATTCGGGGTACAATGGGATCCACATTGTTGAAAGAAATAGAAAGTGGAAGAATGTATCGAGACGCTGTAGACGGTTTTTTTTCCTTTAAATGACCACGGATTTATGTAACCGAGGTTATTTGGTAATTTGTTTTTCTCCTTTCTCAAAGGCTAACAAAGAACCTTAACTGAGTGAACAAGAAACAGCTATAGTAGACTCGCTGGTTTTGAGCTGCTTTGTTTCTGACTGTAACGTCACTGATTCGCAACCAATAATATCAACATTTTGGTTTTGTTACTAACCACTTTGTTGTTACGTTTTTGGGTATCTATTTTACATTTTTATATTATTCCCTTTCTTGGTCCATATTGGGCTTTTCACTTTTCATCTAGGAAGAAGCAAGTAAATGTAATAAACATTATGGCCTTGTCTTGATTTATAAACATAAATCTGTTGAGAGGAGAGTAGAGTTTGTCTAATTATTGACAAAATGGTTTCTCTTTTACATATATTTTAATAAACAAGACTAATTAGCAAAATCAGAGGCTAATGAATGCACTATTCATTTATTCATAATGATAAAAACAGAGAGAAAAATGTCCTGGATATTTGGCATAAGCTTTTCTCATCATCATTATCAATTTCTTGCTGCAAGATATTTCACTTTATGATTAGGTTTCAAAGGAGCCATAACGATGATTTCATTAAGTGTTGGATGACACTATTATGTGACCAATTTAGCTGAATAGCTTGAGCTCTTATGAGATTATAATAGTTATTTTTTTTCGCTATCAGATTATTGGCTTTATGTATCTTCCATGGTCTTGATACATTAGCCTTCTCCCACTCACCTAATAAACACAATCATTCAAAAAATCATCCATCTTATAATTGAAATATATTCAACCTTGGTATGTTGATAATGATACAGGAAAACATGTAATTGTAACCTTAACAGAATGTACGAGTAAACTTGGCTAAATGATTAAGAAATGATCAACAAAAAATATATACATTTATGTATTTACCAATTTATTTGTTGGTCTGTATAAAGTTAATAATTGGTGTTTTGTAGACTATCTTGCTTCCCATATGATTTACAAAATTTACACTTTATGATTGTTTTAATTTTAATTTCCTCAATTATTTTTAAATCATCACAGGCTTTTTTATATTAATGAGAATGATGAAAGTAACTTTGATTGATGAGCTTTTCACTTGGAAAATGTCATTTTCCCTTTTTCTTCAACGTATTCAACTTAACAGCTGATATCTTCACTTTGTTGGGTAGATTACGTCCAATATCTTGATCTTTTGAATTTTTAAGCAAATCTTTCTCCCTTTGAGATATTGTTTTATCAGCAAGAAATACTGCCAACGCCGTCTTCGCTGATTTACCCCGTTTACTGGTCCCTGGCAATACTTTTACTTTAAATTTATAATTAGAGAGAGCAGTATAGGGAGCTGTAACTGGTATAGTGTAGAGAAGGACATCATCAGGCAAAGGTTGGCCAGTCAAAGAATTTATCAGATTAACGTGTTCAACTATTTTATTAGTTGGGCCCTCTTCATCATCATCATCATCTTCTTCATCTTCTTGCTCATCTTCGTTTTCAATGTCATTGGATAACTTTTTTTCTCTCTCTTTTTCCATTGATTCTATTCCATTTTCAGCACCTTCATTTTCATCTTCGCCATTCTTGGACTTGGAGGAAGATACTTTGATTGCCACCTTCTTTTTATCAAGTTTACTTTTCTCCTTTGATTGGGACAAACTATCCTTTTCCTGTTTATTTTGATGATTCTTTTGACCTGGACTTTCATTGTTACTCTTAGAAACCTGCAATTGTTCTCTACCTTCCCCATCGTCACCACCATCAACATCATTAATATTATTATTGCCACTTTCATTTGATTGGTTGACTCTATTCAGTTCCATACCATCCATTTGTCTGATAATCGGAGCAGAGCCAAGCAAATTTAACTTGAACATTCTGTCTTCTTCATCTTGATCTCCATACTTTTCTCTAATCTTTTTCAGCTTGTACCGTTGACCTCTCTTCAAAGGTTGATTCTGATTCTTATTTGTTGTCTCTTTCTGTTGTTGTTGTTGTTGTTGTTGTTGTGGTTGATGATGATTCTTGTCGGCTAACTGTCTATTAGATTGTTGTTGAACATTCTGTAGTGAATTTTGAGTTGACGCCTTCTTAACTTCATTACGTTTCTTTTTCAGTTGTGCTTGAAATTTCATCCTTGGTATCTGAGAGCCTGTTATTTCAACCAGTTTATCCTCTTCATCCTCCTTCTTAACCTTCTCATTTTTGCTTTCACCACCAGGATTAACATCTGATTCATCAGTTGCCTGAGCAATGTTCTTTATTTTTGTATCAGGAAAAGTATTACCAGCCTCATTATCCCCAGGTTCATCTTCATCCTCACTATCTTCTATCTTTATCTCAATATCATTAACGGAATCGGTGTCAATAGAGTCACTTGTTGAACGAATCCGTCTTTCTGATTTATGGTTTTCCATAGAATCTTCATCTAAACGAAATAAAAATCCGAAGCCCATAACCAATTGAGCCATTGGCAGATAGTTCTTTTTACCTCTGATCATGAACGCACCAACAGTTAAATATTCACCAGAAGGAGCTGTCTTAGAAACTTGATGAGAATGAACCCACCAGGAACGACTTGAAAATTTGTTTTCCCAAGCTGAAGAATAACAAACAGCCATAATACCAGCTTCTTGAACAGTTTTAGGAGGAATTGGTTCAGTTGGAATATGATTTTTAATTACAACTGATGAGGCACCATGAAGATCAGCGTGAACATAGATATCTCCTTGCTTAAGATACTTTTTGACAATAAGCTCATTTTGTTGGGCATCACGTCCTCCGATAACCAAATAATTTTCAGAAGATATAAACCAGAAAAATTTTTCAAACCACAACACCTTGCGAGCTTTAGTAATCGATGTTTTAATGGCTACCTCTTTTAACGCTTGTTGCGTTTTGTGTTCAGCACTTTTTAAAGCTTTAGATGAACTCTCTAGCGTCTTTTGCTCTTTCTTAGCAGCATGTCGTTTTTGATCATAGTATCGTCGAGCGTTGGCAAAAGCTGATAAATCTAAATCAATATCAACTAAATCGGAAAGCTTACTGGTTTCTTCATCATCAAATGGATCAGAAAGTAACATTGTAAATTGGTTCTTCTCTAATTTAAGTCCTTTAATTGCACAGGCAACAACGTCGTCTCTCAACTGAGCTTCCTTGATTAAAGCTTTTATCTCTTCCCAGCTGATTTGATTTGCAATAGCTGACCTCATAATGAGTAGAGCTTTTTCAACCAGATCTTTATTCATCTCAATGAGGGACGCTTTCCTTTTATCTATTTCTTGAAGAGATGCCAACTCTTGTAATCTCTTTTCATGGTCCTTTTTCACGTTCTCCAATTTTTTAAGAGCTTCTTTCTCTTGTTGAAGGGCTCTTTGATCAATCTTTTGCCCTTCGATACTTGAGAAATAAATATCCACTGCTTTACCAAAGGTTTCAAATTCAATATATTTCAGCTTGGTTGAAAATTTGTGCTGATTAAACAGCATTGGGTGAAATTCAGTGTAAGTTATCACAGTTTTTGGACTTTCTTTGATATTTTTATCATTTGTATTAGCTTGACTAATCTCCTCCTTGTGAATTATAATCCCTTGATGGTTATCAATTATTTCAGCAAGTATTTTTGATGCTAGTGCAAGAGCTTCTTCTATTTTATCATAGTCGGCTGTTTTACTTGAATCTAATTTCCAATTTTCAGGGAATCCAACTTCCATAAAACAATGCTCCAATAGAGCCGTTCCAAAGATTAATCTAGGGTTAAAAATTTTTCGCAATGTATCACCAGGAGAAGCTGCTTGAATCAGTGTTATTATTTCACTTTTATTTGGAAGCTGTTATTACAAATAAATAAAACAAAATTTAGATTAGAAAATCGAAATGTTTGATGGAAAAAACTACAAAAACTGTTAAATAAGTTGTGTCTGTTATGACAGAAAACACACTTCTTTGCTGATCAAATATACAGAAAATATACAGTTTTGCATGTGAGAAATTCTGGAAAATCGTGAGATAATCGTATCCGCTAATAAAATGATTCTCGATCATCTTGGTACTCTGACTCTAAATCTAGAACAAAGCTTATTTAGAATAATCTGTTTTGTTATTAGATAATGCAGGAAAAAATAAACTCAGCAGTTAAAGAAATGCTGAAGTAGAGCGATCTATTTCAAAGAGTTGTAGGATATTTTTTTCCTCCATTGATTTTCATCATATTTTTTGCCCTAAACTTGCGTTTTTTTAATCACAATACTAATTTGAACTCGTGATAATTACTATTTTTATATAATCAGAGAGGAATGGGAATGAGAATTATCATACCTTGTAGTCATAAACTGCAGTATGAAGTGGATAAACCTCTCTAACCATTACTTTAACATCATCATTTTCTCCTGGTTTCCTTGATCTAAGAAGATTCAAGATGACATATTGATAATCTGTGAAAATTATATTTCCCCTGTCGTAGAGCTCAATGATGATATGATAAGCTGCTTCATTGATGCCAAATTGAATGTCCACCACTCTGTCAATACCAACTTGCTTGATATTTTCAATCCTTTTATTTCTCAAGTGCTTCCTCAATTTTAAAGTAAAACCAGAACAATTGGTATTCTTAGGCCAATCGTATTCACTGACATGCAATCGAATACCACTTTCAATTAGAAGAACCAACTTATTTATCTCAGGTGTATCCTCGTTTGGATTGTCTTTAAGTCTAATTAGATACGTTTTAGCATCGATATCATGAATTTGATGAACCCGATAACCTTTAAGAGTACGATTTAACTCAGGAACAATTGATACAATGTCCAAAGTGGTGAAACGGTTCTTCATTGGTGACCTATAACGCAAATCACTAATACTCTAAAACAAATTAAATCAATTATCAAAAACTAAACCAAACACAGATGTAAACAACAAAGCCGTATACATATACAGATGTAAAATCATGCACAAAAAAGAAGGCTGTACTAAGCATTAAATGTGATGATTATAGCGCTCAATACAAAATTGCAATTTTCTCATCACAATGTAATAACAATGTTATTTCATTAAATAAATAAAATTTAATCAGTAAATTTTCGCTATTCCTTGTACACTTTCCTGTGCAGTTTCAGGATAGAGTTAAACCAAAATTAAGGCCATATGCTAATGAGTAAGTTCGAAGACAATAATGAATCTGTACAGTCGATGAAGCTATGAAGCTAAACAAAACAATAATTTGGAAGCTGGATAATCTACATATGAAAATATTAGCAGAAATTTTTTATTTACATAAATTTTGAAGCCCGATACGTTTATTAAAGTATGAGAAATTCAGGTGCATGAATAAAGCTATCATCTGAACAATTGACATGGAATGAGACCACGTTGTGTTCTGTTGAACACCAATAGGTGGCTCTAGTAGGTAGAGATTTACTGAATGAAAGCTCGAGCATAAAAACTGTCACTTATATTTTTCGATACCATGAGTTGGTTATAATATTTTTCATTTTGATATTTTAGGAAACAATGGATCCATGTTTCATCTTGTGATTGTTATGTTTGGAAGATCCAATTCTTGTCTCATGTACGTTTATGGACCATTCTAGATCAATTATCGTTCACAGGGAAAAATAAGTCAAAACTGAATCATTTTTGCAGTGAGAAAAACTATGATTATTTGAAATGATTGTTAAAATCCATTATTAATGTGATTCATTTTTTTCAAAAACAACATGAAAAGCTGATTGCAAAATGTTCAAAACGATCAAATCAGACCAGCTTTGCGTATCTTTGATTCGCCAATGGATAAACTAAAATTTCGACAAGTTTAATTTCATTGGGCTAATTGCAAGTTAAGGATTGAACAATTTATGTTTTTTAGTCTAAATTTGGGACTTGCGTCTAAAAAATAAAATTCAGCCAAATTGAATTCGAATTTTAACTAATCAAATCTAAAACGAACTTACAGACTCACTTTATCGATTTCAGTAAATACGCTGTGCAGATTGGCCTTAATTTGCTATTTGTGCTTGTTCAAGCTAAAATAAACTCACAATATTGTCAGAATATTTAAAAATGACTGAAAAATAATACTAAAGCAAAATCATGACCATTTTTGTCCAAAGAAATTCAGCTTAGAATCACGATGTAAATAGTGATAATACATTTCTGTTCTCTGTGGTATTTTGGCAAAAAATCACCGTTATTTAGACGAAATCAGTTGGTTTTTTCCTATTTCGCTCTTGTTTTCCGCTGATAATGATTTAATATTTGGGAATTTTTCACTCGAAGGAATATGCAATAGCCCTGATTGGTAATGATTAGAAAATCAGTCGATAAATTTTTGGATTATTTTATCAAAATAGTTCGATATTCACTGCATGAGAGATATACTAGATGTAGCAGTTTAAATCCACTTTTAAAAGACTATTTTTTCATGATGAAAAAAGATGAGTGCATTTAAATTGCCCATAAATGGCAAAAGGTACTTAAGATAAGATTACTCATGAATATGCCGTAATTCACTTTCGATTTCACCTTTCTATTCAAACCTGGCCTGACAATTTCAAATTTTAAAAGTAAACTAAACGACACCTCTACTCACTAACTCATTCATGTATCTATTTTCACCATGAAAAATATTCTATCAAAAATAGGAATAGCTCTGAGCATCAACTAGTATTTATCGGTCAAGAGGTTTGAATCTTTCTGGTATTCATCCACTTAATACACATTGTATTACAACACAATTGATGAAAGAGTGAAGATTTTTATTGCTAAAAGCGAAACCTTAAAGCGCAAAGTTTCAGAACAACTCGTCGAAATCAAGAGAACTATCGATGAATCGAAAAAGTATCGGATCATTAACATTAGCCAATCTCTTATTTCAGTGAAAATTGAGTTTGTTCATCTACTACCAGCGCCCACCAGACTCCCACCAACTGTTAAAGTCAATGTTTGTTGGCTAAACTCCTTTATTTTATGTTAATGGTTTGCTTTTAAGTTTAATTGTCATTAGTTATAGAGGATGATTTGTGTTAATTAACAATGAGTTTGGAAACAAGAAAACAAAAATAAAGGTAAAAAGCTGATGAAGAGCCTTAACATGAAGGAAAAGAGCAAGGTGATGCTTCGCGTTTCTGGGTCACTAAAGCAATACTAACTTCCCTTTCACTAATTGAGTACTCGAGGCGTGATCAGAATCGCTCACCAACATCATGATCATCATCGTTTTCATCTTCTTCTTAATTTTGCTCAACTTTAAATTCAATCATCTTCTTTTGGAATCATCATAATTTTATCAAAATTTTCAACAAAAAACAAATCTTGAGCAACTAACCTTAGGTCTTTGACCTGTTATCTTACCTCACCTAAATATTTCAATTTAATATCAATATGTTTTGTTTAATTATACCATCATCAACTTGAGCATCACATCATAATCCTGATCAGTGAGAAAGTTAAATAAATGAAAGCCCTTGAGCGTAATTGAAGCAAATTCATCTTAACTTTCACTCTCACAAGACTATCCATCTTGACTGAAACAGCTTACACGGGAACTCGATTACCAATTATACATTATTTAATCATAAAAGCAATACATTGAAAAGTCAATCAATTTTCATCTCAAGTTGATTTCAAAATGAAATCACCTTTTTGTTGTTGTCCAGTAATGATATTAATTTTAAGATCAAACTTAAAGTGTATCAACTGTTGCCAATTTGACCCTAGAAGCTGAGTAACTGATTTATTCAGGTTATTCATCTAACAATCTTATTCAATTTCCCTGTCAAATTTACATTCATTAATACGTTCATCCATTTATCAATCATTTTTGATTGGTTAACATGTGTTAACATCAACTTCAAGATCAATTGTTAACATTTAAATATCCATTTTCATGCAATTCATATGTTAATTGGACAAAACATTTGATATTGACAATTTGATCTCAATTTATAATCGTGTTTCAAACTGTTTCCATGTTGAAAGGCGAGTTATTCAGTGGCAACATGGGAAACATTTGAACAATCAAAGGTTTGGTCAATCAGGTGAACCTGTCAACAATTGCCTTTATCTTGTCCGATTGTCTTCCAATTGGACATAATTAATGCGTGTTCAACCATCTTTAACCATCATGCAAGGTAAAGGTAAAATTGTTTGGCCAAAGTAACTAATTTGATTACATTTTACGTGATCAGTTTATTAATGTTTACGTTGAAAATTAGTGTAAATCAACTCAACAAGCCAATTTGATTGACCTTGGTTAATGTGCAAAAATGATTTAACACTACAATTAAACAATGAAGCTAATTGTTGACGAAAGATGGTCAACTAGACAATGATTATCCCAGACAATTGTATCCCTGTATTATGATTATATGTTGCCCAGTTTAACAAGGTTAAGCTAAATAAATGTAATTTACATTTGGCTACAATTAAAGATCAAATCAATTGACCATTGTATTAAATGTATGAAAGATTGAAATTTAACAAAAATATAAACATTGTTATATGAAAGACACAATAATGAGCCATTATTAGGAAGACAACAATGAAATATGAAAATCTATTTAAGGTTTGATCAACATCTATTATTGACCTGAGCCAATGTCAAAGATGAGATGCTTTTCATTCAAATTTAGCCTTTAGTCCATGATAAATGAGCCTGAATGAATGACCATTGTCTATTGACTATTATTAAAATAGTAGAGACTATTAATCAACTAAACCGACTGAAGATTGTTATACAAAGCTGTTGGCTCGATCTGTTTATCATTGATCTAAACCCAAATACAATTATAAAATTGAGTCCAAGTTAACCTTATTACATGGGAATAGTTGCCTTGGATTGATGCTGCCCATTGAAACTTGAATTTCAATCGTTAAAGTCAATTTTAACTTGCAATTCAACTTTCAGATTAACAATTTACATTGTGATTGTCACCAAAATAACAAGTTTAATTTCAAGGTTTTTGCTTAAGGCGCATTAACACTAATCAATACACCAATTAATCCATCTAACCAGTTATTTGTTGTTAATTAAAAGTTAATCTGAGCCTCGATCTAAGAATCATTCTGGAGCGTCTTGAAATCACATTCTGTGATTGAACATGCCTTAGCCAATGTTCACATATCCTTCAAGCTGACCATTGCTGTCTTGATAAATTGCAATCTAAATTATATTGTAATGATGAATTCAATTGTAAACATAATTGTAAATGTTATTTTAAATATATTTGTAAAATAGTTTCATTTTAGGTAAGTTAGATACTTGTATTGATAGGTTTTGGGTCATGGACAAGTAAACATTATACAAGATTGTGTTTGCAGGCAAAGAGGACGATGAAGACGATAATGATGATGATGTTGTTGCTCATTACGATTAAGTTGATGATGATGACGATGAAAGAGAGGATAAAAGGTGGAAAGAGAGTAAGAAATAAACTGAGGGAGTTGATAATGTCCGTTATTTCATTAGCTTGTCTGCTTTTAAAACAACATTTTCATTTCTTTCTCCCTCTTTTTTTGACTCACTTATATTTTGTGGTTTCAAATAATCTTCATTTTGTTTACCTTTATATCTTAACCGTTTTCAAATTGCTTACTTCTAGTTGATGCTTTGATTTGGTTGATTAAAATTAGCGAACCACAAAGCCACTGTGAACATACACTCCAAATTCAACATGAAATTATTATTTGTCTCAGCTGTTTGTACGCTTCTGCTGATCTCATGTAAGTTACATTTTTACGCTTTCTGTTCAATGTTTATAATTTATTTTATTCAATATCGTTAAATCAGTCTAACCTTTTCCTTTTCTTGCTGACACTTTGTTTACCAAATGATTAGGTATCAATGGTCAACGAGCAACACCACAATTTTCATACCAACAGCCACCACAACCTCAATCATCACCACAATTAGTTAACTTTCAAAATTATCAGCCACCAGCTCGTAATGATCGTAATGATCGTAATGATCGTAATGAAGATCAAGGTGCTCGATTACCATCTCAACCCTCATCATCATCATCATCACTTCCAATTTCCTCATCAAATCGTTATGAGGAACCACCACAAATTGCACCAAGACCCCAACCAGGTCCAGTACGATCCTCATCACCTGATCCAAGACCAACCTTAACATCTTCCAATGGAGGAGGAAATTTTGTTTGTCCAGAAAAATCAGGTTTCTATCCTCACCCAAAAAGCTGTGATAAATACTATGTCTGTGAAAATGGTACAGCCTCTTTGAAAGTCTGTGGTAACGGTTTAGTTTTTGACGATGCAGACTCACTTCGAGAAAACTGTGCTTATCCATTCTCAGTTGATTGTGGTTCCAGAACTGAGTTAGGTACGTAAACTGCAACCCAAATCACAAACCCAAATAACCATAAAACACCTCTAAATGTTTCCTCTAACCTGATACAAGTGAAATATCAATAAATTGTATATTGAATCCGATGAAAAGTTGCCCTGAAACGTTTTGTGTGTCAATTGAAATTTAATTTCACTTTTGCTTATTTAGATTATCGATTTTCTCCTCCTAAATTGCATCGATATCACCTTGTTCATGTTTAGGAAATCAATTTTAGGCCTAAGGCCAGGTTGAAAGTTTTTTGTCTGTCGTTCAACTGAAGCCAATGCTTTCACGCTGAGACACTATTCAAGGTGGAGACTGTGAAAAAATTAGGTTTACTTTTTAAGATAAAAGTTGATTCCTTATTCAAACCTCCAGGCATACAATAATTAACTTACCAAGAGATGAACATATTGACACTAAATTAAAGTAGCATCTAGAAATGAACAGCAAAATTGTCATCTTATACTGTTAAGGAAGCTTGCTGTGACTTGACTTCAGGTTTATAATAATGATAATGAATAAATAATGATGATGTTCAGGGTGAATATCCGGTTCAAATGTAATTTCAAAGCCAATATATTCAATTGATTTTGTCTTCTAATTTATTGATGACTTGTTGATGGCCTCGATCCCAAATCACTTTCACCATCATCCACTCATATTATTAATAAGCATTATTAATTTATTCAATCAACGCTCATTAATGTGTTGAGTCCAGAAAAGAGTTAACAATCCCTCAAAGTAACAATTATATCAACAATTAATGTAATATATTGATGGCAATAACTTGAATTGAAAAAATATTGCCATCATAATTTTGACTTTCCTTGTCTTCAGATAAATGAAACTCTGATTTCCTTAAAGATTGGTCTCCATCTTTTGGTGTTTACTCAATTTTTATTGATTAATTTTCATTTCCTTACAGAACCACCAATAAGCACTCCTAATTGTCCTCGATTATTTGGTATTTTTGCTCATGCAACTGATTGTAAAATATTTTACTCATGTTGGAATGGTGAAGCTTCCAAGTACGAGTGTCCACCAGGCCTTGCCTATGATGACCAACAACGTGTCTGTGTTTGGGCTGATGCAGTTGACCGTTGCAGTCAATTAGGTAAGTTAAATATATTTTCATTTATATTCATTACAATCATTAAGAGGGTAAAGTTTATCCTTAAACAAGATTGGCCGACAATCAAAATAAAGTTGAGATAATATTAGACTTTTTGCCTTATTTTTGTACATTTTTCTTATTATTATGTTAATAATTTTGGCTATTTTTGCACCTTTTTGACATTTACTTTTATATTTACGATTTTATTTTAATTTATTAATTTTCCATTCTCTTCTTCTTCTGATTGTGGATTCATCAAGACTCTTCTGTTGTTTTCCTGGTTCAGTTCAATATTTCCTGAACAAACAGTTTAGTCTTTTTGTGATTTATCAGTTATCTGTTAGCTGATTAAAGCTAAAATTTGAAGAGTTTATTATTAAATTAACATGCATAATTAACTTAATCATTGAATCAATAAGGCTAACGTGTACATGTTAGGTCCTTCCTTCCTCCTCACCGCAAAATAGAGACTATTGTCTGTATAGTCTTGATTCACCTTATTTAATTATTTCTAATTAAAGTATCTCATTTGTTTCTTTTCATTAAATTATACAAACAATCGTGTATTGTTGAAGATGAAATTAATAGATGGCCATCCATTATAATTAAATTACATCTAAAATTAAAAGGGAGTTTTATTTTTATCCCAAAACAGTAAATGAAATGAAAACAGATTAGAATCTATCAGATAATTCGCATTTTTAATCTTCGTGATTCACGTTGATACCAATTTTATAGCTTCCAATCTCACCAAGCTTTGGTAAGAGTAAAATCTTAATTAGTCTGATCGAGGCCATTCTGTCTAAATTAATCCATCTTTACATTGTATATGAATATATTGTATCCTAGTGATTGTTATGATTTCATCGATTGATTTAAATTTAATCCGTTTTTTTCTTTCTGGTTACAGAGGTTGCTGAAGGATTCGTATGTCCTGATCCAAGTGAGGTTGAACAGCCTGGACATTATTCACGACATGCTCATCCAACCGATTGCCGTAAATTTTACGTCTGTATTGAAGGAGTAGCTCGTCCATATGGATGTTCATTCGGAACTGTATTTAATGTCGATACTCTTCAATGTGATGACCCAGAGAATGTTCCTGGATGGTTAGTAATTTGTCATGTTTCTGTTGTTGAATAATCATTTCTAATTGTTGTTATTTCTCTCTTTTTATCCCTTCAACAGTGAAAAATACTATGGCGATATTGATTCCAAAACCGTGAAGAAACTTCAGGGAAGGAATTGAGGAACTTGAAAGTTTTGAAAGAAAATCGGTTGGCAGAGTTGATCACATCTGTGCAACTGGACAGTTTGTTTTTTAATTAATCAATGGAAAGGGTTGATCATTTTGAATGACTACAATTAATACTCAGCTTAATTTTTTAATCAAGCTCTTTTTTACATTTTTTAGACACTTGTGTCTTAATTACCAATTAATGTATAACAAAGATGATAATATGCAATCATAAGTTTATAAAGTCATTGTAAGAGTAAGACTTTAATGTGTTCACGAACATTCAATGTATTAATATCAATATTTATCCTCTAATTTAAAGATCGTCTCTTAATTATTGAAACCGAGCAATCGGCAAATGCCCTTCGTTCCCGACATTAAGCACAGCATTGAAACCTATCATTGAGCTTTATAAATTCATAGAAGATGGATTTTCGTTTCATAATGTTTGTTAGTGTCAAAATACAGTTAGCAATCGAACAGTTGAAGCAAAATTACTAACAATTGATGTTTTTAATGGTCAGACATATTAGATTGATTAAATAAAAGCATCAAAAGTAGCATAAATTGGGTTGAATTTACCTATTTTTTATGAAAACATGTTTGTACTTAATGACATGCAATGTAGTGAATTATAATACAATGGCAAACTGTTTCATTCAGTTTTGTCTACATTTTCATATTTTCAGTTTTAATCAATCATGAATTAATATTAGGTAATCTAAATTGGAAACAAAACCAGTTTTGCAATTTGATCGAGACACTGGTTAAATTTGAATTTATGGCTTCACTTAAATTAAAGCAAATGGAGCCTTTTCAAATATTAGAGCAACTAATACTTGAGATCAATACTTGAACTTATTTAACCTGACTGAATAATAGAATATTGAATTTCTATCTTCTTCCCATAATATCTTCATTATTTCTGCGCTACCTTAAAAGCTACCAGAAAAACCAGAAAAATGTTTTTTCGTAAATTTACAATAATTTGGGTTTGCCAAGACCGTGTCTAAGAAAATGGGTTTTTCATTGAATAGACTTAGGCACAAATTGCGAGGAATAATCTGTTATCAATTATTCAAATTCAAATTCATGGCATAGACTTGTGCTACAAAAGCAGCGCTAATTAGACACAACGTTTTAATTACCTAATTATTTATTTCGATGAAAAATAAGTTTCTGTTATGTTGTTTTTTTACAAATTATCAAGAAAAATCAAGTGGCCTTTTGACAAACAGTGTATTATATTGTCTACCGATCTTGTGGAAAACTGGGAACAGTAAAAAATTGTAAACACTTTCATTTTATGCGGCAAAAAACGCACCATAACTCAACTTTAACTCGACAGTTTTGGCAATCAATGGATGTCGATCTCTTTTATTTGTTTCAATTAATGTCTCCAAAGTAACCAATCAATGTTAACTTTTTTAAATACTATTTGATGCAAGAGTGCAAGAGTAATCTCATGTAATGCTTGTATTTTTTATGAAGAATTAACTCTACAGAATTATGGAAATAAAATAATAATCACTAATCATACACTTATTTACTAATTTTTCCCGAAATTAAACTGCCTAATTTTCGTGTCTTGCTCGCTTTTTGTGACCTTAGATCATTAAGTTGGCTTTTTATCATTCAAATTTCTATTACTTTCAATACTTGTTAGACACATTTTCACACAATATTTGATTTAATCAACAAACAATTCAATGATTTCAATATTTTCCCTTAAACCCGAGTCCATATTCATAATGTGTAAATAAGTTTTTTATATGATGGACCTAGGAAAATATTTTTGACCTTTCATGATACTATTTGATGCCCTGAACAATATGTACTAGGTCTGATGTGGTCATCATAGGGTAAAAAAGAAACGTCACGGCTTTGAACATTTATTTCCATACGAAAAAATATAAAAATAATATATCTCAAAAAGTTGCAGGTTTAGGTCGTCATGGAATCAGCATAAAAAGTTCGCACCGATAATCGTAGCTAGCTACGTAATAGCTGGCTATTGTAATTGATTTAGTCCATTTTCTCGCAATTTTACTCGACTAAGTATCAAAATTTTCGCCAGTCGCACTTATCGCACATTGCATTGTATAGATGTTAAACTACGAGAAAATTATTTTACAATTAAAGGATATTTCTTTTTAGCTTTACTTGAGGAATAAAAATTCAAACAATGATGTACTTGATTCAAGTTTTAAAGTTGCCTTTTTTGCATTTTAATATAATTGTAATTCATAATTTGACTTTAATTTACAAATTATTGATAAGAGTTAAATTGTAAAATGAAATTTGGCATGAAAAAGGTGAGAATTGGCATGAGGTGAAAGTATGATTATTGAGGTAAAATCACAACAAACATTGATGGTTAAGAAAATTACTTCAACTATCAGGAAATGTTGACAGTTTAACAATCATAATTATTGCTTACTTATTACAGCATAAAAAATTGAACAAAAGATTTGAAGAGCAAACATCAACAAAAAAACATCAACAAACAAAATGCACGAAAACAATATACTTGTAACGCATTCAATTGGAGCGTATTATCGTCTACTAATGTCATATTGAGTGTCCTTTTGTTCAATAACCATTGATCTAGGCCTTCCATAAATCATATTAACCAGTTCAACATTATAATATGAACTGAAACGCGGACCACTTGAACCAGGAGAGGCATAAACGGGTCCAGATTGCTGATTGGCATATCGTTGTTGTGTAATTGGTTGTTCATAATAAGGCTCAACAGCTTGATAGATTAATCCGAAATCTTGAGCAACTGGAACCATTAAAACAGGAATTTGAGCTGCAAAAAGATACACAGAGATCAATTATTAAGTTCACATTTTGTAAATAAGATCAAATAATAACTCACCTAAAGGTCTACCATCAGTATAAGTATTTAGATTATCCTGTAGTCCATAATTTGATCGACCCGATCCAGCGAGTTGACCATAAGTAATTCCACCTTTTTGAGCGACAAAATGGGTTGTTTGTGGATGATTTTGATATCCAACAACCTAAACAATAGCAGCATATTGTTAATAAATGTGGCTGAGATATTACAGGTTGAGAAACAGGTTATGAACGAGGAAATAAACTAGAGTTTTTGATGGCACAATTTATGAAATGATCAGTGATCAATTGTTAGTAATTATCATAAATCACATTTGGAATAAAAATAATTACAAAAGAGACTTACATATTTTGAAGATGCATGGTTACCAGTTCGTTGCTGTGATTGGTAAACTGTTGCCTGGACAATGGTTAAATAAACCGTTGCTAACAAAATTATATAATTTGTAATTAAATCCATCGGAAATGTCAATTATTTGATTCACAAGTGTATAATTTAAATTATTTTGTTCAACTATTTGATTAACTGGTGGAGATGGATCCAAGAAACAATAAACAACATTACTTTGGTGATTGAAAGGAGGACTAAGCAAGTTATAGATGATTTTTGAAGAAGCAAGGGAAAGTGAGAAAAAGTATGATTGCATCTTTCAACTCTTTTTACCTTTTTCAAGGAGGTCACCTTAAACTTAATAAATTATACTTTCACTAACAAACATTTAAAAAATTAGATACAATCATAATCATCCCTAAAATCACCCTGAAAAACAGCTTAAAGAGTAACAATAACAGCAACGGCAATTTGATTTTAACATTCATATAAAAAGGTAAAAGCTTAGTGTAAAAGTATTGCGAAAATTCATGTTAATTATGAATTACGACGATTCAAATGTATTTATCATGACTGTATGTAGTTTCATGGACTGAATCATGAATATCTCAAAGTGGAAGTGAGATACAACACTGAAATTGAGTCTAATTAATCTTCAGTAAGTAAACTATGAAACTAAATTATGATCGCCCAGTGATCTTTTTGTTTCGAAGCTAACATTTTGAATGTTCAATTCCCAATATTATTGGACTGAGCTTTATTACAGAGCGTGTTTGAAGTCTTAAATATTAAATGGACAAAATTAAAGGTTAATTTTGTTTTAATTGGTTCTTGTTGGATAGTTATGAATATTAACTTTCACTTTTAAAGAATGGATTCACGTTGTTTCACACTTGGCCTTAAAATCATTGTTGACCACCAATTGTTTAACTGTTGATCTCAAATCAAATCCTAAACTCACTCTTCATTATCTTCTTAACATATTTAATCGTTTCTATTATTCAATGATTAATCTGAGCTAAGTGATGACTTATAAAATACGTCCAACTGTTTAAAAGTTTTTCACGAAATCAGTAAAACTTATTCTTGGCCCCCTGGTTCAACTTTTGATCCTAACTTTTGATTATGTGTTTCAGCGAAAGTTTGAAGACATAATAACAGTCATTTCAACTCTCTATTCCAGATAATACTCTGAATAATGTTCAGCGATTCTTCTCCATCTGAAGATGATTAGGATTTCAATGAACAGTCCGTAGACATTTCTACACGTGTTAACATTGCTACTTATCATTCAAATCCTTCACACTTTAACATTCATTACATTGTAACAGGAATCTTTGAATAGTGATGGTGAATTTACGCACACAATCTAATTGGACTGTTGCTCATGGTAATCAAAAGGGTTTACATTAGATAAATCAATTGTCGATATTGGTGAAAACTAAATGAGCTAAGAGCTTCCATTAGCAGATTAAGGGTACTTGAAATGATTGTGAACACATTTGTGGAGAAGATTAATTGAATTTCAAGGTAAAATATGATGGTTATTGTGTAAATTCATTGTAAGATCTGTCTGTTCAGTATATTCCGGTATTTTCTTGATTCTTATCTTTTTTCACACGGAATTTTTCTGATGCGCTTTGAATGTCTATTGAACTTTTGAAAAACGCTATATTTGTCTTGATTTTCAATAATGTAATGATACAAGAAAAATTTGAATTGATTCCTTTGAATCATCGCAAGCATACGCTAATTAGTTGACCTAGTTAAGTCATTTGAACAGATTCGAGGTTATACTGAATTTTTTTATTCAAATTAACTGCATTTATCTTTAATACATTGGATATTAAAATAAAACCAAGGTGAATCGTTAAGATACTAGAACTTTCTTTTTAAATTGAATGTAAAACTAGCTGTTGATATGATGAGAGTCGATTTTTTAAACTCAATCAAAAGATTTCACTGATCAACATCCTTTAATTGTGCTGCGTTTTTGATTCAATTATTTCCCAAACATTGAAAAATGAAGGTAAAAAGTCATGTAATAATATGGATGTAAATGATTGAAAAAACGTGTAATTGATCCAATTGAACATTTAGAGGCCATTCAAAGAATGATGATTTATATAATTTATTACTGTTCACACTTTTGTTGAGTAAATAGTGATTATGGTGTAACCATGATGAACGATAAAAATTGATTGGTTAAAAAATGGAAGTGAAAGGCTTTAGGTGAACTGATTGAAGTAACGTCACTATATTGATGACCTGATCTAAAATAATTGGATAAAAAAGTCAGAGAAGATTGGAAAAATGATGAAACAGTAAAAATGATGAATGGTTCGAAATGTTTGAACGTTTAAAAATCAAACAAAAATTTAACCTCCAAATAGTTTACCGATGATTAAATCAATTGAAACAGATTTTTGGCTTCATTTTGAGCCAAATTCAAGTTGAAAAAAAGCTAATATTCATCAGAATTTAACTCAAAAGATGGCGCTGCTTGGACACAAAATTCAAATTTACCGGTTCAAATGTAACAGCAAATGAATGAAACAACGTGGTTGGACCTGGTTACTGGTTTTATTAACTGCCATTCAATAATTGATCAGGTCATTCCTTTTGATTGGCCAATTTCTGAGCGCCAAACAGATATTCATTAGTCATCGAACTCAGCTTTTCACTGTATTGAACAGTCTCCATTGATTGAAAATTACCGAATGAGAAAATGTAAAAGGTTAAAAATGCAAGTATTACCTAATGGTCAAATGAATCATTGAATTGTCCAACACGTGTAAAGTACCATCGATTTGGGACGTTTTTGATATTTTGTCTGATCTTTCTAACGGCTTTATTTTTAATTTATTGATCAAAAAGGTATTGAACTGCATTGAATTTCTGTTAGATATTGCATAAAAAACTTGAATTTTGATTGTTCGAATAACCTTTTCCCTTTTATAAATTATTTAACAACGAAAGCAGCAAATAAGCGTGGAGATGAAATAGAGTGAGAAATAGTGAGAGTGACTTTATCCCGCCAAACAACAGTATCACAACACATTCTTTCACATAATACTGTATTTACTTCTTCTGTTTCCATCTCTCTGTTGGCTGAAATCCAAGTCTTGTTTTTGATTCTTCAACAGTTTTTGTCATCATCCATCCTGCTGTTCCCTGTTGCTTTATATTGGATCTGAATATTGTTTCTGCCTGTCTGCTTCATCAATTGTTGTCACAATAATTACATCAATTAGACAGACCTGTCAGGATCACTGTTAAAGTGAAGAACTGATTCTATCAATTTTTTTGTTGCTTTACTTGAACACAACTTACATTCTTCTGATTATTATTTTTGCATCTCATTCGATTTCACATGAAGTTTGGTAAGTCTTAGTTCTCAATATTCATCGTTTTCAACATTATTCTATGTTCATCAGGCCAATATTTTGAATATTAAGCCTAAATTTTGTTCGTTTCATTGTTACTAAACCATTTCCCCACCTTTCTTTTTTCACTTTCTTTCTCTTTCTAACTATCTCTCTATCTATTCTACTTTCTCCTTTATTTCTCTATATCAGTTAAGTATACATCGATTGGACTTATTATTGGTTTTGGAGGCTATGCTTGTTACCGGCTGATTGTTAAACAGCGACCAAATAAAAATGTTAAACTTGTACCTAAAACTAAACCTCCGCCATTTTCATCTGAACCAGTTGCTGAGAAAGATTTGCAGACAAATACAATGAATTCATCGTCAACATTGTTACTGAAGCAAGACAAGAAAACAGACATGTCTTCCTCAGATATATCTAAAGAAATTTTTCAGCCACTTGATTCGGAACAGCTACCACCAAAAGAAGAATTACAAAGACGGCTTGGTGAAAACTCCAAACCCGGTGAAAACTCCAAACCCGGTGAAAACTCCAAACCCGATGAAGACACTAAACACGATGAAGACACTAAACCCGGTGAAGAAACTAAATCCGATGAAGACTCCAACCCCGGTGAAGACTCCAAACCCAATGAAGACATTAAACCTGGTGAAGACTCCAAACTCCATGAAGACTCCAAACCCGGTGAAGACTCCAAACCCAATGAAGACATTAAACCCGATGAAGACACTAAACCCGGTGAAGAAACTAAATCCGATGAAGACTCCAAACTCGATGAAGACTCCAAACCCGAAAAAGAATCTAAAACTGATGAAGACTCTTATCCCACTGAAAACTTTAAACCTGATGAATTGGACACAAATCAAGCAAATGGAAAAATTGAAAATAAAACAATAGATGAAACTAATGAGGAAACTGAGCCGCAAGTTGTTTTGAGCCCGGCTTCAGATAAATCCTATCAGATAAATCAAGATGCCACTATAAACTCTACTTCTGATCTTGATGCATCGATTTCCATTGATAATAAGAAGAATAGTATAAAGGAAACATCCATGCTCTCTAATGATTCGCCTAGTACTACAAATTGTAGTTTAGACGTTTGTCCGTCCACACCTTGCTCATCTCCATTGGATGTCTCTGAGTTAGAAGGAGAAACAACTACAGGATCAGTAGATAATTACTTAACTCAACGTTCCTTTTCAATGACCTCTCAGTCTAGCGTGATTGGAGAAGGTATGGTTGCTAAGTTGGAGCAACTCTTGCATCAAGCTGGAAACCTAGCAGAATCTGTAGGCGAAATGAATGCTGATGTTGCGACACTGCGTAGAATTGAACCTAAACTGTTATCAATTGCAGGAGACAGTATTTCATTGGGAGAAGAAACCAATTGTGATTCAATGATTATTAATGGTAAAGATGAAACCTCACAAACACCAAGCCTTGAGTGGGACTCTAATGGGATTAATCTAGTATCGGAACCTGACTCCAACTACTCAACCATCAAAGAAGAAGACGAATCCCTGTTGAATGAATCCTTGTTAGGCGATATCTCATTGAGTGATAAAAGTGGATTGCTCTCTCCAATTAGCTCTGCTTCTCTGAATTCGAGTATTGAACCGTCTTTTTTAAAATCTACACTTGGGGATATAACAGGTCAATCAGATTCATTAGAACATAATGAGAAAGAAATTATTTCTTTAAATTTTTCTACTTCCGATGCCAATGAAAATTTCAATGAGTCAAAGTCAATTGCTCAGTCAAATGGTTCGTTATCTGTTGACAAATAAACTCTATTTTGCCCGTTTATCTTGGTATATTGATTGACTGTTTCGCATTTTTATATATCCAGAGTTTAATTTTCAATTTTATCTCTGAACAAGATCTCGAAACAGAGAGAAATGATTGACAGTGATGTTCATGATAGAAATTTTGTTTAAAGTTGCTTTATTGACGTTATTTTTGAGGCAATTATATTACACGGTCACCGGTGCATGGAGTTGTATATACAAATATTAATAAATTTAATCAGCCTTTGCGAACTCTTTTTTCCACTTCTTGGGTCCGATCATTCTGACTCTTTGGTAATACAATCGGTTCATTGCTAGCCACATAACTAAAAATATAAAAGATAAAATTATAAATTTACTAAATATTACTATAAAGATGATATAATAATATCATAAAGATTTACACTCATATTCAAAGATTTGTATTGAAATTTGGAATGGAATCGTCAAAAAATGAAATTTTACTTACAAGGGAAAAATCCTGTAAGCAAGTAAAGTCGAATAAAAGTTGGTAAATGAAATGAGAAATTGAGTTGATTAGGCAGAAAGATAGAATATCTCCCAGTTTCGTCAAAATATGGTATGTTACGAAGTAAAATCACTCCTGAAAGAGAAAAATGATGAATTATAACAACATTAATAATGACTAACCAGCTATGAATTAAAATAATTACCTTCGCAAATGAAAGTGAGAGGATAAAGAGGAATCCAAATAGTATAGCGCAACCAAGTCAGAAAAGCTATGTCCACTCTGAATACGCGTAACATATAATAAGGATATCTAGAGATGAAAGAGAAACAATTAAAATTAAAAAATTGAATGGAACTTGAGACTTGCTTCATCAACTCACTTAATAACCTCCATCATTGAGTAAATGAGGAATAAATAGAAGACTACGGGTTTGGTCTGCAAACGAGGTTCCGAGTCGATCATGATAAAAATCATGAATAGTCGAAAACCAATCTGAAGAGAAGGAATTTTAAATTCGCCTCGAGTGTAGCCCAATAGAGGATGTAGAACTTCTAGAATTTGCATAAGATGCAAAAATTTCATTACTCTTCCCAGAGCTTTATAAGATCCAGCCATTGACTCTGAAATTGAGATTTAAATATCAATAGTAATATCACTACAAAAAAAACAAAATTCATTCAATTAAGAAATAAAAATGACTAAAATATCAATTAAAAATACTGAAACGCATCTTGAGAAGATTTTTTGCTATGATAGTGTTCATTAACAAATTATTTCATCCACATTTGCATAGGGTGTACTCTTTATCTTCATGGTGTATTAACAAAGACATTAATCAAAATCATTTTCATGAAAGTTTCAGTACTTTAAAGTATTTAGTCATTTTTATCAATAAATTCAATCAGATTTGTTCAACTGCAAAAGTGAAGAAAAGATGAAGTCCAAATCGATCGCTTGTAATCTTACCAGGACCTTCCTTAGCATATCGAATAATAAGAACGACCAGAACATAAATGAATCCAACAAATGAGAACATATTAAAAAGGAATAGATATACTTTTCTAAATTCTTCCGGATTAACTGTAAAAAAGAAACAAAAGTGAATAGATTAGTGGAATAAACGCATCTAGCAAAGGAATCCTCGAGTGAAACGAGTGATACGGTTTTATCCATTCTTTGCAATATAAGAGTGAATAAATCGTATCACCTGGGAGGTTTCCCTTGTAAGTTCATGGTAACTTACGCTGTGATTTCCTTCGACGACCAAAATCTTTATCGGGAAGGTTTCTGAAATAATTTTGACTCTTACGAAATTCATCTTCCATGTCTTCTTCTTCGGTATCGTTTGTTTCCAATTTGTCAAAATCAACTTTGAGCCAATGAGGTTTAATTGTAGATTGACATAGTCTTGGCCATAGCTTAGCCTCTTTTTTGGTTATGAAAAATTCAACATGACGGTCGATAATTCGGTAATGACTTTTCTATAGGAAAAAGAAAAGAAAATATGAAGAATTGTGTTTAGATATGGACTTAGAAAGCAACAAATACCAGCAGCATTTGCAAATGGATAGCATATTATAAAAATAGCTCGAGATGGAAAGATTGAAATAAGTTAGAGAAGATATTAGAATTAAATACATGTATATTATCTAATGTTATCTAAATTTTAATATTTTGCATAATGCATGAAAGTAAGGAAAGAAACTGCTTGCCGAATAATTGAAAAATACGGTAAATTGGTTATAATTTTGTCTCCCTTTTCCCATCGATTGATATAAAAACAAAAGAAACATTCGATGCTGTAGTTTACAGTACCTAATAGATAGACAATAGCATATAAATGAGGCAGAACAGGGTTTATAAGAATATACGAGAGAAATAGATGAAGACAATGATAATAACCAAAATACCTGAGGGATTACATCCGCAAAAAAGTCAAAAGAAAATGAATAATCATTAAATCCACGAGCACCATAACCATAAGCATAGAAGGATATTTTATCACTTTGTAAATCTAGATTAGGGTGTTTAACGGATTTCAGATCAACTCGGAGAGAAACACTTGACTCGGTTTGACCCCAGTAGATAAATGGCGAGTACATGGTTGGCATTATGAGGAAACAGGCAAAAACACAAGCTTGATAAATCAAGATGATTTAGATGCGAAAAATAGAAAAACAAACAATGTTTTGATGTTATGGAGATGGTATGAGCTAGAATGTTGCAGAAAGATGTAGATGGAGAAAGAAAGCTACGCACAAAACATAATTTCAGAAAAACTTTAAGGCTCTCATGGACAATTATTAAGTGTTAATTGTTGCTATTACACTCCTGGTGTGTTGCTTATTCACCATAAAAAGTAGTAACAACAATATGAAACAAAATATTGCCTTTAAAGACACAGAAAGAATCATAAAGTGTAAGGCAGCATGAAATAAACAAGGAAAGCTGAGGCAAGCTGATGAGAAGGAAAAAAACAGTGAAAGAGAGACTGGTTGTAGAGATGAAACAAGAATGACACTTCGTTTACTTGAAGCTGTAAAAAGATTCTGTAACCACATAATATTGTTGAATTAATAGATTACCTTGATATTTAATATCAAACAATCCTTTAAACCCTCGATTTAAGGACTCAAAAACTGGCAATTCGACTACAATAATTAAAACTAGATGAAAATATATCACTTATTTGAGGTCACGCAATGAAATCAGTTAAACAATCCAAGGCATTACTGCACAGGTTAACTTGGATATAAATTTATTTTTACTCTCGCATTTAAATTTAAATTTAAATTTGCAAAATTTTTAATAGCAATGAATTTTTTCAATCTTTGCCATCTATCAATGTTTTAAAACTAAATTTCAATGGGCAAATCATTAGTGGAGGGACTGAGAAGGAAAATGAGTGCTACAAGTAAACCAACGCTGATATAATTTTCTGTCCACTCGAATTTAATCAATTTTTTCGACGATAACCATTCCTTCTATAAACTTTGTTGCTGGTTTGTAATGGTCATTGTAAATTTCTGCACTCTCCTGATCTTTTAAAATAACCGGCGAATTTTGGGTAACAGTGGTTTTTGCAAATCTCAATTTTCCCACTTGTTCATGAATGTTCAATGGTTCACCAATTCCCAATGGTACTTCAATTGGTTCCAATTTTTTATCGTCTAAAGTTACAATGAATCGAGGTCTGATAGCAGGAGTTAAATAGTAAATTAAATGGTGAAGTTTACCAAGAAAAGTTGATCGAACATCAAGACAGGAGAAAATAGTAATTAAAACCGAAGCTAATCCAGTAGGAAAGATGAGTTGATTGCTATATGAGTAAGGCGATAATGTCATTAAACCTTTACCCAAATGTAATAGGCCCTTGGTTAAAATTAAGGCATCCAAACAAGGACCAGGACCAGAATCAAAATTTTCAAATAGATTGTTGATTATTTTAGACAGCTTTTGATCAAGAGAACCAGAGCCACAAAGACCAATGGCGAAAATTGAGTTGATTGACATTGAGATCATTTGATAACGTGAACATTTCTCAAGGGTTGCCAGAATTTGTGGATCTGGATTAGATAAAGAAAGCAGGGCAAAAGCCAGCGGAACCATTCGCTTGGAAGATAAACTGCCATTAAGTAGAATCTGTTGAAGTATTCTTTTAGCCATAGAGCATCCAACTTCTTCACCCAGAGCAATTAAGCTGATTCCAATGGTAGCAATTGAGTCAATAATGAATCTCGGAGGTGTTGTACTAATAGAGGTAATGTAAGCTTTATTGGAACCTTTTTTCTGGCTCATTATTTTATCCAAAGAATGGTTCAGAACTTCAAGTGATTCTATCAACTTCATTGTTGATGGCTGATCAGAATCATCGTCTGACTCGATGTTTGTATCATAACTCGCTGATAAACTATCTTTCAATGGACGAACCAATGTCGTGGGTAAACTTGATCTTCTGTCGAGGGAGTAACGACGAAATCTTCGCGCACTTCTAACGCGGTTTGGTTCCATTGCAACGGTACTTCCAACCTTTCTCTTTGATTTAATCTTTGTCATTATATCATTAATTGAGCTAAATTCATCGAGACGAACTATTTTACGTCGGTTTTTTTCATCAGGTTTTTCTTTATTCAGTACAGATGGACGTGCTTGGTGATCGGATTTTAGTTTCTTTCTTGATTTTGCACCATATTGTTTCCTGATTGGACTTGGTCTCTCGAGTGCTAAATGAACAATAAAAAGCGTTGTTATTAAATTAGAAAATCAAATTATACAAATTATATTTACCCTTCCTCTTTCTCAATGTTGGTATATTAGACTTGGGTATATTAGTTGAATGAGATGGCAGAGTTGACTTGATTGATTCATCTTGCTTTGAGGTTGAAGGTGCGTCATTTGCTTTTACATTTGAAGGCGTTTTATTTTCTCTTTTGGAGATTAGGTGAAGCATCTTTTGAATTTGTAAGACATCACCAGAACCAGAAAAGGAACAACAATCTAAAGTTACATTAACTATTGACTTGAGCTTTTCGGAAGACAATTGATTAATTTGTTCAGTTAATTCGCCGCGTTTACCCTTTCTATTTAAATATATGAGACCAATCGAGAGAGAAATAAACCAACACGTTACTAGTTCTTCAGGTTGATTGACGAGAGAATCGATTTGTAATAAAGTTGCTAATAGGTTTGAAGCAATCTTATGATTCGCCGTTGAAATACTAATCAAACCAATAGACAGAGCAGAAAGACCTTTGGCCATTAATGGAACCGAATCATTTCGAAGCAAACGACGAAGAATAAATAGAGCTTCCGAGTTGTTTGTTCCTGAATACGCAGTCCCTAAGCCGACTATACAGCAAGCCTGATCATCCCAAGTTCCTTTCTCAATGCAATCAAATTCTGGACAGTCAAGGAAATCATCAAACTCATCATCACCTCGGTAATTTGATCTACTCAAAGAGCAGGCCAAAATAGAGCCAGCTTTCAATTCAGGTTGGGTATATAATTGAAATCTATTCAACGTTGAATTCAAGGTAACTTCTGGATTCCATAAGTTGATTAAACCAAGTGATCCAATGACTCCGGAGACACCTTCGGCACCACCACACTTATTGAAGAAAATTGTAGGTGTTCGGCGCAACAAGGCATCAGTAAGGCCATCTTTTCCATGTGCCACATTGGCAAATGCACTGGCAACATGTAACATGAATGTTCGACTTTTTGACCGACTGAGTCTTGCATGGAAACTAAACGAAAAAGGAGACATTAAGAAGTCAGGCAATGCTGATCGAAGATCAAAAGGAGCTTGACAATCTAATTCTTTAGCCACATAATTGAATAGAGTTAGAGTTTTACTTGTTGTCATAAGACTTTTAAGTAAAGGGTTTGGATAGTTGTGAAGATAGATGCTTTGGCGGTTAAGAAGACAGGCGATTTGTTTTGCTTTTGCTTGCTCATTATCATTAACACATGAAGAAAGTATTGTTTCAATAGCGGTTAGATTCTGGTTAAAGTTATTTGAAAGAGTAACAATAGAGGCTTCCAACCAGAGTTTATATTTACAGTATAATTTGATAACAAAGGATCTTACATGATCATAGTCTGGTTCAGTAAAATAGTCAGCACAAGATAGTAGATAAGAACCAATTTTAAAAACCAATTCATCTAAATCTTCTTTACTAATTTTTTCAGATAAACAATCAAGAGATTGGGTTATTGAATCAAATTTATCATTTTCCAATGCATGGTCAATAGCATCAGCAATACAGTTATTATTTAAATAATAGTCAATAATTGAAGCCATTTAGATGTGATATTTGTCTGATTGTTCACGAACGGTATTGTATCACGGAAATAAAAATATTTGGAATTAAAAGCTCGATAAGAATAGAGAAAAATTAAGCTGATCTGGGATATAAAGATACAGGATACTATTAGTGCTACACTAATTGAATGGAAACTACCAATAGATTAACCTATCGATCTCCTGATTGTTTATTATTGTACAAAAATACAAGCAATGAACCGAGAAAATTTGAATCACGAATTATTTTTCATTTTTGGGTTGTTTGGTTAGTGATAACCATTAACCATATGACGGCCGAAAATTAACTGATCAATAGTTTAATGTATTTGATCGAAACCACTTTAGAATTAACATTTTACAACTAATCGCGATATTTTTTGACCCAAAATATACAAAAGGATATACAAAGTGCGAGTGATGTATCAATTTGTTTCTCTGATCTCTGGAACAAAAAATGTCATAAGGGAAGAAATTAAAATAGTGGTTCGAAAGAAAAACCTCAATTCCAGCCTAAAACAAGAATTGAGATTTCAGATTCATTTGTTTTACACAAGCTTCTGACTAGTCGCAGGAAGGTGAGGAAGGAGAACAAGAAAGGAAAGGAAAACGGGAATTAAATTATTAATGGTAAACAATAAATGAAGATTGACCTGTTAAGGATTACTGGATGGGCAAAAAGATGCAGCAAATTTGACTTCACAGGCTGTAAGTGTCATGGTAAGATTATGAAGAGGTTTTAGGTGTTACTTTGTTTCCTTTTGATTTTGTTTGTCGATGCTCATTATTTGGATGTTTGGTCACTAGTAACAAATATTAAATGTCCAGTTTAGTAATAAAATGTTGAGTTGACTCTGCCGTTTAACAATCATCAACTTTTTGCTGCTTGCTGTTTGATGCTGATAAAGATGGTTTCTTGGTTCGATTTGGTCAAATCACAGCTTTTCAATGCGATCATTTGATACAATCAATAATAAATTGCTAACAAGCTTACATAATTTCTGGAGATGTTTTTGAATGTGAATGAAATGCGTTTTTGCATGAATATATATATAAATGTGTTTTGTTAGCATTAATTGTATACACATATTTATACAGACGTAAATGGTTAGAATTAAGAAAAGGACTAAACAGTAGCAACAAAAGGACGAAATAGGCTAACCGGGAGAGAAAAAACAAGGAAGAAAAAAGTTGTTTACAAAAGAGACAGCAAATATAAACATTGAGGTTATGTTGAGGAAAAGGAATTAAAGATGCAGTGAGAAAAAAAACACAAAATGCTCAACTCAGAAGATGACGAAGAAAGGTGATTGTACCTAGAAAAAAGAAGAAATAAGCTGAAGAGAATATCATCTTTCCATTAATTAACATATATTTTTTTTCTCTGAAAACAACAAAAACATTTGTCTCTTTTTCCTTTAAAGATGAGGATGAAGTATTTAAAGTTAGTTTCTTATATTTTACACCGATGGAAGAGGAGAAAAACAAGTCAACATATTAGATCACTCTTAATAAGGTTACATACAAATTATTAACCCTTTCTTATTTTCAATAATTCATCTCTTTCTTTTGTTAAGTCTCTTCGGTCCTCTTTTTCTCTCTCCTCTTAGAAATCTAACGAATTTTGCAAGAAAAATTTTGAATTTGAAATGCAATGGATACATTCCAACACTATAATATATGTTATGCCATTGTAACAAGTCGATGGATTTTGATGTGAATGAAAGGTAAGCGAGGCAAAGTAAGAAGTGTACATATATATATGAATATGTGTATGAGTTATTTGGGGAAAGGAATCGAGAGAAAAGTATATTTATATATATATATATTAGAAGAGAGAAGAAAGAGGGCGAGAGAGGGTATCGAAGTCATGGAAGAGATGGCTAAACAGAGCTGTTGGCATTTTTTATCTTTGCTGTGTAGTTGATCCATATTTTGTTTTAATAGATGTCTGATAATTTAGCGAAATGTAGCTTCTTTTGAAAGTAAAAGTTGATAATCGTTCATCAGGTGAATATTTGCAAAATTGTTACATCTAACTCGTCTGTTAGTTAGACTGAAGTGACTTTTTAAAGTCCGGACTGAACACTGAAACGTCGTTGTTATTGTTTGATTCGTCAATGGTTGTTGTTGGAGAGGTCGTTATTGTTGTCGTAATTGATTCCGGTGTTGGTATGATGGTTGTTGTTCCCACTGTTACTGTTGTGGTTGCAAAAGTTTCCACTTCTGGTATCAATTCGTCATCGGGTTTGAGTTTTTTGGCTTGTAAAGCGGATTCATTTTCTTCATCGAGATTATGAAATTCGTCTTTTTCATCGTTAACGTCTTCAATGGGAGTCTCGTATGGTCTTTTACTTGCCGACACAGTTGTCGTTACTACTTCTGAAATAGTTGTTGGGGCAGTTACGTAAGCGTTCCCTTCAGAGCCATAGACTCGAGAAATAACTGAACTATTGCTTCCTGGAACATTAGTAACATATTCAACAAGATGGTTTTCTGACGTTACTTGGGGTGTTTGAACAATTACTGTTGAAGTTTGTCCAGGATTTACACTTTGATGGGTTGATTTCAATGTCGACTGCAAAATAACTGTATTATTATCGACAGCGATGGCCCTAGGTGATGAATTACGGTTATTTCCACTTGGAAAAATTATTTCTTTTTCTGTGAACAAAAAAAGAGAAACAAGATGAGTTAGAAGGAACAAAAGATTTTCTTCATGCAACATTCAAAACATATGTCTGATGAAAAGGTTATTTGCGAAACATAAGACAAGCATAATGAATAAAGGCACAGATAATAATAAAATGCAAAAATAATAAACTAGCTATATCATGCAGGCAAAAGATCGAAAGGAACAAAATATAATGCGATTGGGAATTGACCAGAAATTATAATGTTAATACTAAGTTGTTAGTAAAGATGAAAGACAGAACAAAATATTTAAATGGTTAATAATTGATTAATGTTAAAGGGAAAAAGAGAAAAAATTTGTTGGTAAATTCAGAGAGAGTTAACTTAAGAGTTAAAAACTCACTCTGAAATTGAGTTACTCCGGTACTCGTAAACACCCCTGAATCAGTTGTTATTGTAATACCTGCTGAGGGATGAGAAAAGATTTAAATGAGATTCTCCATTAGGAACAAATGAGAGGGAAAAGCGGAATGTATTGGTGGAAGCGGGAAGGGGTTAATAGAAGAGAAATTGCAATCAACCTGGTGACCCTGGAGCAGATTTATTTGACAATTTATAATCACTTGGCACTGTAAGGAATGACGCGGTTGGAGGACCCATAAGTTGGTTTGCATCATTTTCAACGATTTCGGGAGATGGACTTGGTTCTCTAGAGAGTGAATCTGGTGTAACTAAACCAGAGCCGTTTCCTCCCCCGCCACCTAAATGATTGGGTGAAGCTGGAGCTGATCTTGAGCTGCTCATTTGATTTCTAAAACATGATATAGGACGCTGTCTTCTTCTTTTAAAAGCTTGCTCAACAAGCTTTGGCTCCGATGAGGGGTCTATTCTCCAAAAAGAGCCTTTCCCGGGCTCTTCTTGAGATCGCGCCACTTTTACAAAGTAGCGATTCAAAGACAAGTTGTGTCGTATAGAGTTCTGTATTAAAAATAAAGCAATAGTAAAAAATTAGTGATTTGAAAACTCATATCAAAATAAATTTAAATCATTCATATTGATCATAGGCTGTTATTGTCCTGGTGATGGTTATAAATAATGGTTTTGATAGTTTAATAGCCAAGAATGAGAGAGTTGATGAAGTGCATGGAAACAGGAAAATTTCCTGATTGGTTATGATCTAGAGTGACTAAACTCAGAGTTTTAAAGCTCATTCGAAAAATATGAACATTGCAAATGAATCTAGTATTTGTTTACTTACTTGCCAACCTTTATCAGCAGTTCTATAGTAAGGGTAGTTTTTGGTTATGAAAGAATATATACCACTGAGAGTTAATTGTTTGTCTGAAGCACTAGAGATAGCTTGAACAATTAACTGAGCATAAGAATAAGGTGGTTTAGTCTCGTCAATTTCACCATTTCCACCTCTAACACTCGGACTGTCGGAAACGCTTTCATTGGCAGCAACTTGACAATGGCTCAAAGTCGATGAAGATTGAGAGTAATAGTCATGATTACTAGTCTGTGAAGAGGAAAGATTTGAATTGATTCCTAAAGACTTGTTAGCACTATTACTGTTATCAGTTGTTACAGAAGTCACAATCATATTAGCTTGAACTCGATGTTCCTCTGATGTAACTGCTGCTGCAGCATATTCAACCATAGCTTGCAAATCACTGGTTACTCCACTGTTACGATACCTTGATCCAGATCGAGGGCTAGTAGGACAAGAATTTGCAGCACTAAAGAATGGAGTTGAAATAAAAATAAATATGAGAATCAGAGAGTAAGATGTAAGACGAGATGAAAGTCAGTTGATGATCATTATAAAAATATAGAATAGTAATCTTGATGAAAAATTTCACTAAGAATTGTTAGAATAGTGATTAAATGATAATTATGATGACAATGAGCATAAAATTAAAGAATTGAATTAAGAATTGGTGGAGGCAAATAAATTATATAAATATTAGGTTTAGATAAATTACAGTTAACTGGAAAGTGAGAGTTTAACGCATAAACAAAGTGAAATGACATAACAGAATATTATCTGATACATTTAATCACAAGAAGGATGAGGATGGTGTTTAATAGGCATACTCACATATAAAGAAGGAAACAAAGAAATGTAAGATAAAAAGTGTGGTAAATACAATTTTTTTAGCGATACACACCGAGAATTGTGCTTCCTAGGAATAAGTAAAAGATCATTCTGAAAGACTAGAATAATTTTAATTTACGAATCTTCACAACACAGTCTTTCTTTGCATACTATTCGATTAGATTCGTATTTCTACCTCATATTTAGTTTCGTTTACTCATTTAACATTGTAACTCTATTATTTACTCACTGATGTTACCTCTTTTCTATCTATCTCTTTCCCTTTCCCTTTCTGTTTACCAGACTCTTTCTACTTTCCCTTACATTTCTTATCTTGGTTTCTTCTGGTTGCTTTCTGTCTGCTGCTCTTGCCTAGTATGGCTCATGAGTAGCTCAATGTGTATAAGAGTTTGATGAGGGAATGGGATCAATATCTATGAATAAACACAACTCACCTTATGGTGCCGGTTGGAGACGGTATGGGACTTGCAAGATCAGGTTCTGAAGGTTCGGAAATGTTCACTCTGAGCGGAGCCATCTTATGAGGTTCACGAGTCAACAAATCCTTGCCATTGCCATTGCTGGTATTACTGTTCTCATTTCCTTTCTCATCAACTAGTGATTGGAAAATTAATTTAATGTTGGTACTTGGAAAACGTAGAACGCATCTAAATAAAATAGATTCACAATAAAAAAAACATGAAGTTAAACACAAACAAAAAGAGAGCGAAAGAAGGCATGAGAAAGAAAAAAGAAAGAAAGATAGCTTTCAAGTAAACAAAAACTGAGACAGAGATAGAGAAAAAGGAAGAAAGAGGGAAAGAAAGAGAGCGAGAAAGGGAGGGAGAGAAATAGAGAGAGAGGAAAGTAAAAGAGGGTAAAATAGAGAAGCGGAAAAACAGACTTACTGTTTAGGTAATAGCAGCGGAGGTGCACTTTTTCGCTGGAAAGCACCGTCAACAAAGACTCCATTTTTACCATTACAAATCATAAAAAAATATGGTGCTTCGTAATAAATTTCAATATGACTTCTTGAAATGAAACTACTGTTACCCATGTTAACATCAACATCACCGTTACTTGAATTACGACCAATTATAATCCGTTTTTGTCTTATCATGTACTCAAAGTCACGAGTCTCCAATTTAGCTATAGGTTTACCGGTATCATGTCCATTTTTATTATAAATTCGAGAAGGGCTTGAAGGACTTGAAGAGCTTTTAAGGGCAAGCAATGCCCAAGCATCTTCACTTACACTGGACATTGTGACACACTGTGAACAAGATGGTTACACTAATATGTAATATTAACTTATAGTTTGTGTGAAGCCGAAACCAATAATAAAAGTATTTATTATGTATCTGTTTGAGAAATACTAGAAAAAATTAGATTTAATTAGATCTAATTAAAACGTGGGATCACAAACAACACAACAAACAAACATAAAAAATTGCGCCCTCTTACGACACAAGGTTAACCTGTATAAATTATAAGTCTGTTATGAGAATACGGCCCCTTATGAGGTGTGACATAGCTGAAGTCTGGAAACAAAGACAAGCTAACTTTTTTTTACCTTAAATATTTATTTTTGATCAAGTTAATGGTTTGAATCAGTTGGGTCAAAATTAAATTTAAACGTGTGACAACTCAATTTTAACTGTGCTCTTCATTGCCCGACTTACTCTTTGCATTTTAAAAGATTTTTCCATTGGTTCATCCTTTTTTCACAGTCTTTTTTCATCTTCCTGTTCATGTTTATTTGATGGCTTTGGACAAGAAAGATATTGAAATTATTGTCTACAATTATTTCAGGCAACAATTTGTTATTAAAGATGTCCAATGGACGCCACCCCATAATAGATCCACACAAACGGAGGAACGCAATATCACCAGATTTGTTGATGCACTCAACCAGTTAACTAGTAACTTTAGGTCCAGTGAAGGATTTTCCCAATTACATGAAAAACTGGAAACTGTGATTCCTAGTCTAGATCATTATGCCGCTGATCGTTTCGATGAAGCCGGTTACGTTGTATTTTCTGGTATTGCTGAACATTTATGTGCTGAAGGAATTAGATGGAGTCACATTCTAACACTATTTGTTTTCACTTTCGAATTGGCTAATGAATATTTACAAATTAAGGATGACTTAACAATCGTTGAAAGTATTGCCAATTGGCTGATTTTATATGTTTCAGAAAGACTTTTGGAATGGATAAATAATCATGGAGGATCAAATGGTCTCGTCGAATACTCTAATCACTCCAGTTCTTCAAATAATTTTACTGACTTGAGGTTTTGGAAAACAGCATTTTTGGCGACCGGTATTTTCGCATTAATATCATTTTCAATGCATCTGTTAAACAAATAGATTTTAGTTGAACAAGAACATCTTCAAGATGACCAGATTATATCATGACATCAGATTATCTTTTTTACTATAAATTTTTTACATAATTAAAAGCAGATTTTGCTGTTTGTGCCCTTGACGTAATCTTGATCATGTAATCCCTGGTATATAATCTATATAGATGTAACAAATTTATTTTAATTGGAATATACCATCTGCCAAACATTCAGTTTTATTGTTTCACCATAATTTCCCTCTCATCAGTGGCATTCAAACTTGGAATCCAAAGAGCTATTTTCCTTTATTTATGTCTTTCCTTAAAATAGTTGAAAGTTCTAAACATAAGTGGCGCTAGTAACATTTGTAAAATCTTATACAACCGAGTTATAAAATTAACTGTCAACTGTATTGTAGTTTTAAACATGTTACGGCCAATTTTATTTTCACTAATCTAGACGGTTATGTTACTAGTTTCTACTGATATGATAAGTTCCTTGAAATTGCATTAAATTGTATTCAGTCAATTGATGAAAGATGAAATAACCATCAATGGACAATTTAAACTACACACTCGATTGTTCACTTTCTCGAGTACAATCAAATGATCAGATGTAACACCTTGGCTTAATATCTAGAGACATCCATCAGCTAAACAAGAAAAACATAGTTTAATGCAAACTTAAACGCTAGTTAAGCCTTCATTTTATTAAAATCTGTTGACATTGGTGGCATTTAAACGCATTTTCATTAGTCGACAAATGAGAAACATCGATTGTTGATATTTGACACGAGCCAACAAAAACACAGACAAGAGGAAGAAAAATCTAATATTGACACTTATCCAAAATAGTGAATTAGCAAAAAATGATATTATAAAAGTTGTCATCAAAAGCTAACCAATTTTCAATTTTGTTTTTACTTGAAAGATTTAAAATTTATAAGTAGAAAGAGTTGAAGACGAAGAACGAAAAGATTAAGATGATGAAGAAAAGAATAATTACTCAGAATGAGATTGAGGTCATTGAGACAAATGACCTAGGCCAGTGCTGCAAAAATCAAGCCGGGAATCATCATCATCAACAACAACATCATCATTCTCATCATTATCATCATCAAATTCACCATCATAATCATTTTTCATCTCATTCATAATGGAATCTCGGGAGAGCACCGAAGTCTTCACAACGGTAACAACCATCATCATTATCATCAAATCTACCATCATCATCATCATCATCATCAAGTAAAAGCTATCATCATTTTCTTCACTTCATCTGACAAAAGGCATGCTAAAGGAAAAGAAAGTTAAGAAGAAGGAAAGAAGAAAAGAAAGAGCAATGAAAATGATGATGATGATGATGATGTTCATGATGATGAAGGAGCCTATATCATCATGAAAGGAAGAGACTAAATAGTGGTTTGGCCTGGCTTTTATAGCAAAGAGATGATGTTTTTCTTCAAGATGGGGTATTTACCAAGATCAACGGCGAGGAATGACAATCATGTTGATGATGATGGCGACAATCATCATCAAACTGAGGAAGACTATCATCATTATCTTCATAATCATCAACATCATCATAATCATTATAATAATAATAATCATCATCATTAGCCATTGTCATTTACATTTACATCATTGCGGAACTAATTTAAAGGTTAGGTGTTATGTGAGCGCCAAGTGAATAAGTCAATGCGAATTAAATCATAATGAAAATAATGATCGAAATAAAAGAAAAAGTTTAACCCAAAAAAGCAAACTTTAGGCTCATTTAGGCATCAAATGAAAATTAATCAACAATTAATAATTGTAATCATTAGTAAACTACAATAATAGAATAAACTTAAACAAGTTTATTTTTCAACAATAAAATGTTTTGATATTCATTGCATTATGAAGATCACTATTTGAAGCGAATCGCGAAATTGTACAAAATATTGAAAACAAACGCAATATTTGTAACTTGGAACTGAAGCAAAGGAAATTAAAGCTTTCATTATCAAATTGTTGCAACAGATTAACAATTAAATGCAAGTTGAACCATTCAAAATTAAATAAGCTTGAAAATGATAATGATGATAATCAAGATGATACAATACGAAATATAATTTTGTTTTTATAAGTTATTGCTATTTAATAACTCATCAGATCTGGGTTTGGAACAAAGATAATTTCGTTTCCTTTCTTCCTTATCATCATCATCACCATCGTCTGTGAAAATAGCTTTGGTTCGAGTAAATATCTTCTAGTCTCATCCAATTTATGCTAAAAAATGATGATGGCTAATGATGATGATCATCATCAAGTCTGATGATGACGATGGTAAAAGATGATTTTCGTTTTCTCTTGATGATGATGACTATGATGATGATTATGTTGATGATGATGATGATGATGATTACTCCAAGAGATGAAAAAAACTGAACATTGTATATAAACTTTTTTCCCTCTTTTTGCCTCCTTAGATCTGATCCATTAAGAAAAAGAGGATTGAAGAGGAATGATGATGATGATGATGGCAAGTGAATGAGTTGCCTTTAGCCAATGGGTTTCTTCATGATGATTGTTGGTGATTAAGTGAATCAATTTTTGTTTCATTTAACATTCATCTAAAAAAGAGTAATTCAAAGAATAAAAATTAATAATTAACTAATTAAACAAGAAATGGATGAAAATAACAACCGAAATGAGGCGCAACTGAAATGAACAAAAAGACAATAAATTTGTATTTGTTTTAGATACAAAGTCGTTTTTTAAAACTTGGTTTTAATTTTATTTTTGTGTTGAAGTTGATGTTGATGTTGTTGTTGGTCTCAACCGGTTTAAATTGCATAAAAAACGTGCATTGACGAGTCGTTACATTGAAATTTCAATTAAATCAAAACATCGGAATTGATTTTGCGTTTACTATGGATGATAGAGACAAAGTTAGAGACAGAGGAAGATAGGGAAAGAGAGAGAGAGAGAAGCTTGAAAGTGTCAACATATGGTAATATGTTCATCGTGAAAAGGTTCATTGGATGATGTGATTCACGTTTGATTATTAATCAGAATTGTATGTCATCATGTATTTATGGGTGGTGTAAGTGTGTGTGTATATGTGTATATATTTGTATGTTTTGTATGAATGCAATGCAATGCAATGGTGATGGAGAGGTTTTAATGTATTTATAATGGGGAGGAATTGAGAGGAAAGGGTTTTGTTTTTATTTGTTTTTACTCATGTTATTGTTATGTATATATTTATAATATTTAATCAATTTGTGATCAGTTTGTGTTTCGTTTTGTTTTTTTATGTTTGTATATAAGTGGGTGTCTTTTTGTACAAAACTGACTTGGGGATGATGCGGTTAACTTTGTTTATCGTCCATGTTGCATGTTGTTGTTACGTTTCTTTTTTCTTCGTATGATGGTCACTGTGATGTAAAGTGATGTGATGTGAGTGTCACGATCAAGATCATACCGAATCAATAGAGGGAGAGATGATGATGTTGATGGTGAAGAAAAAAAAAGCAGAGAAGAAAAGAAGAGAAAAAGAGACAAGGAACATTGTATTTGTTTTGCTTTTTTTTCTTGAGAATAGGGGGAAAGAGAGAATTATGATTTTAGTTGAATATTTTTGTGATATTATTATAATGAAGAGGTAAATGAGAGACTGGGTAAAAGAAAGAAAGAGAAAGGTAACATCTAGAGGGAAGAGTGGGAGGAGGAATGAGATTAATGAAAAATGTGACTGGGTTTGTGTTTAGTTTTTGTTAGATCGCATTTCATCTTGTGAGATGGAGAGAAAAAACAAGAGAAAGTGTAAAAGTGTAAAAGGGGGAGAAAGAAAAAAAGGAGAAAAATATCAACGTTGGTATCAATAAACAAAAAATAAGTGAACAGGAGAGCAAGAGAGTGAGAGGAAGTGAAAGTGAGAGTATCAGTGTGAGTATAAGAGAAAGTCGATCATAAATAACAAAAGAGCCTGAAAAGTTAACTTATTGCGACAAGCTTTCAGCTTTTTGTTTTGGGTTGTTGGTAATTTTGCTTATGAACTACACAGGTTGAGACAGAAAAGGAGAAGAAAGTGAGAGTAAGAGGGAAAGTAAGAAGAGAAAGTGGGTGAGAGATTGAGATTGGTAGAGAGAGAGAGGAGGAGGGAGATTGGAATAGGAATAGCTGAGAAATATTAGTGAGTGAGTTAGATAAATAATTAGTTTACTGAGAAGATTGATAGACGGGTTGAGGGATAAAGGTGAAGGGTGAATAGGACTAAATGAAAAGTTATTTACAGTTAAGTTCACTATGGGCAATGCGTCGATGACGATTAAAATTATCCTTCCAAGCGAAACATTTGGAACACAGGTCACACATGAATCTATTTCGATTTTGTGAATGTATTTGCGTGTGCCTTTTCATGTTACCCTTTTCAGTGAAAGTTTTGAAACATTCAGGACATTGATAGTGTCTTTTACCGGTCAAAGAGTCAACAGATAAAGGTGAAAAAGAGTGGCAACCAAGTGATGGATGCATCTGGATTGGAGGTAATAGTTGCGCCGATTGAAGATTTTGTGGCACTTGGTTAGGATGAGAGGGGTGTGAAGAATGTGATGAGCCCGAATTATGCTCTGTAATAAGAGAAAAGAAATAAAAAAGTACAAAAGAGAAACAAAAAATGAGTAAAAAAGTGATAATCAGTTGAGGTGAATGTGGTGAAAGATGAAGAGACGTCAAAATATCTCTACGAGGAAAGAGAGTGAAAGAACGAAAGTATATTTTGATGTCTGAACAAGAAATAACATTAACAAAGGACCTAAGAACGTGTATTTCTGAGAAAAAAACGAAGAGAATGAAGAATAAAAGAGGATAAAAATAAGAGGGCAAAGTAAATGATGATGACTATACTGATGATGATAATGACTATTATACAATGATGATGATGATGATGACGACGACGATAATGATGATTACGATGATGTTGATTATGATGACTACGATGATTATGATGATGACGGCGATCGTAATGATAGAAACTATAAATTTTTACTGATGATGGTGTTATATGCAATATGTTTCAAGAAAAAACAGAAACTGCTATTTTAGATCAGTTAATAGAGACAGAAATATCATGAATACTAGTCGATTTTGTTAATGTACTATTCTTGAAATCTGCTGAAAAATCATCGAAATTCAAGATAACCATGAAAATAAAAGATAAAAGGAACAAGGAAAAAGGTTACTTCAAGACTAGTATAATCTTAATGTTTTGTTTGTATGCTTCATTAACATGAAGTGTGGTGCTTTCTCTCTCACTTTCTAAATTTTAAACAATTAGCATTGAATGTGAACGAGTTCTAATCTGTTGCGAATTCTTGTTGAGATAGTTATCAATGAATAGCATATATAGAACTGTACAAAAAGTATGAGAACGAAATATAATAAAAAAGGTGAAATTAAGGAAGATGAAAGGAATAAGATATAAATTGGGGAATATGATGAGAAATGGTGAATAAAATGAATATAAGATGCAAATTAAAATTCCATGCTAACCTTGACCATGATGAATAGGACGAGGTGTTATCGGTGAAATGGTGCTTGGGCCAGGCATTGAAAGAGAGCTGGCTTCATAGGAAGGCATACCCGGTATACCAGGTACATGGCTATGTGATGAATTTAATTGCGATTGACTGTTTGGCAAGGATGATGAATGGGATGATACGTTCATTGCTGCTAATAGACCACTACTTTCCCCGAAGTGACCTGATGTAAAAGAAAAAGAAATCATTTTTAAGTAAAAGCGATTCATAAGAGACAAGAGAGAAAGAGAGAGAGTAAAAAGGGGGAGAGGATAAGGATACAGTAGAAGAGGGGAGGATAGAAACAGAAGTTAAAATTGGATAGCAATGTGTCGAGAAAATCACGAATAATTGACAAATTGAGACTGAGCGATTCAGTTCGAGCGGAATAAAAGGTGATCAAAAGGGTATCTACCTCTCATGGCTTGACTTATATTTGATGATAATTGTTGGCTTTGTTGTTGTTGTTGTTGATGAGTTTGCCGATGGTGAGGCATCATTGGAGCCTGGAACCTGGACACCTCGTTGGAGGCTCTATCTTGCTATAATTTTAAAATAGAAAGGAGAAAAAATTCCGGATTAGTGAATTTTGAATAATTTGGGTATAAAGTTTCATTGATAACTGGAGAGTTGGAAAAGGAAGATTAGATATGTTAGTGAATAATAATGGTAAGATATGGTTATAAACGTGGAATATTTGGGTTGATCAACTTGATTAGGTTAGTTTGAGCGCAAAATTTTCTGCAGAAAGAAATTATTTTATTCAAAATGACATATAAAAGATACTTACATCACCTGTAATCATTGACTGTTCCAGTAAACGGGCTGGCTCAATTTCACCTTCTGTATTAGTAGTTTCCCTTTCGGTAATTATTATACTAGTTGTGGTATTATCATCTTCTTTTTCAGTCTCATCATCATCATCATCCTCCTCCGAATAATCTGTAGCATCATCTTCTTCCGTCGTATTATCATCTTTGCCTTTATCGGCACCAGATCGATCAGTTGAACCAGCATTTCTTTCCCCATTCTCATCGTCCATCTCTCCTGTTTTACTGGAATCACCATGACCCATCTTTCTGGACTTTCGTCTTCGTTTTCTTTTCTTTTTTCTCATTGATGCCAATGACTCATCGCCTTCCATCTGACGGCGAGCATCACTTAAACCCTTAACTTTGAGGGCCTCTGCAGATCGCAGGACTGATTTCAAATTATTGTGTGCTACCGTGACTTCACCTCGATAGATAAACTCGATAATAGCTCTCAGATCTTCAAAGGGCATATCCTTAATTATAACAATAGGATACTGGTAAGGGTTGTTAAATTTAGTGAAAATATTTTTGAAGTACGATGAACAGGCAGAGAGAATCATTTTGTGGGCTTTGATGATTCCATCACCACAGGATAGAGTCACATCAACCATGCTTTCATCCTTGAACATTTTCTCAAAATGTTCAGCAAGGTCGAAACAATGATTGTTCCTACGAAGACAATATGATGACATGTTGATGATATGACGGAAAGGGTCAACTTAGCTTGAAGACTGAGTTGTTATTGCTTAAATTAAACGTAACAATCGAAGGTATTTTGACAGATATATATATATAAATTAAAATATCTATATATATATAAGTTGAACTGTTGTTCTGTTTAGGTATGGATATTGGTAATGGTAGAAGTACAGTTGATTTAAATTAAATTGAGTATCACTACTAACAACGGTATACGCTAAACTGAACAATTAAATAATGTTCTCCTTTTCCACCAAAACACAGGTTAACAATGTGACAGATTAGTTGTAATTGTAGTAGTAGTAGTAGTAGCTTCTGGATATTTGGTATCACCAGTTCAGAGGTAAGTATTTGATGATGATATTGGAATAGATGAAATGATGGTGATGGTGATGATGATGAAAATGATGAAAATGATGATGATGAAGGTAGAAAAGGTTGCTAAATATATACATACAGATTTATTGTCACACTGTTGATGTTTAGGATGGTAAGTAATTGTTAAGATAAGTCTCTTAATTCCAATTTACCTGGTCGCCTGTGCCCAAATAACATTTCGAGGATCGACCATTATGTTGAATAGAAGAAAAAGAATGAAGAGTTTGAAGGAAAATATTTATATAAACAAAGAGCAAGAGGTGAGATCAAAATGTAGATTATTCAGGTATTGGTGATTAGATGATGATTATTAAACAAAAATTTGAACAACATAGTTAAATACACTCATAACAGAAAAGATCATAACCAAAACCTTGGTCAACTAGCCTTTGAATTTGTCTTTGAATTACAGCATTAAAACACACATAATTTCAGAACAAAATGGCAGACGAGAAAGGGAGAGAGCTTGAAGAGAGGAAGACGGAAGAAGAAGGGGGAAACCAGAAGACTTAGATAAAGAGAGAGGCAGAGAAAGGGAGAAAGAAAGAGATGAAAGAAAGAGAGGGGGAAAGAAGTCGCGCAGTTCTTTCTTCTTCTTCTTCTTCTTCGTCTTCCTTTCTTCCTTTCTTCCTTTTTTCCCCTTCATCTTTACTTCATCTTTCTCATCTTTTCTTCATCTTTTTTCTTCTTCATCATCGTCTTTTCCTTTTTCTTCATGTCTTCTTAATCTTTTTCTCATCCTTTCTTCTGAACTTTTTCTTAATTTTCAAGCCTTCAGCTGGATCAGATTGCACAATTTAGACACTATCACAACGTTGAGTAATCTTAATTTTGATAAAACAATCGAAAGTCATCGTAATGCAACGATTTAGAGCGCAATCATTCACAGAATTTTAAATAATAAAGTAAAAAGCACAACATACCTCAAGATTCTATCCTGAAGACGACCATGAATGACAATATTTTATTTATGTTAAGCTCTCAATGGACGGTTATTATGGCAACTAAATTCCTGATGTCGAAAACTATTGAGAAGATCAAAATAAATCAGATTTAGCCATTAATAACATTAAATTCATTTATTTTAACAAACCTGAGACAAAATTCAATTTAAGCGCTCATTTCAAGAGCAAATCTGATTCGCTCATGAAACAAACTCAACTCTTTGTGAGTCAAATTTTAAATTACATGAAGTTCAAACAGATTAGAGTGAATAAGTAATAAGTTAAAACATTCATCTTAATTTTATCATTTGGATAAGTAAAAAATTTACGAATAATAGCCAATTTGATGACTTTTATTAAAAAATATCTAAAATTAAACCAGTCAGGAGGTGGCTCCATCTTTTTGTCACTTTCACATTTACAAGAAAGCAAAGAAATTCAAATTGTTATTATTGCAATAACCATTAAAATGATAAACAAAAAAGTTGTGTGAAAAAATCCTCTAGGACATTAATTGAAATTGAAAAACTATAAATTGATAAATTTGATTAACTCGACTTTTTCGTAGTGTAGCGCAATCGAAATGGTGACAATTCCAATTAGTTTCTCAGAAGTTTGGCATTTAGGGTAAATGCTCATGAGCGCTCTCTAATGTCGTTTCGCACTGAGAATCAGTCCAATACACCACCACCACACACACACACACACACACACAATGAGATTATCGATAGGTTAGACGTTACCTGTGTCGACATCGAGTTTGCCGGTAAATTTGTGTTGAGAGAAGCACCAAACTAAGACAATTATTAATCGGGAAGAGGTCGCAGGGGTACAGCGATTATCGAAATAATCGTCGCCATTGACAAGAAGCTCCGAGTATGTTATTCAATGTTTGGTAAATTAAGAAGCTGTACCCGAACTACTCGGTGGATTAACACTGGGTGGAAATTTACCAGAAATGGAAACAAAATCTTCTAAAAAACTTGCAGAGATTGATCTTCTTAGCATTGATTGAGAAGATCATTCCTCAAAATGTACAAATATTAATAAAACCGAATGAAATGTTTAACTTAAAGCCATTAATAAAAGTTATTATATTTAAATACAATTTGTTTGTCTAATTTGTTTGTCTAAAAGTCCCCATTTTTGATCGGTATTATCGTTGACTTTCAATTTGATTGAGCTACGAAAAATTAGTTTAGCTTGTAAACAAAATAAAAGCTTGTTTGTAAGAAAAAAACATTGCAAACAAAATATTATTAAGATCAGGGTTGTCGGCATGTTAATAAATGCATGAAAAGGGATTCAAGCTGTGCAATTAAAAACTTATTATAAATATGATGAATAGTTTTCGAAGAAGTTGCGTTCGAAGTTCAAACTTCCATCGGTTTTTGTTGTGGAAAATGTTGTATATGCTGGCCTAAAGTGCTTAAGATAAAAATTCATTCGTAATCGAGCAAGTAAGGCCATCACGATAGACATATTGACAGAGTAATGCAGTAATGACTGTTGAAGAAGCAAGAAACTTGGTGGTTATTGTGGTTTATGAATGAAACTGCGCTTTATTTTAGACTGAGGTTATTAATTGTGAAATATTGTTTGTTTGATTGAGCCTCTAGGCTCAAATTGAGCTCCTGTGTGAACCTGCAACATAAAGCTTTTGATTTTTGCATTACAAACTTTCTCATGAAAAACATACTTCTAGAAAATTGCTTTCCTCGTTTCCACTGCGAACGGTTTCTGTGCATCAATGGGTAGTATTTTATTCCAGTCTACATGCTTTTTTGACATGGGTCTAGTTGTATGTCAACGCAAAGGAACCGTATTGCGAGCTTACTTCTTAGTTCCCGAAACTTCGACAATTTCCCTGGA